TTTGCAGCAGGTAATCTCCGAAACTACTCATCCGATTTCAAAAATTCTTTCACCAATATTTAGAATGGAACTTCAGGGTGGACATAGGCTGTATATTATTCCGTTAAACAGTCATATAAATTAAAAGATATAATCTAGGTTAAGGCTTTTATGTCAACAGATGTGCTACGAGTATGATGCCCTAAGTTTGCTTTTCTGTGAGGCATTATGCTTTTCTGTGAAAATGAACTAAAGCAGATCATCTTCTATCTATCTATATAAATAAAAATGTAATATTCATTTGTTCCTACCGATTCCTTTGAAATTTTGACACAATACTGCATTCGAATATGCACGTGTTTTTATATAATATACATGTCGAAATTACCCCCCCGGGAGATGGACAGGATTAAGGCTTACCGTAAAGTACTCTGCTTGTATTTATACTATTTTAGATGCGGTTTTTTGCATTTTTGATTGCGTTTTAATAGGGTACGTCAACAGAATATACACTACAAAGGGATTTTTCAATATTCCCCCCGCGGGGGAGAGGGACAGGATTAAGGCTTACCGTGAAGAACTTTGCTTCTATTATACTATTTTAGATGCGGTTTTTTGCGTTTTTGATTGCGTTTTAATAGAGTACGTCAAGAAAATGTGCACTAAGGGATTTTTCGAAAAATTTCCCCCCCACGGGGGAAGTGTTATACATTTATAATAGATACATTTTGAGCCACAACAACACATGGCAGGGTTTGCTAGTTTTTTAATAAAATCAAAACAATAGTATCATTATTAGAATTACATAAACAAATTATATTTTTAGATAAAATCTTAAATTTCTATATCTCTAATTTACTAACCAAAATTATTATATCAAATTACTAACTTTTTCATGTATAAAATTTCAACTATTAAAGTTCTGTCTCTCTTCCTATGCTTCTGCAGAAAAATCCTATTAGATTATTTCAAAATTGATACAGTGAAGCATCAAAACTCTGGATATCAAAACTCCAGAATATCAAAAATCTGCATTTGGCCATATAAAAATGAATATTAATTCTTTCAATGGGTAATTTCATTGTTGATGTTCTTTCAGTTTTGTGTTGTTGATGTTCTAACATTCAGAATTTGTAATTTTTTAATTTTGAAATTACAATTAGTATATCTTTTGTTTAAATATCATGATTCTTTAAGTTATGTTTTGAATCTTTATAAATATTCCTACATTTCTTTTGAAATATTGGCTTGAACTTAGAATACCTAAACTTGAATCTAGATTTTCAACACTTCATTGTAGTTTTATTATAATAATCATGAATTAAAAAGTATAAATTATTCATTTGTTATGCAAAGTAAACTATTCAATTTTTAGTTTTTCTTTACTTATTGTAATAGCATATAACAAAGTTTCTCTTCAAATTTTAGATTCTGTTTCTAAGAAAAGTTTAAATCATTTTAATAAATTTTAATCACATATTTTGCTTTGATTAATTTTTCTGTTAGAACAATTTCAATGTGTTGAAGCTAAATTTTATATTATATTGAAAATGTTATATGAAAGATTTTAAAAAGAATAAAAAACAAAAAACAATAAATATTTCTATAATACAGTATATTATTTTTATTTGATAATTCAGTCTATTATAAAATTTATAACACATTTGAATTTATTTAACATCTTTTTATATTATATTTCTTTGGTTTTTGTTTTTTGAAAATTATTTTAATAAATACAATCATTTAGAAGTTATGTTTATGTTTTTATTTTTATCATACAGTTAAGATAAATATCATATTGTTTAATGTTAGACAAGAATTGTCTATAAGTCTATGTTATATATTTTTATACAATATACTGTAATAAATTCTAAATTAATTTATAGTTTTCAAATTTTTAATATGACAGTGTTACTTTTAACATTTGTATATACATTTTTAATTTTTGATATATTTTATATTTCTTACATTATTAAATTTTATTTTAGTACATCTGATGAGATAGTTCTTTTAGGATATTTTTCACCTAGTTCTGCATTTATAACTAAGAATATGCACAGATATATTTTATTATTAGAATGTCTAATTTCAAAGTTTTAATAATATGTAGAAATAAAATTATTGGATNTAATGTATTTTTTAGAATTAAGAGAATAGAAGTATAAAAAAGGGTCATGAGCAATGGGGAGATTGAGGGAAGAAGAACCAGTCTTCTCAACTGGCACTTTATATGAATTAACAGTATAAGCCATTAGTATCAGTCAGAAAAATTAACTTCCATGACCCCAATCTAAATGTCTAAATATGTTCCTGATTGTGGACAGAATATTTTACATTATTATTTCATATTTAGAATTGCTAAATAGTGAGCTAAAATGAAACACCTCAAGCATTTAAATGAAAATTTAAATATTCCAGTGATTCAATATATTTGTGAATTGAATTTTATTAAATTTATTTTTAGATAAATTACAATTATAAAAGTTTTTAGAAAAATGAATGTTACTGGTTATTTATCTAATGTACTCAGTGATTCTGAATAAACTAACTAAATATCCAATAATAAAAATACTGTTACAGATTCATTGCAGTAGATTCAATGATTTGTATTTTTGTCTATATTAAATTTTGAGGATATTTTGTTAAAGAATTATATTAGTATCTTTATTTAGAAAATTGAAATATCTCAAAGAATATTTAAACATTTTAATAGGTGCTGATGTTGAAAAACTTGAATAGCTGAAATTGTAAAGAATTATTGAATTTTATTGAGGTGGAGTATTAGGAAAGTCTCTTCTATGTGGCTTACAGAATTGTGTTTGTTATCAAAATTTAATGGGCTGATTTTGATAACTTTGCCATTTTCCATTAATTTTGACAAGAAATCCAAAAATATAATGAGGGTCTATTTAAATGTAAAAAAGTAGGAATTTGTGACTTTGTTTTCAATATACAGAGGTATTAAAGTAACAATGTCCATGCCATCGGATGCGACTGAGCATGCATAATGGAATTTAGACGTAGGGGTCAAAAATAAAAACAGCATTGTGTATGCTTAATAGAAAATATGTGCAAAAACTGAACAAAACACAAAAACAATGCAATCTATGGCAATTGCTTTGTTCTTGAATTGCAAGTGCAAGGATCATGTCTCCCATGACCAGCAGGTACAAGGATAGCCTTTTTTGTGGTGGCAAGTGCAGGGATCACTTCTTTCTTTCTGGCTCTGCCTCAGTTCTATCACAATTTGACAAAGTCATGCAATGTAGTTAGATAATATTTTATTTGCAAAAAAATTATTTAATAAAATTGAAAAGTTAGTCACTAACAATATGCAGACTTATCATCTAAACTGAATTGATTCATTAATAAATGAGCAACTATTTTTTGTGATATCGTCACAATGCCGGGCTGAAATTTTTAATAATTTTTTAATTTAAAATATATGCTCTCCACCTCAAAATAGTAGTGTCTTGCTCCTGTAAATCATACTTTTCCTGGAGTTGTGCCAGTCATCTATCTAATTCCTTTCAGGGGAAAATATTTGAATTGAAATCAGGTGACTTTCATACTAGAAATTCATGTATAGTTAATCGTGGCCTCTTACCACTAAGCTTTCCATATCTGATCTTGCCTTTCATCTATCTAATTCCATTCTTGAGATTAAGGAACAACAGGTGGATGGATGGATAGATGGACAGACAACAGTGGAAATTTATAGTTCTACAATTTTTTCAAATTGCAGCCCAATTAGAGATAACTAGAAAAAACATAGTTTAAAATTGGAGTTAAATTTGCAACTCTCTTTAGCCAAATAATACATCTGTTTTTTAAACCAGTTACAATATCTAAGTGACTCAAGCCTAAGTGACGGCTTTTGTATTTCTTTGATAACTTTAAATTATAAATAGTCTATGATTGTCACATAAATAAAAATAGTTTCTAATTTATAAGATGATTGATTAACAAATTAATTTAATAACAATTTTTTAAAATATATATATTAGCATTAAAATAGCATAATAAAATCTGTGTTTATCATTTGATTAATAATTATGATGATCTCAATGTACATTAACAGAAATTGGAAAAAGTTTTTATATTTCAGTAAAAAGTTTTTATATTATGCTTTTCAGTATTTCATTATAATTATTATTTAGAATTGGTTTTATAAAGATTAATAAAAATATTTTAAATAAAAATGTTTTCATTTATTTAATATGCTGATTTTTATTACAGTGAAAGGAGAATTAACTGACATTAATGTAATTCCCGATAGTATTCTTGAAAAAGATATATGGGTAGAGGGTATGTGGAACAATTTCACTATTGTATGGAACTCTATTACAAATGTTAATTATGGAGATATATTTTATGAAATTAAATTGAATGGTCCAGAAGATATAAATGGAGAGGTAAAAATATTTATATAAGATTTTTACTTACTGTTGTAAAATTAACTCAGAATTCAAATGTTTATTTTAAAATATTTATAAAATTTAAATTAGTTTTAANTAACTAATGTGATTTCAGGCATTACTGTAAATCAATTGGCAAATGTTTTTATGTTTTTAGAGAACTACAAAATCGTATTACCCTTTGTATTACTAATGATGGTTGACATATGAAAATTTAATAAAATACAATAAAACAATAAAAATATATAGATTTTCTTATTTCCAATACATTCTAATTAAGGATCAAATTTCTCTATCACAAATACTAATAAAGTTATCAATTTTTTAAATTGCACACGGACTTTATGGACATCCTGTATAATAAATTGAGTTCTGCATGGCTAACTGTTATCTTAACTATAAAAACAACAATTGCAGTAATAAAAGAATCTATTAATGAAATCATGAATGTTAGACAAATAAAGTTTATTTGATTGCAAAGTTTAGATTTTGAATTTAAATAAAGTTTATTAGCTTTCTATTATAAATCAATAAAGTTTATTGATTTCTTTAATGTCTAATTAATTTTTAATAATAACTTTGTTATTTAAACATCAAAATAAAAAATTTTAGACTTTTATAGAACTTATTAATTTAATTATATCTAGGTATTAAAGATCTGAAATTAATATTTTATTAATCAAGTCCACTCATTGGATTTGTGGGGACTTCATTGATAAACTTTACGCACAGCATCAAGTCTCTTCATACTTAGTCCTTTAGTGCTGTTCAGGTCATCAACACTGCTATGCTCTTTAAGCTTTACACACCAATTTTTAACACTTCATGCTTTTCACATTTAGTGTTATTGTCCATGCTCTTTTCTGAAGCTTTTCTGAACCAGAATTGATAATTTTGTTTCATGGAACCTCAGAACACATTGAGTTTTCTCATACAAAAACACTATTTGGATAGTTGTGATTGCAGTGCCACTTGGTCTATGCAACATTATAGCAAATAAAACTCTAGAAATCAGTCTAGAAATTATGTCACAAAAAGCATGTTTCTACATAGCATAAATTTTGCACAATAAATGTTTGTAATCAGAGAAAGATTTTATAATTACCCTGTATATATAATTTCAATCTTATTCACTTTGATAATTTTTTACTTAAAATTTATATAGATATCAAGAGCCAATTTAGATGGAACACAACCAGAATCTCTTTCTATAAATACTTTGGCTGAAAAACTTGTCATTGATTCTCCATCAGGACATCTTTATTGGTCAACAACTCATTCTGTTGAAGGATCAAATTTAAATGGTGATAATACATATACATATATGCAGACTGGTGTATTTTCAGGTAAAAGAGGTACGTTGAACATTTTTATAGTTATTTAATAAATTACTTACAGCTTATATTATTAATTAAGATTATTACCGTCAATTAAAATCTAGCTGATATTATAATTTAATAACTTCACTTCATTAATAGTAATGAGACACTCTGAGTTACACATTATAAATATTCTGTTGTTTTATAATAATAAAAATTTGTGATAATCAATCCAAGTTTGAGTTTTTAATATTTGATTGATCATTCAAAAATATTTGGTGTTAATTAAAATTTAATTCTATATGCATGACCAGTTGCATGTGCATGACAATTGTAAATTTGGATAGTGGAAGTTTGGACAATTGGAAATTTAACATGTGCATGACAATTGTAAATTTAAGTCTAGATTTTATATCATAAGATCTATGAAAAATTTATCAAAATAAGATCAAATAAAACTGATTTTTATTTTATGGTTTTAGTAATGGGCCTCACTTTGAATTATGATCAACAAAAAATATATTGGACAATTAGAAATTATGAAGGTTCTTGGCTTTATAGTGCAAAAACCTTGAAAAATGTTTTTGGCAGAAATAAAGATGATGTCATAGAATTGATAGCACAGTTACCAGAAAATGCTATGTAAGTTTATAAAGCAAATATAATTTAATATTTTAGAATATCTTTATCTTTTTATTTTAATTTTTGATGTTGAAAATTAAATGATTTAAAATATTTCATTGTATGCATTATTCTATAAAAAATGCTTATTTACTTTTTACTATATGACTTTTTAAATAAGCAGTATTATAGAAGTTTGCTTTAATATTTCAATGTAATAATAAATGCATATTAAATGAATTTTATAGAAATAATGAAGGAGATAATATGAATGCTATTTGAATGCACCATTAATACTGCATTTTTTATTATGACTTAATTTTTTGCCATAAAATAAAATTAATGAAAAAGTCAAGTGAATAATTAAATTTCTTTCTCTTTTATCTTAAAAAACATGAAATTAATATAGCAAATCAATTAATGTGATACATCTACATCCAGTAGCAGATCCAGGCATATCTAAAAGAGGGCTAACTCAAAAATTAAAAATATTTGAATATTTAATAAGTTTTTTTTTTTATTAACATGTGCATGACAGTTGTATTCTGAATGGATCAATAAACCATATTTACCCTTATAAATGTTTTTAAAAACAGCATTTTGTAGTTTGAACAAATAAATTTTAATTTATTTTGTGTCATTAGGGAGGGCTTAATCCTTTATAGCCCTTTCCTTGTATCTGCCATAACCTACATCTAGTATGATCTACATAATTTGCAAATCTCATGAACTTCTGATTTCAAGAAATTGTTTTCATTTTGTATCTTTTGAAGAATTCTTATGTTGGTATAATTTGCAATAATTAAGAATGCTAGGTCACAGATAGTAAATATGATTTTCCATTGTTTTGAACAAATGCTTAATGTAAAAATAAGTTTTCTTTAAAATGTAAAAACGAAAAAATATTTTAAGTTTTGCAAACTTTTTATTGAATATATGCAATGGTTTAATTGAAATATGTTAAAGTATGATTTATTATGTTATATGATCATGTTATGTTTAAATATAATTTATTATTATTATTATTATATTATTTTTTGAAAGCAGAAACATTATCATAAAATAATCCTAATTGATAGGATAATATACCGTCAATTCTGTTTTTACATCATTTTGAGAATATATTGTTCCTGAAAAATCTGTGTAAAAAAGATATTGTCCATATTGAAGATCAGTTCCAGACCTTAAAAAGCAGTAAAAATAATACAATAAATCAATTAGGATGTGACTAAATAAAATATTTTAGTTTTAGTTAATAAATCAGAAGAGAGAGAATTGTAACTTATTTATTAGCAAAATTTAATAAATTTACATTATTTGCAAAAATTTTATTATATTTTCATTTCAATTTTTTAATTAACGACCACAATATCTAGTTTAAACAGAAACCAAATGGCATACAAAAATTATTCTGTATTGGATTGGATTAATGGGATAAGGCAATGCAGTACATGGATGATTTACTAAGGGGGTGTCTCTCAGAAAAACTGATCCCTGATTGTGTGTCAGACATGTCAAGAAAACCTGGAAAACTTACATAGCCAGCCTGTAGGTCAGGCATGAATCTGGGACCAACTAGCAATGTTCAGAAATGTTATTAACTTGGCCCATTAGTAGGCCTCATATTTAAAAAATTGGAAGACAATTACACAAACAAATCATCAAACTTTGAATTAAATTTTTTGACTGATTCAATCATAGGATAAACTTGGAATGAAAGACTTATTGTTACTATACATGCTCAAATAAGTCAAAAAACAATCAAATTTTAAGATTTATGTGAACAAGTGTGTAACAGCCTTAAATGCAAATTCTAAAATTTTTAAAAAAAAGAGTAATTTTCTAGAAAAGAAAGTAAATATTTTTTTAAAAATAAAATCAAATGGCGATTTTTAGAAAGACAAATTTATTTAAACATGTAAATAAATCGTGCAAAAAGAGAATTGAATTTTTTCCCCAGATCATGTTAAGTCAAAATTATGTAAAAAAAATCCAAGTAAAATTTGTATTTCAATAGTTTTCATGTATTTCTTATTATATGTATGTAAAATTATATGGAATTTCTCATAAAAATATACATATACTTCAGAAATTCCACATTTAAATACTGTACTTTGTTTTTTGATATGAGATATTAAAATATGATAACATTTAGAAATCTAAGGTAATATATTGAAGAGATAATGCAATAATTTCAGCATATTCTTTAGTGGATGTTTTCAGATTATTTAATTGACAGCATAAATAATACACAAATTTTACTGGTGAAATATTAAAAAGCCTGAGATGAGACTTTAAATAAAATTTAAGCTATCAAGTAAATTATACAATTTAGTCATCTAATGATAACTTCATATTTTCAATTCTATAAGGTTTATATTAACCTTATAGAAATACCAATAAATAATATAAATTTATTAAGAATAACATTACTTTTGATCACAGGCAATGAAACCACATCCTTCATTGTACAGAAACAAGTACATTTAAAATTAAATTTTTATTATACTGTATTTGAAATTAAGTTAAATAAGATTCTAGGATATAAATTAGAAAAGCTGAATATTGAATCTTAAATTTCAAAACTTTTCTTAATAAGTAGTATTTTATTTTCTTATTAATAAGAATTCTAATTGCATGAATAGAATAGAAAAAAGAATATTTGTAATAAATCAATAATTATATGTAATTAATAACACTAAAACCTATATTCCAGCTATTTTTATAAAAAATACAAATGTTTTTGCTCATGTTGAATGGGCATTGTGATGATACCAGTTCAACACTAATATAGGTTTTAGTATTATTAATTCAAATGTAACCAGTTTTAAATAGCAGTATTTTAATTATACGTAACAACACAAAATAATTATTTCACTTTCATGACTCATTTTATATTGATATTCATTATTATGAATAATAATAATTTTCTCAATTTTCGAAAACCGTGTTTTATAATTTTCTATGATTCTCAAACACAAAACCGTGCTACTACTTAAACACTTGACATTTTTTCATTTTTATTAAACGCCAAGTGTTTAAATAGTAGCACGGTTTTGTGTTTGAGAATCATAATAATAATTTTGTTTTTATACTTATTAAAAATTATATTAATGATATATTACTTAGTTCCTTATTAGGAATGATTAATTTGTTAGGAATGAAATGAAAATATAAATGCAATAATCCAAATACCTGCATATATGGAAAATTATTTATTTCCAGATTAGTTCAGATCTTGTATTATAGAAATGTTTATGTAAATATAAATATAATAATTACATGTATAATTTTTATTTTTTCTAAATGTATAAAAATACAGATATCTGTTATTTTTTTAATAAATATTTTTACTCATTTCAATATTTGTATTCTGAAAGATAGTATAGATAAAACAAGCATTTATAAGACTAAAAAATTAGAAAAACAATAAAATTATTTTATTATTAAATTTATATGTATGTTTTCCAGGATGCTTATTATTATAATTTAATTGTTACATATTATAATAGTTTGATCTAAAACTTTAATTCATATTAGAAAATTTAATTTATATTTTTATTTTTGAATACAGTCAAGGTCCCCTATGGTATTTTAGTGATCGTCTTTTCTGGATTAATGAAGAGAAAGAAGCATTAATTAGTGATATGTCTGGAAGAAATGTTGCATGTTTTAAACATGTAGGACTAAAAGATTTGGAAACTCTCACTATTATTGATCCAGCTCTACAGCCATATCCAAGTAAGAAAATTTTATAATTCAAACTAAATTATTAAATTTTGATGATATGAAACCGTGCTTTGCTATTTGTTTATGCTTCTGACACAATATAGTGTTATAAATTAAGACACTTGGCGGATTTTCTCATCTTTATTTAGTTGATACGTGTGGAAAAAATTACACATTTCGGGCTCTTAAGCCCCTCTTCAGTCAACTAAAACATTTAAAAAGGATATGACATACACATAAAAAAGGGAATACACAAGTTTTGTAAAATTCTTAAAAAATAAAACATACCTATCCATACAAGTCTTATAAATTAAAGTAGCATTTTACTTTCGATATTTTTTCAGCAACATCAGCTTATTCACAGTATTTTTTCTTGTAGCCTACTATAATATTAGGAGAGTATACAATATATCTATACAAAACTATATATAAGTTTTATAGTATCTATAAAACTATATTCAATTAAGGCATACCTTGAGTACGGCTGTTATTAAGGTTGTACTGTACAAAATTGATTATACCTTTTACTTATAAAACAGTCTTACAAAATCCTTGATCTAAAATATACCCTAGACAACAATTATCAAATTGGTATACAATTGATTATGCTTTTTACTCATAAATCTGTTTTACTAAATCCTTATTTCCTTTGATACGCATTGACAATATAATACGAATTTACATAACTTCTACAATATAAATTTACATATCTGACATCTACTATATTTTTACAATATATGATTGTTGATTTATTTAACATTACAGTATTTAATATTATAGATTATTATATGAACTAATGACATTACAATGTCTTGAGGTTGGTAAACAGGATTAACATTTAATATAAATTTACATATTATTTGATTCCCGTTACAACATTACAGTTTTTTGTTATTGTTGATTTATGTAACAGTTCAATCGTTATTATTAATTAGCACATTGATCACAATAATAATAGTTTGAATCTAGTGAATACAATTAATATAAAATTTTTAACCAGTTTTCGTTTATTGAGATGCTAGGATTTTTATTTATACTATTTTGATTTTTGATTATTTCTATACTTTCCTTGAATTTTCTTTTGTATGTATCTCTTTCTCTGTGTAAGATATCTATATTATTTTTATCTATATTACAATTATTCAAAAGGCAGTGTTCATGAAAAGCAGAATTTAGTCTACGATATTTCAAATCGGCTATATGTTCTTTCAATCTTACTTTAACTTTACGTTTAGTTTCACCTATATAAAATTTTTTATTTTCGCATGTACACGGAATTTTATAGACTACATTTTTACTTTCTTCTTTATTTGTTATATTTGTTTTGTTAACTTGTTTTGCATTTAATCTGGAGAGTAGCTTATCATATGTCGGTACAAGTTTTACATTAATTTTTTTGACTTCCTTATTAACTTCTTCGTATAAACCTTTTATGTATGGAAAACGAATGTATTTTATTTCTGCTTGTTTAGGATCTATTCTTATTGTTTTATTTTTTTTTTTATCTATTTCTGTCTCCCAAATATTAAGAATTCTGTTTGGGTATCCTGAAAGAATAAATTTTTTCTTTAGTGTATTTAAATGTTCGATTTGTTTAGTATTTATACTAGTTCTATTTTTGATTTTAGTGTATTCCATATTAAATATGTTTTGTTTTATATGAATTGGTATGTTAGAATTATAGTTAACTGTGGTATTTATTGAGCACTGCTTTTTGAATGGTTCAAATTCGAGAATTTGAACCGAAAATTTATTTTTTAAGAATTTTACAAAACTTGTGTATTCCCTTTTTTATGTGTATGTCATATCCTTTTTAAATGTTTTAGTTGACTGCAGAGGGGCTTAAGAGCCCGAAATGTGTAATTTTTTCCACACGTATCAACTAAATAAAGATGAGAAAATCCGCCAAGTGTCTTAATTTATAGCACTATATTGTGTCAGAAGCATAAATTATTAAATGTTAAAATTATATTTTTGTAAATTCTAAATTATAGTTTATACAGTATATTACATTCATATACAAAAGTGATTACAGTTTTTATTAAAAATTTAAAAAATAATATTGTTATTGATTCAGCTTGTTGATTTTACAAGAGTGAACCAAAAAATATTTCATCTGTAAACAGTTTTATTAAACAAAAAATATTTGTAATGAACTTAATGATAAAAAAAAAAAAATTATAAAATTTATACAATATTGGCTACTTAAGGGTTAGTCTAAATGAAAGTTATAATAAAAATCTTTACTGAGTAAGACATCTTTTAAATGGGAAAGAATATGAGTTAAATAGATGACTTTTCATATTTTTAACAGTTATTTTACAATAAGAACATTCAGTATTGTTTCTGATATGAAGAATTCTACTCACTAAAACAGTAATAGGAGATTCAAAACAAAGGATATGATAGAATATTACATTTATATTTACTAATTATAACTTACACATTATTAATTTTTTAATAAATAAGATTTATATTTTAAGAAGTGGAAATATTTGTCCAATCTAATCATTAATTCTTTTGAAAATTTATTGCTGTAATTCAAATTTTAAAATTTATGTAAATATTGAAAAATTGAAATTAAATTATAAATTTAAATAAAAACTAAATTACAAGAATACATTAAAATTTTTACATAAATGGTTTTGATCTTTCATTTTAGATTATTCAGTTATTCTTTTTTCTTTTTAATAAGTTTTGATTATAAGCTTGAAATTATTTCCACTAGTAGGAATGTTATGTTCCAATTGAATGTAGAACAAAGAAAAATGTCTTTATTATAGATAATGGCAAAGTTAGTGGGGAGTGTTTGTGGGTTGTCTCACTTCCAATATCTGAAAATTCCAATAGTCAATAAAGTTACTCTACCAAAAAAAAAATAATTATAATTATAATAATAATAATGTATTTTTTAGAATTAAGAGAATAGAAGTATAAAAAAGGGTCATGAGCAATGGGGAGATTGAGGGAAGAAGAACCAGTCTTCTCAACTGGCACTTTATATGAATTAACAGTATAAGCCATTAGTATCAGTCAGAAAAATTAACTTCCATGACCCCAATCTAAATGTCTAAATATGTTCCTGATTGTGGACAGAATATTTTACATTATTATTTCATATTTAGAATTGCTAAATAGTGAGCTAAAATGAAACACCTCAAGCATTTAAATGAAAATTTAAATATTCCAGTGATTCAATATATTTGTGAATTGAATTTTATTAAATTTATTTTTAGATAAATTACAATTATAAAAGTTTTTAGAAAAATGAATGTTACTGGTTATTTATCTAATGTACTCAGTGATTCTGAATAAACTAACTAAATATCCAATAATAAAAATACTGTTACAGATTCATTGCAGTAGATTCAATGATTTGTATTTTTGTCTATATTAAATTTTGAGGATATTTTGTTAAAGAATTATATTAGTATCTTTATTTAGAAAATTGAAATATCTCAAAGAATATTTAAACATTTTAATAGGTGCTGATGTTGAAAAACTTGAATAGCTGAAATTGTAAAGAATTATTGAATTTTATTGAGGTGGAGTATTAGGAAAGTCTCTTCTATGTGGCTTACAGAATTGTGTTTGTTATCAAAATTTAATGGGCTGATTTTGATAACTTTGCCATTTTCCATTAATTTTGACAAGAAATCCAAAAATATAATGAGGGTCTATTTAAATGTAAAAAAGTAGGAATTTGTGACTTTGTTTTCAATATACAGAGGTATTAAAGTAACAATGTCCATGCCATCGGATGCGACTGAGCATGCATAATGGAATTTAGACGTAGGGGTCAAAAATAAAAACAGCATTGTGTATGCTTAATAGAAAATATGTGCAAAAACTGAACAAAACACAAAAACAATGCAATCTATGGCAATTGCTTTGTTCTTGAATTGCAAGTGCAAGGATCATGTCTCCCATGACCAGCAGGTACAAGGATAGCCTTTTTTGTGGTGGCAAGTGCAGGGATCACTTCTTTCTTTCTGGCTCTGCCTCAGTTCTATCACAATTTGACAAAGTCATGCAATGTAGTTAGATAATATTTTATTTGCAAAAAAATTATTTAATAAAATTGAAAAGTTAGTCACTAACAATATGCAGACTTATCATCTAAACTGAATTGATTCATTAATAAATGAGCAACTATTTTTTGTGATATCGTCACAATGCCGGGCTGAAATTTTTAATAATTTTTTAATTTAAAATATATGCTCTCCACCTCAAAATAGTAGTGTCTTGCTCCTGTAAATCATACTTTTCCTGGAGTTGTGCCAGTCATCTATCTAATTCCTTTCAGGGGAAAATATTTGAATTGAAATCAGGTGACTTTCATACTAGAAATTCATGTATAGTTAATCGTGGCCTCTTACCACTAAGCTTTCCATATCTGATCTTGCCTTTCATCTATCTAATTCCATTCTTGAGATTAAGGAACAACAGGTGGATGGATGGATAGATGGACAGACAACAGTGGAAATTTATAGTTCTACAATTTTTTCAAATTGCAGCCCAATTAGAGATAACTAGAAAAAACATAGTTTAAAATTGGAGTTAAATTTGCAACTCTCTTTAGCCAAATAATACATCTGTTTTTTAAACCAGTTACAATATCTAAGTGACTCAAGCCTAAGTGACGGCTTTTGTATTTCTTTGATAACTTTAAATTATAAATAGTCTATGATTGTTACATAAATAAAAATAGTTTCTAATTTATAAGATGATTGATTAACAAATTAATTTAATAACAATTTTGTAAAATATATATATTAGCATTAAAATAGCATAATAAAATCTGTGTTTATCATTTGATTAATAATTATGATGATCTCAATGTACATTAACAGAAATTGGAAAAAGTTTTTATATTTCAGTAAAAAGTTTTTATATTATGCTTTTCAGTATTTCATTATAATTATTATTTAGAATTGGTTTTATAAAGATTAATAAAAATATTTTAAATAAAAATGTTTTCATTTATTTAATATGCTGATTTTTATTACAGTGAAAGGAGAATTAACTGACATTAATGTAATTCCCGATAGTATTCTTGAAAAAGATATATGGGTAGAGGGTATGTGGAACAATTTCACTATTGTATGGAACTCTATTACAAATGTTAATTATGGAGATATATTTTATGAAATTAAATTGAATGGTCCAGAAGATATAAATGGAGAGGTAAAAATATTTATATAAGATTTTTACTTACTGTTGTAAAATTAACTCAGAATTCAAATGTTTATTTTAAAATATTTATAAAATTTAAATTAGTTTTAAAACTATGCAAAATGACCAAATTTATTGTTCTATAATATTTTTTATTTTTATAAATTAATTATTATTGTAATATGGAAAGTAGAACTATAAACATAGTTTATAGTAAATTTATTAATTAGAAATAATCTTAATTAAATAATAAATTAATTTAAGACATTTGGAAGAAAAGAATAACCTGAAGCAAAATTTGAACCATATAATTTAGTCAAATCAAGCAGGTACTTACTGCTCTAATATCATTTAGTATAATTTGGACTCTAACTTTTTTTATGTATATATTTGAAATTTATAAAATAGTTATAAACAATAAAAATGAAATTATCATAATTAATATAATAAACAAATAAGTAACAAAAATATTTTTATAATCAAGATTATTACAATGATTACTGAAATATTAGTTAAATTTTTCTAAAATTAATAATGATGATAACAATAACAATTCTCACTGATCACTATCTTGTTGAAGTAAGAGAGCTTGTTAGTTCCAATGAACTATAGAGCAATGTTGTCAGGAACACAAGCTTCCAGTAAGGCCACTCATATTAGTAAGGTCTATGAGAAGAAATGAAGCAAAAAGTGACTCATGAACAATGATTAATTTAGGTTGTTGTTGAACAGTGTCTGTTTCTCATGTCAAGAATGGCTGATTTATAAACACATGGCTTCAGGTATTTAGGCATAACCACTTATGTGGAGAAAACAAAAATGATTATTACACATTTGCGGTATGATACTGGCTTGGGTTAACTGGATCTGCATTAGACCTTCTTAACCCAAGCCAGTATCATACTGCATTCATGGTTAGACAAAGGCTTAGGTTTGAAAAATTTTGCCATAGTCTCTTTTGGATACCTGTAAAAAACACAGCACTGGTCCAAGTATGGCTGCTGCATAAAACACATTTGCCTCTCACTCAAACACAATGGATAACATACACCAATCCAACCAAAGTGCTTTAATGACAATCCAGCCATTGACCTCTAATACAGGTATACCTCGACTTACGTTGTTTCGAATTATGTCGTTCCTGATTATATGTCATTTGTCAAAAAAGTATATGGAAAAATAAAAATCAAGTTTAAGTCATTTTATTTGACTTTACGTCTGCCCGCCACAAATATTGAAGTTGTAATATCACTAGAAAAACGCTTAAAGCACATAAAATCATATTGAAATATATACATTTACAAGTATGTACTGTATTTACAGTACATGTATTCGTAAATTTAGAATACTTTTTTCTGTACTATATTAAAAACTAAAATTTATTTGTTTGTAAGCTTAAAATAGATTTTTTATTAACCATATATTATTAAAAATGCATTAATAAATAAAATACAGAACCGGGAATGGTAATTTATGGTTTAGCCTAGTGACAAGTAGATTCGGAGACAAGTAAATTCGACTTACATCCTGGAACCAATTACTGACGTAAGGCGAGGTATACCTGTACTGGAAAACCACCAATGGATAGATTTACAGGAACGAATTCATCATCTATGCTTACACCATGAAAAAAGGATCAAGCATCACATTCATTAATAAACAAAATACAGTCACATACATTACAGACATAAGAATTCTTTGACATTTTATTTTTGACTTTATTTTTCTGGAGTTCAGTAATTGTTTTAAATGAAAGAATTTAAGTTAGACTACTTTGATCAACAGTCTATCTTCTACTTCTCTGTTTATAATTTAAAATATAATTTATAAATAAATATACATTTAATCAAAATTTGTACTAAATGATTGATTTTAATTTGATTGATTAAGCAAATATTTTAGTGTGTTATATTTTTATAAACTTACTAAAATAATTTTAAAATAATTTTTTTAATTAGCTTTAAAAATGGTTGTATAAATTTCAATATAAATTATAAAAATTTGATTATTATTGAATTTTTTAAACTTTTATTTAAAAGTTTCATTTTAACAAAAATTCATAATATATGAAACAAAATTGAATAATAATACTGTTCTGCATCAAAATGCTTTCATAAAAGAAAATGCAATATTTTGTATGTATTTTAGTGTGCTGAATATGAATCTAAAGTCCAAAATCTTCTATCACCCACAGTTTTTTTTAAATACCACATTTTTTCAGAAAAATGTCTCTTTTGGACAAACTTTCTGTTACTGTTGTTTGAATAAAATATAAAACCTGAGAAATCATATTTGCTTTATGTAGGAATTGCCTGAAAAAGAGAGTCAGGAAATCTGAAATTTTTTCAATGGAAGACAATCTCTTTTTTGCAACTATATACCACATTTGTTAGAGAAGCTTTTACTACCACAGGATCCTGTGGAATGGAGACTCTTTATTGACTTGTTAAAGTTCAGCCTTAAAGGAGTTTTGCCATACAATGGCAACAAACATTCGTCTGTTCCAGTTGCTCATGCTGTTCACATAAAAGAAACTTACAACAACATGAAGGTAATGCCGGACAAGATAAAATACAATGAGCATAAGTAAAATGTGTTTGCTAACCTCAAAATTGTTGCAATCCTAATAAGTCTCAATAAGGATATAACTTGTGCTGTTTTTTATGTGAATGGGACAGTCAAGCAAGAACCAGTTGCTACTTGGTAAAAATGTGGCTTGATTGTGCAGCAAATGTACAAGGTCAGAAGAATATTGCTTTTCCTGCTTTGGTGTAGAAAACTAAAATCCTCTTACCTCCTCTTCATATCAAGCTTGGTTTGATGAAAAACTTTGTGAAAAGTATGAATAGAGAAGGAGAAGGCTTTGCTTACTTGAAGCAAAAGTTTTCTCATCTGAGCAATGTGAAAGTAAAGGAGAGAATTTTTGTTGGTCTCCAAGTAAGACAGCTTTTGTAGCAGCCTAGTTTCAAGGAAAACTTAATTCAGCAGAAAAGATAGTATGGAATGCATTCAAAAAGATGAGCAAGAATGTACAGGGTGTTTTGACGATTTTAAAGTTGAATAACTCGCATTAAAACTGAGATATAGCGATGGTGGCACCCTCTATTTAGTGCAGACTGTCAACTTTCATTTCATATAGGTTACTACATAGTATCCTGGTGTACTGGTCAAAGCAACATTGTGCATTTATGGTAGTGTTATTTTCACGTCTGAAAATCTGTACTGTGCGTACAATGTGGATTTCGTAAACATTTTAAGATGCAAGAGTGATATCCAATTCCTGCTCATGGAACAATATTGAATTGGGTAAAAAACTTCCATGAAACTGCCAGTGCATCGAATTGAAAGTCAACTGGCTGTAGGAAAACCGTATGAACTCCCGAGAACATTGAACATGTGCGTAGTAGAATGGCCACTTCACTTGCCTGATTTAACTCCGTCAGACTTTTACCTATGGGGTTATTTCAAGGCGAGAGTGTATTCCGACTGGCCAAGAAGCTTGGAACAATTAAGAGATCAAATTTGAGATGAAATTTCCAGAATTCCTCCAGCAGTTACAAAAAATGTGTTCAAAAGCTGGGTGAAATGCCTTGAGTCTTTGTAGCCGCAAATGGTCGTTATTTGTCTGATGTAGTATTTCATAAGTAAAATTGAATAAATTTTGTACTTGTGTAAAATTTTCAACTTTTTTTTTTTTAGCAATTAGTTTGTGAATTATTCAAAACAAATCGTCAAAACATTGTGAAACACCCTGTACCCGGTACAAGCTAACAACTGAGAATATTGTGGAGAAGTTGGTAATGTCCTACCAAACATTGGATTCCAATATATCATTGAAGATGCATTTCTGCATTCCCACTTAGATTTTTCCCTTCAACCTAGGAGCTGTTTCTTATGAACACAGAGAGAGGTTCCATCAGATTCTTCTCAGATAGAAAAGTGGCATAACAGAAGGTGGAATGAGAACATGTTAGTAGTTCACTGCTGGACTCTACAGTATGAAACTACAGAAAAAGAATATAAAAGGAAGAAAACATGTTGTACCATTGTCTGACTGGCAACATAGTCAACCCTACAAGTGAGGCAGCATTCAAAAGTGAAAAAGTGAACCAGGTCAAAAAGATGAAGGGTGTGTAAAGCCATGCTTGAATAAAGACTAGCTTTTGTTATACCGTGTTACGTTGAATCATGTTAAGTGAGCTACATACACTACACGTGTCATTAAGTGTTTCAGTTTTTTAATTTATAGAATTATGAAAAAGTAATTAACATAAATTTATTTGTATCTGGTTAGCCAATTAGCAATGTGTGTACTGAATAAATAATATATTTTGAACAGAAAATGTTTTCCTTCAAAAACATGATTTCTCTCAAAAGTGGTGGGTGTTAGGCCAATTCTGTTGCCAGATTCAGATTCAGCACCATTAAGACTATAAAAATCAGTGAAAATCTTTGAAGGAGTGGAAATAAATTTTTTTGCAGAACAGTATAAAAGCCAGTACAAAGTATGTCACATGTACTGTACAGTACATTACTGTATAAGTAACAACTGGAGAACACTCAGAGCAGCAAATCATAGAAAAAGACTTGTTATACACCAACATGAAGGATGCAAAAAAGCTAAAAATTTTCATGTTAGCCAAGGGAGTGATAGCTAAGGCATTTTGGCAAGCACAAGCCAATGAAAGCATTTTCATCTTAACTACAGTTCTTGATTCACAGCAGAAAAAACTAGAAGACAGGACAAGCTGAAAAGACAATATAAAATTGATTTTTTTCTGTAATCACATCCAATAATTTAAAATATCCATATTGAAATAATACTGGTATGTAATTCAATATAGGCTTATATCCTGCCAATTTGAAGTATGCAGGTTCATTCCAAGTCGGAAACAGTAGTTTTAATGGGCAATTTCTCCCAAATATGTTGACCCTAACATTCACTGTTTGGTCACCTCTATTGTGGGCTTGGGCATCCATAGAAAATTTTCCAGAGGAGGGCAAAGCTTGGAAACAAATTATATCAATAAATTTTTATTTAATTATTGATTTTTTTGGGTTTTTTTTTCACAAANGAAATCACATTAGTTATTTTAGCTTTCAAGTCTTCTAACGATTGAGGTTTGGTTGCATACACTATTGTTTTCACATGTCCCCATAAAAAGAATCTAATGGAATCTGGTGAATGTGGAGGCCAAGAAAATGGTCCGTCTCTTCCAATCTCTAAAAACATTTGTTACTAAATAATTTTATTTAAAACTAGGTACATTAAACTTTCTAATACTTTTTACAAAATTTCTTCTATCACAAATACTAATAAAGTTATAAATTTTTTAAATTGCACATGGACTTTATGGACACCCTGTATCTGCTTTAATGATATATTTTTTCTGTAAAAATAATGTTTATTAATAAAGATTTGAAATAGGTTATTAGATGATTTGTGTAATAAATTAGTGTAGATAATTTGGTTTCTTAATTGGAAAAAAATATATCAAACTGAAATAGCCTCTGTTGTTCTTTTATTGTATTAGTTTTTTTGTCTACTTTCCATTGAAGTTTATTTTAGGTCAATGCAAAAATAATTTAACATTTTTTTATTTCAGTTTTTAAAAATCTAGAAAGTTTACTGTTTAATTTTGAAATACTTTACAACTTCTTACAATTTTTAAAAATCATAATTTTATTTTTTCATGTATTATTTTAAAAATTTTTTATTAGTTTGAATTGCATAATTAAATTTTTTTTGCAAAACTGTCTGCAAACATGATCACGGCATTATGAAGCACATGTGACTCATATGGACATGTCTAGTTAGGGCGACAGACATAATTGCTTGTTTTTCCATGGGGCGGCATATATGTTTTGATAACATAATTCTGAAAACATCATACTTGATATACCGATATTATTTTATTAGGTGCAATAAAATATATCAATTTAATAGTACTATTAAATTAATGGTAACATTTAGGCAGCTGCTGAGCATAACAAGTCATGGGTGATTTGTGACGCCCAGCAGCTGCCTAAATGTTTATCTACTGATGCTGTGAATGTGTTAAGTACTATTTTTTTCTGATTATTCATTTTGGAAAATTTATTTAACCTCAAAATTGTTACACAGAGTTAGAAAATAAATTTAAAAGGTTATCTTAATGAATATAAAGTATAATTTAAAAAATTTTTAAATTTATTCATTAAAAATTATATAATACTGTATGTAAACAGTATGAAAACATCAAATTCTCAAGTTTTTTCCTCCAGAAAAAACATTTTGTGTTTGATTTAGAATATTCTGTCTTTTGATCCATTCAAGTTCTTGATATAACAAAAACAGTTTTTAATAAAACACTTCTTTCATTCTGTGATATCATAACTGAAAAGTAGCATGGAATTTTATTAAAATTTTGCTGTTAATTTTAATTATTTTTTTTAACCTTGTTTGCATCTTTGATCTCACTTTAAATTATAAAATTTAGATGAATATTCATTCCAAATTTTATTTTTAATTTATTTATATTTTGTATTGATGTTATATTGCTTGAAAAAATCTTTAACGAATAATATTGATAATATTTTAAAAAGTTTGTTATAAAAATCTAATATTCATGTATGTATATATGTGTGTGGAATAGATTTTCAAAACAAATTGTTTTTTACTAAAAAATTCATATCAATGTGATGCAAAATGCATATAATTCAGTGATTTTATAATTATTGTTAATGAATTTACATTATGAAAAAGTCATTACTTGTAATTGTATCTTCATTTTATGATTAATTATATTAAGATATGATTTTATCAATTATTCCATAGATCCTTCATCACCAGAAAATCCTAGAATTTTTATTATGTATAAATCATCATTTTTGTTTCCAAATGACATTGAAGCTGAATTTCGTTGGTCACCTCCTCTTCATATCAACGGAATTCTTTTGGGTTACCAAATCAACTGTTGGCATATGAAGGAAAATAAGAGTACATCACTTTGTCATAATGTTACTGTTGATGGTAGTATATTAAAATATAAATTAAAAAATCTACTACCAAATTGTACTTATTCTTTTCAGGTAATATCATCTTATAATAGAAAAATTACATTAATATGATTTTAATTATGAAATCTTAAATTTTCTAATTTTAGGTAGCAGCATATAATGTTATAGGAATTGGAACATTTAGTGACATTGTCAAAACTCATACTTCACAAGAAAATCCAATACCAAAACTTTTACTTGTCAAAACTGATACTGTTGAAATGACTGATCTTGATACAGCTGAAGAGCATTTGCTATCTAATAAAATTATAGAGCCAGTTGCTGTTACATATTTAGCAAAAGATGATAAAATTTTTTGGTTAGATAAAAATAGAGCTCTGATGTCTTCTCATATGGATGGCAGCAATACAGCTCTGGTATTTTTGAGTTAATTTATATTTTCTTATTTAATTTAATTTAATTTATATTAATTAATTACTTTAAATAAACTCTGAATAAATTTACAATGTTTATTTATATGTTATATTACCCTTTAATAATGTAGTAGTGATTAAATAGGAATAATGAAATAAGATTATCAGCACAAAACCTTTCTCACTAATTTCTAGCCTTATTAACAAGAGTACAAGAAGTTAACATACATTGGCTCAACCAATAGATCGCTTAAAAAGAAGATAACTGAGCACAAGTACGACGCGTACAACAAAAAATTCACTTCCACCCTTGCCCAGTTTGCGAGCGAACCTGGTATAACGACCAAATGGGAAGAGGCGAGGATTACTATTCCTATGCACGACCACACCAAGCTTAGGACAGTCGAAATGATTGAAATATTTAAGCAATCCCTCAAAGACGGTTGTATCAACAGCAGAGATGCGGACTCGCTCTCCTCCGCTTGGAAATCATTCTTCGACAACCCCTTGAAATAAATAGACCATCCCACCCTCACCGTGTGCAACCGTTAGCGCTCTTTTACTTGTCGCGTTTATTTCCAATTCTACCTTCTAATCGTAACCCCCTTCCCATCCACGGTCGTTTGCACGCCTCTTCTCACTGTAGCGTTGAGTATTTACGGCCTCAACTATGACGTCACTCCCCACTAACCCCCTGTTGTGGTTGTGCATCTCCTGTATGTAGCGTGCTTACTCTAAAACCTTTTTCCCCAACTTTAGCAAGTATCCTATCTGCACACCTCCCTTCTTTACCAAAAGTATGTAGTTTTCGCCCTCGGTATCGTATACTTATCATCGACGATGACGTCACTGGTAAGACGATACCTGGGTAAACATTGGCAGCATTTAAACTTCTTCTAACCGACGCTCCACAGTGTACCCGAGGAAGGCCTATTAAGAAGGCCGAAAACGTTTGTACTCTTGTTAATAAGGCTAGAAATTAGTGAGAAAGGTTTTGTGCTGATAATCTTAGAAATAGTTCTAGCTACATATGCATAGTAGAATAATGAAATAAATGATGCAGTAGATATTAATAAAATTCTATAGAAGTAAAATATTTAAAACTAATAATTTGTGATTAAAACTTCAAAAATCATTTTTCTTTTTTCAATTAGTTATTACAGATATTTAAATATTAAAATTTATAATTTTAATAACAATAAACAACAAAAAATTAAAATAACATTATACGTTATAAATGTTTATCTAAATAAAATAAATAATAATAGAAAAATACATTTTAAAAATTTTAGTTATTAAGATATTCATTATTGAATAGAAAGATGTACTTTAATTAGACATTCTTTCTTTATTTTTAAAACTTTTTTTTCATAATACAAAGGAACCTCGCTTAATGAGCATAATTTATTCCAGAATCTTACTCATAATGTGAAACACTCGTTAAGCGAAACAGTTTTTCTCATATAAATTAATGTAAAATATGATAATGCGTTCCATGTTGAAAAATATACTCAAATATCTTATGTATAACATTTAGTCAAAGAAAATTATACAATATACATTGTTAAGAAGTGTGAATCATCATCATCTTCTAGCATGGAGTGAATTAACCTGAAATGCGAATTCAATTTGCAGAAAACAAAAATATCACAGATAATATGTCTGATAAACACCTCAAATGATAGTATGAGAATCGTAAGTTTTATTTAAATCAATTAGTAAATTAAAGTAACATTTTGATGTCAAAAATGACACATTTTGTCTCTTTCTGTGGGAAGGGAAGTAAAACTTTCTTTGGGAAAGATGTTATCACACATCTCCAACAAACATCTGTCCATTTGCATCAGAAATAATATCCCGTCAGATGTTATGAATACTAAAACCCAATTGGAGAGGAATTTAGAATAAAAGGCAGAGAAATCATATTCTCAGGGCAGCCAATAATCCAGGACTGTTATAGAGGGATATGACCTGAGGAAGAAGCGACATAGAAGAGGACAGCCATAAAAAGATTCCCGCATAGCCAAAGACGTCAGGCATTGAAGTCCCATCTTGCTACTATACAGCCCTCCTCCGTCTCCATATCAGAAAGACATTTCCACATATCATTTAGATTACACCAACTGAACTGAATCAACTAGCCCAGAGGTATTATAATTAGAACCTTTTGTAAACTCTCTCTCTCTCTCTGTGTGTTCAGAGGTGTATGTAGTTAGGCATTGATTTAATGATAGATTACTCCTTTATGTATTTCTTTATTTTATTCATTAAACTTTTGTTTGTTATTTGTTAACCTGTCTGTTCACTGGATTGAATATTGACATCTGGACTGCCTACAATCAAAACTTACCCATGACTTCCCCACTCGATAAATATACAGCCCTCCTTTTAAATATAGATCTTAATATTGCGAGTTAGGGTGTGAATTCCTACCCTAGCTGGTGTCAGGTCTGATGTCAGAAGGATCATACAATCCTGGCAGCATTTTATAAATTTTGCCATTCACTGACATTGTGAGTGTCACTGTCCCGACGTGACTGTCCCAACAGATCAAAGGGGTTACAAGTAACACTCTTGTATCCTCCCCCATATTCTCACAATATGCCAAATTTCTGGGCTATGTAAAGGCTATAATTAAATATTAGAAATTAATTAATTTGACTAGAGGCATCTCTTATTAAATTTAAAAATTATAAATAATTAATTTTTAATTTAGACATTTCTAAAATTTAATTTAATTTAATTTGAAATTAGTCATTAAATTTAATACAAGATGGCAGCATAACTGCCTACCTGTAGTCAAATTAATCAATTTCTAATATTTAATTATAGCCTTTACATAGCCCAAGAATTTAGCATATTGCTTGGTGTGTTTATTATATAATGGGCTATGGTTGTTGATGTTTATATGTAAAATGTCTGAACACAAGTTTGGAAAAATGTGTGATCACAAGCAACACTAAGATGCTAGTGGAATGAGTGCTGAACACAGACTGAAGTAGCATGTGCATAATCCGGGACTTCCCTTCTCCTCACCATGCATTAAGCAAGTCAAATTTTTCAATTTGTTTTGCTCATTATGTGAAATACTCATTCTGAGGGGTGCTTGTTAAGCGAGATTCTACTGTATCTGATTCCTTGTAATATATACTAAGAAATGCTTTTTTTTTATTGAAAATTAATGTTTCTTAAATGTTTCAAATTACAAAACATTTTAAATATTAAATTTATCTTTGTAAATAATAAATATTTTTCAGTCGAAATTTTGAAAATATATCTGATTTGATTTATATAATAATAATAATAATAATAATAATAAATATTAACGTATTAAATTTTATAGATTCATTCATTATCATCACCAGGAACAAGTTTAACCATTGATTGGATTGGAAGGTATTTATATTGGGCTGAACATGAAAATAATTATTATGATTCTATTTGGAAACTGGATATAACTTCATCACAAGCTCCGCATTTCATATTAAATTATTCTTCTACAATAGATTCAATAGAAGTGGAACCTTTTACTAGGTATATATTTGTTTTTATTAAATAAATGTTATAAAGTAATTATAAAATTTCAAAATATTTAAGTTATTAAAACAAGTGAAGATAAGTTTATATATTATTTTGTCAGCATTTAAATATATATATATTTTTTATAAATATAATTTTGCGTTGATCTACTTATTTAAATTTATCAAAAATATTTTGAATTTGCAATCCTGCTCATTAAGAACAATATTTAATTTACCTTATACAGTTAACCCCCTATAACACTGTTGATAATTCCATTTTATATGAATTCCATGTTGTACGAATCACTTAGATTTTACAAGTACGTGAGCCGTTCACAGCCCGGCACACATATTTATAAAATCTAAGTTACTTGTACAACATGGAATTCATGTAAAATGGAATAATCAACAGTGTTATGGGGGGTCAACTTGTATAAGTCTTATTAAAATTAATAAAGTTCTATTTATACATGAAGATTTGCTTCATGCATGGTTCTGATTTACATATGTCTATCAGTTATATAATGATTAAATACATGAAAAACAAACATAAAAATATATAAAATTAAAGAATATTTTGCTTTAAGAATATTTTTAGATTTAAAGAATTAATTAAATTTTTTGTTATAAGAATATTTCTTTCATTTTAAATATAAAATAAGCTTCTTTCTAATTTTATTTAAAATTTAAAAAAGTAAAAATTTGCCTAAGTTAAAAAGTAAATAAGCAAAAAATACTAATACAGTACAGATATTTCTAGTTTATCTGATTTTTATTCAGATTTATGTCACCAAGAATTTGATTGAATATCATCAGCTAAAACAATTAAATCCATTATTATTTTTTAATTATAATACCTTTTACAATCCTTTCTTAAAGACTAACCATAATTTTTCTTTACTTGTATCAATAACTTTTGTTTACAAATTTTTAATAGAAGAATAATGCTAATGTTATACACTATTTGTACAGTGTTTGTTAAGTAATAAATAAATTGTATGAAATAATTTTATTCATAAATATATAAATAATAAAAGTTAAAATAAAAAACTTTATAATAATAAATTATATTAATAATGAAATTTAAAAAATAAATTGCAAAGCTATACTTAAACTTTAAAATAAAAAATAATAAAAATTTATAATCAGAACTTATTGATTACATAATTAAATCCTCCATAAGATTAATTTTTAGTTCAAATTTTTGAATTATAAAGTCTTTCATTAACTATTTAATATTTTATTAACTTAAAATATACCTCATAAATAGTCTAGAAATTTAGATTTTTAATTGATTGTATTGAATTTGGTTTCAACTTGTATTCTATATTTAGATTTATATTGCTTCTAAAATAATATTAACACTTCAATTATATTTTTAACAAACAACTGCAAAGTTTTAAGGAAAACAAATGATAAATAATGGATTTTGTTTATCTAGCACTATGATGGATATAAGAAGTACAGGGTGGTTATAAATTATTGAGTGCATTTCAAGAAGGAATAAAAAAAATAACACACAAACATAGTGACCCCTGTTTTATTTCAGATGACAGAGTAGCTGTAAAAGTTTGTGCTGACCTTGATTGAATGTAGGTGGCACTGTGATGGAAAATTAGGGAACCTTTTTTTCCAAGCATACAGTGACTAGCACTACATACTTTGATATGTTATAGGGTTATGCTCATGCTACCACAAATTTAATACTGACAACTGAACATTTACTTCCAGCAAGTTGGGGTACCTCTACACTGGAGTTTAATTGCTCAGGACTATATATAAGAAAAATTTCCTGAATGTTGGATTGGCTGCAGAGGACCAATTTCCTGACCACCTTGATTCCCCAACATTACACTACAAAATTTCTTTATTTGGGGGTTTGTTCAAAGACATGTTGTACACAACAAAGGTTTGAAACATTGAAGAACTGAGAAGATGAATTGGTGAACTTTGTGAGATTTTGAGACTTTTTTGTGAGACTTTGGAATTGGTGAGAAGACGAATTGGTGACTTCACCTGCTCTGTGACACATGGTGTGAAATTGAATGCATCTGGATATTACATGGCTACACATGGAGCTCATATGGAAGTTATTTAAAGTGTAAAATATTTTATTTAAAGACCTATTAAATAAAACAGCATGCATACATGTGACTACTTTACTGTATTCTTTTTTCATTCCTCACCAAAATGTGCTGAATAATTTATAACTGCCCTGTGTATATAATGTTAACACAATTGTCATTTTTGATAATAAACAAAAAATTATATAAAATTTTAATAAGATATATTATTTTATAATGTATATCATTAAATTAGTTCAATAATTTAAATGTTAAATTTATAGAACTTCTTCATAAACTTTTCTTTATCACTGGTGGACAGCATAAGAATTACTTAGCATTATGAATTAGCCTAATGCATTTGTTTATGTTTGTTACAACAATTACACCAAAGGTAATAAAGTAATATAATATGTAAAAAAAAATTATGAATCTGAAAAATGCCAATTTTTTAAAAATATGTTAATTTTTTAAAATAGGCTAATTATTTCATAAAATGTATGAATAAAGATGAATTAGAAATAAGTTGATGTAACCTATGCTGACAGTTAACTTTTGGTATCAATTTAACATTGGCATATGATATATTAATTATAATTATCAACCCTTCAATTATAGTTAAATGCAAATTGTTATATGTTACAGTTAAATGCAAATTGTATAGTAAATGCAAATACAAATTGTTTAATTATTTTGAAATGATTGTATTGATTATTTTGAAATTATGTTGATTACAGTCACAATATCAGAAGTATTGCACCTTAAAACCATCATGTAATTTACGTTATATTGTTACAAAATACAAGAAACATTTTTTTATTATAAAATCAGTCCCTGAACTGAATGGANTATTACAGAACTTATTTTTTATTAATTGAGAACTATAAATGACTTAAAAAAATTTAAAAATTTTATACTTGAGTTTGAGGAGACATATTTCCCTTTTTCTAAAACTTTTATAAGTTGCAAAATATTTTAAAATTAGGTTCAATTTAATAGAGATTGTATACATCTACATTGTTTTTTCTGAACCATAATCTCAATTTACATGTGTTATGATTTTTATCATAACACTGTGTGATTCAAACTTTACAACTTAGAAAAACAATCATATGTACATTTTTATTTATTTGTGGCAGGTTCAATATTTTTATTTGATCCTAAAAATTATTTTTAACGTTATAAATACAAATAAATTTATAATGACAAATGATATTTATAATGAATTTTTAAATATTATTAATTATAGTATCCATAAACATGAAATAAGTTCAATAATCACACTGAAATTTGTGTGTTTTAAATAATTCTATGCATACTTGACAGAATAAATGTTGCAAAATCTATTTGCAATATTTAACTGGAATGTTAATTATGCTTCTGTTATTAATAGTTTATGATATAATTTAATTAAAAAATTTGAAATGAGAATTTTTGATTTCAAAAAATGCAAAATATATTTTATATTAATAATAAAGAAGAATACTTTAAAATTAAGAACAGAATTAAAAAATAGCATTAATAGTCATAATTTTTTATATCTTATTGAAAAATTGATATATTATTTATTTGCTTATTAATTTTAAAATAATTTCTAGTAAAACTTTAATTTTTTTCTCTCTTACTCAATTTCTGATATTATTTATAATTTTAATAAATTTTTCAGAAAATTAATATGGTCTGCAATGAAACAAGATAAATATAATTTAATGAGAAGTGATACCAATGGACAAAATATAGAAAATTTTTTCTCATTAAGTAATAATTGTCATTCATCAAAATCTGATATACAAAGAAATCAAATTGGACATTCCTATAATTGTTCATCATCATTGTTTGTTAGAAGAGCATTCACAATAGACAGATCAAATATATCTCATCCAGAATTGCTTTGGGTTGATGGAAATGATGGACATATTTGGGCATCTGATCTAAATGGTTGCAATTGCCGAATTTTAGTTAATGCTAATGAAAATAAAAATATTGGTAAGTATTTAAATAGTTTTAAATTTGTTTTGTAATAATGAATATATAATTACAATCATTACAATAATTTAAATGAATATAAAGTTTATTGAAAAATATTTTGACTTATAATATATATTGATGATGATTGTGAATGATCAGTAATTTTTAAAAAATTATATTCTTTTGGAATAATGCATTTCCATAATTTATTCTATTGTAACAAATGTTTCTGAAAAAAAGATGTTAGAATTTTTAAAATGTTGAATATTATATTATTTTTTGTTATTTGTATGTCATTAACTAATAACAACAGCTACAGAACTGGGCACTAGTATTATCTGAGTAGGATGAAATCCACACACATAATAATAATTTATTGCAAAATGAAAATTGGAATCTAGTCTTTTAAATCTATATTTTTTTATATTTGATAAAAAACTTATCTTAAAATATTTTAGTTTTTTTTTTATTGTTAAAATTTTTAGGAATTACATTAAAAATAAACAAAGTCACCACTTAAGTGTAAATTTAAAAACGGTTTTTAATTGTTATTTTAGTCTGTGTGTTAAAATTGATATTAAATATTTTAATTTATAAATGAAATGAAATAAAAATTGTTAACAAAATGAAAACAACAAGAATTTTTTACAATATATATTGAAAAATATGTTCAAAATATTTAAATCTTGTGTAAAACATGATTAAAGAATATTCAAAACTTAAAAAAAAATTTTTTTATAAAACCTTTTGAGAAATGTTCATTGATGAAATACAAAATAATTGTCAAAACTCATGCATATGTAAAATTTATTTTTTGATTTTAAAGATTAAAAAAAATTGTTTAACATTGTAAATAAAATTTTTAGTATGAATTACTGTATGTGTTTTCTAAATTAGTATACTTTGCTGAATCATTATTTGTTATTAGTCTTGAACTATTAATATATTTGATATTTTTTTAATAGACTCTAATATATTTAACAACATAGAATTATATTAAAATTTATTATTAAAAATTATTTATTTTAAGGATTACCTCCAACTTCTATTACTGCTGATACAACAGCAATCTATTGGTTCAATAATGAGTCAGGTGGAATATATAGCATGAATAAGAATTCTAAGTTTCAAAATCCACCAACTCCTCCTCCTAAACTACCTACTTCAGCTTCACAAAAAAGAAGATTTCAATTGATCAAGGAAATTCAGGGTGTTAAGCAAATATATGCAATTGGTTCACATCTTCAGTCTTATCCAGGTATGTAATTTAGTTATAAATAAGTGTTTAATAAAATAAAAATACTAAAACTTTTTCATTTATTCAAATTTTAATAATTTGATATGATAATTTAAACTTGGAATATGACTTCTTTGATTTTATAAAAAAAAAATTATGTTTATAATAACAATAAATAATAAAATCAAGGACTAAGTCATTAGTACAAGGGCCTACAAGAAATACGTAATCAAAGATACCATGGATGACACATTTAGGAAATGTTATGCTGCACAAGAAACTATACAGTATATTACAGGCAGCTGTAAAAGTCTGGCACAAACAGACTATTTATATAGACATAACCAAGTAGCTAAAATAATTAAAGTATATAGCAAAGAAATATTTACTAGCCAGCACAAAAACACCATATTATAAGCATATTCCACAAACCATCCTTTAGAACACAACACACAAACTATATTTTGACAGTGCAATTATAACAGATAAAAGAATCCATCACAATAGACTGGATATTATCCTTGTTGACAAAGTGCACAAAACTACTTATATCATTGACATTGCTATATATATATATCTACAAAATAGCTATACAGAAAAAATAAGTAAATATACTGAACTTTCTCAAGAAATAAAATTCCTATGGAAAATAGTTTTCTCTGCCATAGGAATTATCCCACATTTATTACATAAAAGCCTGAAAACAATAGATATTCACTCAAATTTATACAGGTTTACAAAAAGCTACTATTCTGACGACTTGTCATATTGTCAGAAAATTTCTCCAAACTGTTTAAGGCTTTGTACTGGTCTTACACACTTGGCTTTTGGGTGAGATTGATACCAGACACAATTCAAGAATGATACACAGTAGGAATAATAATATAGATGTTATATAATAAAATGTTGATATTATGTTTGAATTTCTTTATTCTTTGATATAGTTATTTTTATAAATATGTTATTAAAAATTAAAATTATATTCAAAATATATTTTGTGCACAGTATATCTTATTAAATTTTTTGCTCAAGATATTTGAGAATACTCTTTAACTAATGATTCTGTTATATATTGATACAAATTTATATATTTAGAATATATGAATTAATGAAACTACTTATATATATTTATATGAGGGTGGTTTTTTTCAACCTCAGTGGTTCATAAAACAAAGACAAGTGTAAATAACAAAATGAATTTATTACCAAAAGTTAGATACAAACATGGTTACTTTTTGACATAATCACTGTGAAGATTGAGGCATTTGTCATATCTGTGGATGAGCTTTGCAATCCCCTCTTCATAGAATGTTGCCACCAGTGACTTGAGATGGACCTTAATGTTGTTTTGAAGATCATCATTAGTCTTTAACCTCTGCCTTCCTAGCCATGTTTTCAGTTCAGGAAAGAGGTGGAAGTCTTCATACATTAAAAAGTTCCAAGCTGGGTGGAAATCTGAAAGGTGGAAGTCTTCACCATTTTTAAACACCCAGTTTATAGCCCCGATTTGGCACTGAATGACTTCCACCTCTTTTCTGAACAGAAAAAGTGGCTAGGAGGCAGAGGTTCGAGACTAATGACTATCTTCAAAACAATGCTAGGGTCCATCTCGAGTCATTGGCAGCAACATTCTGTGAAGAGGGGAAGAAAAAGCTCGTCCACAGATATGACAAATGCTCAATCTTCATGGTGATTATGCCAAAAAGTAACCAAGTTTGTACCTAACTTTTGGTAACAAATTCATTTTCTTATTTACTCTTGTCTTTTTTTTTATGGACCATCAGAGCTTGAAAAAAAACAGCCTATGTATATTCTATATTAAAAATAGAAACTTAAATATTTTAAAAATAATTTATTTTTTTACAGATATAAAGTGCCTATATCCATCTGAAAGTGGAATCCCTCAGTTATTAGATAGTTCTTTTAATTCATTAAAGTTACAATTACCTTTAATTTCACATTCTAAAGATTGTACAGATATATCTTTACCTACGTTTCAATATACAATATATTATAGTGAAGTCAATAAATTCAATAAGATAATAAATTGTGAATTTAATATTTCACATTGTATTATTATGGTGAGTTTTAGCATATTAGATATTAGAAGAGTTCTTCATTAAATATCACTAACATATACATATACATATATTTTCTTGCAGAAAACATATGATGATATAATTGTGCTTACTGGATTAAAACCATTTACAACATACATGATACAAGTAGCAATTAATAATTATTATAATAAAGGAAATATTACTCTTGGACCAACTGTTACATATCAAACAAAAGAAGGAGGTAAGATTTTTTTGTACAAAGCATATTAATATTACAATATAAATAATTATATTTATTGTTAAATTATACAAATAATCTCAATCATACATAATTAACAAATTACAGTTCCAAGTGCACCTGATAATATAATTGTGGTTCCAGTATCACCTGAGCAGTTGGATGTTTATTGGAACCCTTCTATCAGATTTAATGGTAAATCAGTTTCTTATGAAGTTCGTTGGAAAGTAGATTACTCTGGTGATCAGTTTAATTTAGACACACATGCAAGAAAAGCCCACGAGAAATGCATGATGAAACTTAAAAATCTTTTGCCTGGAACTAAATATTACATAGTGGCAAGTATAGAACTGCATTTTTATGTTTACTAATTTTTCATTTGCTTCATAAATTTTATATAAGATTTTTATTTAAGGTTAGAGCATATTCTTCTGGTGAAGATTTATATAATGATAGTCAAGAAGTAACTGCAAAAACTTATGATCAGCCTAATAATTTAACTTTATTGGAAACAAATGAAGAGAATTTGAAATTTTCTTGGCTTTCTCCCTCAGATGGAGTTATTCAGCATTCGTTAGAAATAACTGAAGTAATTATTTTAGGAATATTTTTAAAATATAAATATATTTTATTATTAAATTTTAACTACTTTAATTAATTCTTTCTTTTACTTTAATTAATTAATTCTACTTTAATACTTTTATTAAATTTTAATTTAATTAATTTTACTTGAATTTTATAGTGTTTTAAATTTTGAAGGAAAAACTAATTGAGTTTTTTAGAAATTCATAAAAGATATACTTGCAAATAATGTTTTTTGAATGTCTTTCTTTTTACTGATTTGAATGTAACTACATTTTGTTAACTCTAATTACATTATTACATTTTGAGTGGATTTTTTTTACCAGATATGATAGAATTTATTTCCATGATATTTTGAAAATATTTTAGAAGTTGTCTATATTTTTCTTACAATTAATTTAAATTAATAAGTTATGAAAATTAAATTTTAAAGTTCAAAAAAGTAATTATAATTTAATTTTAATATAAATTTATTAAAATAAATTAAATTGTGTATTTCTTAACTTTATTATTAATTATAATTTTAGTACAAAATATCAACTATGTGTACATATGTACATTTGATTTCATTATGAATTTATCAAATAGGATATAATTGCAACTGGAAATTGAATAAGATAATATAAGCAAAACTGAATTAGATATAATAGTACAGTAAACAGAAATTTTTTATAAGGCTGTAACATTTTATTGATGAATATCTTGTTTTTTAAAAGTTGTAAATTTCTATTATACTAGCAGCTGTGATCAAGAATTCTTGAGAAAGCAGCTTAATTTTTATTTAATTTTTGGAAAATCTTTTTTATTGACATTTCTCAAGAAATTGTTTGTGAGAATTTTTGGGCTTAGTATTTAAAATATTATTTTTATTATTATTACTATTTTACATATATATTCCATTAACTATGTTTATTCTTTCAATGATCTTGGCATTAACTTTGATGAGAAACTTATTTTCAGTTTTCACATTGAACAATGTTGCCTGTTATAAAAAAACAAAATTCATATGCATTTGAAAACTATAGAAAATAATTTTAAAATTCATATGAGATACATAATTTAGTTGTTCATCTAAAATTTTATGAAACTGTAGTATATAATATGAGTTTATCCTGTGATGATAGACTGAATATTAGTTTTCCTAAGTTTTTATAGTTTTATGTAATATTAACAGTTTCAAAAATAGACTAGACTATATTACAACATTATGTTAATAATTATGTTAACAATATGTTAATGAAAATAAATCTTTTATTATATAAAATTTCAAAATAATAAGTATTAATACTAGAAAAAATAAAATTATTATTTACACATTTTTTCAGTTACCTGATTTTAATTGGCATGAAGTGTTAAAACAAGAAACTTCTGAAGAAACTGTTTACAACTTTACTATAGAAAATTTATATCCAAGAACAAAATACAGTGTCAGATTGGTACTTACTTATGTTGAAAATAATGTTTCTTATGTTTGGCCTAAAGATACACAGATTATATATGAAACATTGGGCAAAAGTCCTAACATACCAGGAATTCCTTATGTTCAAAATGTAGGAAGAGATCTTTATCAAGTTGTATGGACAGAACCATTTCCCTTTGATGAAAATACTATATATCATTTAGAAAGCAAGTAAGATAGAAATTTAGAATAATAATAATAATTTTTCCTAAATGTAACTTGTTGCAAAATAGCAAACATTTTCAGACTATCTTCTAGACCAAGGATGGGCAACCCTTGGCATGCCAATGATTTTTTTCTGACTTGCAACCCAGGGCTCAGCTTAAAAAATATATATCTAACATCTTCACTAAGTTGTATATTTTAACTTAATACAATACAATTGTATTGTATTAAGTTACTAAATACTAAATAAAAATGCAATAAAGAAACAAACTCTATCAACTGTTTTAATAATTAATAATAAGTACAGTACATCTAACATATCTGAATAATCTGACATATATGGGACCAAAACAGTGTCCAATTAAGAAGATTGCTGAATTATTGGAAATTCACACAGTTTTATGAATTAACAATTTAAGGCAATAGAAATGTGATTTAAATAAGAATAGAAATCATATAATGAATTGAGCACATAAATGAATCTGACAGCATGTTGTTAACTATTAATAATGCAGCAAAGTACAAGTTGCACTACTGATACAGTATTGTTTTAAGATACTGTACCTTTTTGAGTAACCTAAGATGACAAGCTGAATAATTTTTAATGTAGTGCCCAAGCTTGACTGTTCAAGCTCAGGCTCATGTTTAATGGGAAGCTGTGTAAGTTTAGTGAAATGGGAGTTTTTAACTAGTGAGAAGCTAGTCTACAATTTGGCAACAGTGCTGGTAATACCTGAGAGTCTAGTGTTGGATTACTGGACATGTCAAACTAATGCAAAATCAGATTACCAAGATTATACTGTAATAAGAAAATTAAATAAACATTCTATTTCCAAGACTTTCTGCAATGTACTGACTTTTAAGCAGAATTTTCAATTTAGCAGAAAATCTAGCTTTCCTTTAGCATCATTTAACTTCTAGACCATATAATAATAAACTTCCAAAAATTTAGATGGGTGCATGAGAAAATTTTGCATCATAGATTTGGTAATTTGGCACACACTTAAAAAGGTTGCCCACTCCCTGTTCTAGGGTTATATTTGAACAAATTTAGGTTTTAAAGATATAGACAAAATATTTAAATAAATAAGCATTTTCATAAAATAATATTGTTATGAAATAAATTAAATAATTAAAAAAATAATAATAATGATGTTTATAATACAATTTAACCTTTTTAAAATTAACAACTGAAAAATGAATTGATTTAAAAATTAAATATTTTTATAGGATATTTAAAGAAGATGAATCAGATTATTCACAATGGAAATTAGTATATAATGGAACAGTCAATCAATGGTTAACTGAAAATTTGCTTCCCAAATTTTATTATCAGTTCAGAGTACAAGCAATAAATGATTATGGAGAAAGCAATTTTAGTAATGCAAGTCAACCATTTATGGCATTAAATAGTATAGGTAAATATATGATTATTAAAACTTTTTAAATTAGAATAAATTATAAATACTTTATTTACTCGCATATAAGGCAATCTTGCATACAGGACAAGGTGTGACTTTAAAGATCAAAATAAAGAATTTGATTTATTAATACAATTCTGATTTTATTTCATTTAATCACAAATAAAATATCAAGTACACATAAATGCACACATTTTCCCATAAAAATTACTGACATTTTAAACTTTAAGAAAAATCTTGTAAAATTGACAACATAATTTTTTCATGTAAAGCTGACAATTATTGAGAACCTTTTTTTGTCAATTCTTAACAGTCAAATTCATTCTTTGTCAATTACACTTATGAGTTTCTCTGAGTTCTGATTTCTGAATAATCATCTGTTTTCACAAGGAAATGAATTAAAACTTATATCGGGCTCCCATGTGATTTTAGAATTCAATACAAAAGCTCTGCTTTTCCTATTACTATTCATCTTTACTCCTGACAATACACAAGAACAATTCAAACAACCAGATAAAATACTTTTGTTTTTAAACATGAGGGTGAGCATCCGGTAAAAAATGTGAATATGTGGTTTACAAAAATTATTGCAAAAATGCAAAGAATTTTTTGCTTGCATGTATAGGTTTTTCAAGCAGGGAAAAATGAATAAAAATCTCGTCTTATATGCAAGTAAATAAGGTAAGTCTTTATTTTATATTATTAAATTACTAATAATAATTATAGGAAATTTTAGTAATATTTGCAAAACATTTGATAACATAAAATTCTTAATATATGTATTTAAAAAATTGGAAAATACATATTAAAGGTCTTTCACATATAATTTATCATATAAAAGTATTAAAATTTATGTCATAGCCCAGAAGTAATAGGACAATTAAATATTTTATATTTTAGCAGAAATGTTATTAGTAGAATATAATGTACATGCAACGTATGTTCAGAATATAATATTTAAACATGCAAAACAAAACAAAATATAATTACAAAAATTGTTTAAAATTTTGTCCATTTATATCAAAAATCATTTAATTCTTGTAAACACAAAGTTATTATGGTCTGTTTAGTTCTAATATTTCATTATTAAACGAATTTTTAAATTCTAAATAATCAAAATAATAATATAATATATATAGTCTTATTCCATTTTAAAGACTTATAACAGTTTTAAGTATTATCATTAATAAATCTAAAACAAATTTACTCTTACTAATCTGAGCCTGTGCTAATCCAATCTCTCCTTAATCCAAATCAATTTGATTTGTTTTTTACTGTTTTTGACAAATTAATGAATTTTATATGATTTTGAGAATGCTCAATTATAACAAATTATTGAGAGTAAAACATGCAGTAACACACATTAAACAGAATAATGGAAAATTTCTTGAAGAAAGTCATATAAGTTTATGTTTTTATGAGATTTCTAGACTTTATTGAAAGAGTAGTTAAAAATAATAAAAACCATTTATTGGATAAATGGAAAAGATGAGAAATTCTAGAAAACTGAAAGAAATATGCAGAAGTGTTAGTCAGTTTTAACACTTGCATTAAATAGGATATTTACTCACAAGATCTTATTATTTTACATCTATACGTCTATTTTATATTTTGTGATTATTTATTTGATTTTTCATAGAAAATATTAATATTGTAATGATATTGAGAAATGATTTATCTATTAAAAATCAGTTTCTGTATTGATAATTATAAGTAGTAAATAATTTTTCTTTCTTTTAATAGTATTTATTTTTGTTCTTAGCTCTAGCTAATCAAACAAATGGACAAATTACAGTTATACTTGCTTCCATTTTACCAACTTTATTTTTTATTGCAAGCTCTCTTGGAATAGTAGGATATATAAGTATGTATTTTTATAATTTAAATAATTAATTTTTAATTTAGACATTTCTAAAATTTAATTTGAAATTGGTCATTAAATTTAATACAATACAATTTGACTAAAGGTAGGCATAACTGGTAAAGATAGACTAAAGGTAGACTATATAACCTTTAGTCAAATTAATCAATTTCTAATATTTAATTATAGCCTTTACATAGCCCAAGAATTTGACATATTGCTTGGCATGTTTATTATATAATGGGCTATGGTTATTGATGTTTATATGTAAAATGTCTGAACACAAGTTTGGAAAAATGTGTAATCACAAGTGACACTAAGATGCCAAAAAAATCACATCAACCAAAAAAAACTGCAATGAAAAGGAAACCTGGACCATAACAAAAGATTCAAACCCACATTCATAAGTAGACCCCTTTTCCTTGTCAATCTCTGCCTTCGTAGATAAGATGCTTCCTACTCCTCAAACTAACATCCCCAAAACAAACAAAACACCCAGAACAAAAATTATCATATATAAACCTACTAATTAAAGGAATAATGCTAATGCTTAGGATTACTTTTCTTCAGAGCTTAAAAGTTATCAGTATCTTATATTATTTTTTAGCTCCACAAACTAAAGTTTTATAATATAAACTACTAAGATAATTTCAGTATATTATTAAGTCTATTTTGATGATTAGCAGAACAAGTGCTGAACATAGACTGATATAGTATGTGCACAATCTGGTACTTCCCCTCTCCTCATCACTCAGATGAGATGTCACTCATTAAGTGATTCACTTTTTTTACAATTTGTTTTGCTCATTATGTGAATTACTCGTTATGAGAGGTGTTGATAAATTATATAATTTAAATCATATTTAATATTGAAATTGCTACCCCATCATAATTCAAAATATAGACAGTTGTTTTTTATTATTATTATCCCAAAATATACTATATAAATTCAGATTGGACTGTAGCTGAAAATCAATTGTTTATCATAGACTGGCTGTGTTAATGTTATCATGAGGATTAGTCTTCTATTTGCAAATTACTTATTTTTACTACTAAAAACGATTAAGTTCTGTTTCATATTTTAAATCACATTTCTATCATGTTATAATCAATTGCCATCCAGAAACATTAGCTCATAAGAACAGTATGAACAACTTTTGAAACAGACTGTGCATATTTATTAACAAATCACAAAATTAATTTTATTTCTCAATAAATGGGATCATTAAGTTGTAATCTAAACATTTTCAGTTAAGTATAAAATCCTGTTTTTTTGTGATTTTTCTGCTGTTTAAAATTTGAATTTTAAGAGCAATCATGTTTATTACAAAAAAGAACAACTTCCATTTTGTAATTGAAATAAATAAAATTTTTAGAATTTATGAATAAATGTCATCATTCTTTTCCTTAGCAAGTGAAACTGGAATAAAAAATTTATTCTTGGATGCATATAACTTTAATGTTAGATCATTTTTGATATTCTTTCATAAAACAAAAATCTGTATATGTAGATAAATAGATCTTCAACATCTTAACATTTTAATTAATTAGTTAAATTAGTTAAAAAAATTCTTTATCCAATTGAGACTAAATAGAGAAATTATATTGATTAATAATAATACTTACCAATTTTCTAAACTATTCTGTATAAGTTGTGACGTTGCCATGTCTAAATTTAATCTATTTTGTACTTGTAATAAGGCTCAAGAGTTATGTAAACGATATAATCTTGAAGCTTTAATCTCCAAAAATAATGAAAATTCTACATATCTATTCTTCCACAGAGCTAAAAAGAATACTATATATAATTTATTCAACTACGCACAAAAATATTTTGTTATTAACCAACCAAATATACTATCTTTGTAATTACTCCTTTGTTAAATATAAACAAAATTAAGATTGTGTTGTTATAGATTGTCCTTTTGGACTATTTGTCTTAAATTGATTTATGTTATTCTTTACTTATAATTTGTTAAAATAATACCACCTTCTTGTAACAGGCATAAGCCTATTATAAATAAAGTTTATTGATGATGATGATGATGAACATTTTAATTATATAACATAAATTCATAAATAAAAAAATTTAATATATTATTAATTTTCAGTAATTTCAAGCATGAACATATATTACAATTATTAGGAGTTTGTCTAAATAATAATCCCAATTTTATAATTTTGGAACTAATGGAAGGAGGAGATCTACTGACTTATTTGCGTTCACATAGACCATCAATTGTAAGTATTGTATTGTGTGACTGTTTACATACTGTAATTTGCTTTTTTATTTAATTAAATAATGTATATCACAGAAATCAATTTTAAATCTGATTTTTCTAACAGCACATCTCTTCAGAAAGAGTTTGATTTGTATTAAAAAAATTAAATTGTATTAAAAAGGTTTTCAATAAATATTATTAAAATATTTATTAAAAATTGTTTTAATACAAAAGAAATCTATTTGATATAAAATTTTATAAATGTATTACCATTTTTTTATTACCAAATTTCTTACGTTAGGAAATACTTTGTAACATACAATGTGTACAAAATAAATATTATGAATATAATTTGATAATTGATCTAATAATAGAGAAACAAAATAAAATCAATGTAGCTTACATTAAAAATTATGGGATTATTAATTAAAAGAAATATAAATATAAATCAATGTTATTGGAGTGAAAATAGCAGAAATTTTATTATAATATTTGGTTTGTGTTCATATTTTAAAAAGTTTCATTCTGATGTAATTATATATATAAATAACACCAATAACAAGAATATATGATTTCATCTTTTTCTTTCATATTTTATTAAATGTCTGGCTAAATGTCTCACTATTTTTAGAAACTTGACTTGACAATTGTTAATGAATGTTAAACAAATTATTATTTAATTTTTTTTTTACAGTTTACATCTAATCCATTAAATCTGGAAGATCTACTTTCAATATGTGTTGATGTAGCAAAAGGTTGCAAATGCTTGGAAGAAATGCATTTTGTACATAGGTAAGTACTTTAATATTGTTATTTTTAAGCTTCAGAAAGTTAATCCATCTATAAGTAATATTTGGGAATATTACTATGATTATATAATTATACAAATTATGCTATTATTAGAATGTTCTTTATTCTTTTCTTTATATGTATATATTTGTACGTATCTAATTATGTTACAAGATGAACAATAGATAGTAATTATTAATGCATAATATAAATGTAATTTATTAAAAATATGTATTAATATAAAGTATAAGTAATAATAAATAATTGTAGGTAATGCCGAACACTAGAAATTTTCATATATGAGTACTTTATTATCATCTGGGTACCTGTGATTGGGCATTTTGTAGCCAGATTTTCTAACAAATTTTTAAAAAGTCAGATTTATTAAACAAAGATGGACTGTTGACAATAAAAATTTTAAAACTAATTAATCACTATAGTATATAATAAAAATGAATGTATGTCTGTCTGTCCTTCATGCATTGCTATATCATTTATCCAATTGCCATGAAACTTTGGGAAGTTGTTTAATACACTCCTGCAAAGGTTTCTGGCATAGTACATTTATCCTATGATAGATGGCGCATGTGTATACAAGCATTTCATTGTGAGGATTTCAGCACAGTTAGGAGTTGAAACTTGAAATTTGGTACACAGTTAGGGGTACGTTACAAGAATGCACACTAACAAGGGATTTTTTAAGTCCTCTGCGGGGAAAGGGACAGGATTAAGGCTTTAACAATGGAAGTGTTAAGAATAGAAGTGTTAAGAGAAAGCAACGTGCAAGATTTACAGGTGCAGATGTGGTTTTTTGCGTTAAATCGAACATAATTTTAGACCCATCTAAAAATTTTCTAATTAGTCTGGAAACAGGGGAACTTAATTCTTGTATTATGTGAAAATGGGTAAGATTGGCTGTAATGTAATAATCTTAATCTTTGCTATAGTTACTTTTTGCCCAAGCAACGACAAGGCTTATCTGCTAGTAGTATATAAAAATCAATGCATTAAAAATGTTATAATGTGTAAATATAAGAAATTTAATATTTTAAAGTTTGTTATTTACTTCAATCAGTGGTATTAAAAAATAATAAATTTGTTTTTTATATTATTTAATTTGTTAAATAAATTCACATTTTTGAGATTCACTTATTATATCTGCATACTTTATTTTTATAAACTTTGTATTTATTTTTAAAATAAGTATCTTTGAATTACCTGTCAGTTTTCAAATTATTCCAAAAAGTTCTATTATTATATATTGATATGTATCAATAAAAATTAATTTTACTATAGTTATACTGTAAATAAAATTTAATAAGTTTTTTTTCATATTTTATTATTATATGAATTTCTAAAATTTTATTAGCATTTCCATTNTGATGATGAACATTTTAATTATATAACATAAATTCATAAATAAAAAAATTTAATATATTATTAATTTTCAGTAATTTCAAGCATGAACATATATTACAATTATTAGGAGTTTGTCTAAATAATAATCCCAATTTTATAATTTTGGAACTAATGGAAGGAGGAGATCTACTGACTTATTTGCGTTCACATAGACCATCAATTGTAAGTATTGTATTGTGTGACTGTTTACATACTGTAATTTGCTTTTTTATTTAATTAAATAATGTATATCACAGAAATCAATTTTAAATCTGATTTTTCTAACAGCACATCTCTTCAGAAAGAGTTTGATTTGTATTAAAAAAATTAAATTGTATTAAAAAGGTTTTCAATAAATATTATTAAAATATTTATTAAAAATTGTTTTAATACAAAAGAAATCTATTTGATATAAAATTTTATAAATGTATTACCATTTTTTTATTACCAAATTTCTTACGTTAGGAAATACTTTGTAACATACAATGTGTACAAAATAAATATTATGAATATAATTTGATAATTGATCTAATAATAGAGAAACAAAATAAAATCAATGTAGCTTACATTAAAAATTATGGGATTATTAATTAAAAGAAATATAAATATAAATCAATGTTATTGGAGTGAAAATAGCAGAAATTTTATTATAATATTTGGTTTGTGTTCATATTTTAAAAAGTTTCATTCTGATGTAATTATATATATAAATAACACCAATAACAAGAATATATGATTTCATCTTTTTCTTTCATATTTTATTAAATGTCTGGCTAAATGTCTCACTATTTTTAGAAACTTGACTTGACAATTGTTAATGAATGTTAAACAAATTATTATTTAATTTTTTTTTTACAGTTTACATCTAATCCATTAAATCTGGAAGATCTACTTTCAATATGTGTTGATGTAGCAAAAGGTTGCAAATGCTTGGAAGAAATGCATTTTGTACATAGGTAAGTACTTTAATATTGTTATTTTTAAGCTTCAGAAAGTTAATCCATCTATAAGTAATATTTGGGAATATTACTATGATTATATAATTATACAAATTATGCTATTATTAGAATGTTCTTTATTCTTTTCTTTATATGTATATATTTGTACGTATCTAATTATGTTACAAGATGAACAATAGATAGTAATTATTAATGCATAATATAAATGTAATTTATTAAAAATATGTATTAATATAAAGTATAAGTAATAATAAATAATTGTAGGTAATGCCGAACACTAGAAATTTTCATATATGAGTACTTTATTATCATCTGGGTACCTGTGATTGGGCATTTTGTAGCCAGATTTTCTAACAAATTTTTAAAAAGTCAGATTTATTAAACAAAGATGGACTGTTGACAATAAAAATTTTAAAACTAATTAATCACTATAGTATATAATAAAAATGAATGTATGTCTGTCTGTCCTTCATGCATTGCTATATCATTTATCCAATTGCCATGAAACTTTGGGAAGTTGTTTAATACACTCCTGCAAAGGTTTCTGGCATAGTACATTTATCCTATGATAGATGGCGCATGTGTATACAAGCATTTCATTGTGAGGATTTCAGCACAGTTAGGAGTTGAAACTTGAAATTTGGTACACAGTTAGGGGTACGTTACAAGAATGCACACTAACAAGGGATTTTTTAAGTCCTCTGCGGGGAAAGGGACAGGATTAAGGCTTTAACAATGGAAGTGTTAAGAATAGAAGTGTTAAGAGAAAGCAACGTGCAAGATTTACAGGTGCAGATGTGGTTTTTTGCGTTAAATCGAACATAATTTTAGACCCATCTAAAAATTTTCTAATTAGTCTGGAAACAGGGGAACTTAATTCTTGTATTATGTGAAAATGGGTAAGATTGGCTGTAATGTAATAATCTTAATCTTTGCTATAGTTACTTTTTGCCCAAGCAACGACAAGGCTTATCTGCTAGTAGTATATAAAAATCAATGCATTAAAAATGTTATAATGTGTAAATATAAGAAATTTAATATTTTAAAGTTTGTTATTTACTTCAATCAGTGGTATTAAAAAATAATAAATTTGTTTTTTATATTATTTAATTTGTTAAATAAATTCACATTTTTGAGATTCACTTATTATATCTGCATACTTTATTTTTATAAACTTTGTATTTATTTTTAAAATAAGTATCTTTGAATTACCTGTCAGTTTTCAAATTATTCCAAAAAGTTCTATTATTATATATTGATATGTATCAATAAAAATTAATTTTACTATAGTTATACTGTAAATAAAATTTAATAAGTTTTTTTTCATATTTTATTATTATATGAATTTCTAAAATTTTATTAGCATTTCCATTTTTTAAAACAAAATATGTTAAAAATTTTAACTGTAAATTTATCATTTTTTTATATACATCATAATATAAATTTATAATGCACTATTAATAAAAACAGATTATTGAATTATGAAAATAGACTCCTATAATATACTTTGTTGTATTTTTTAAAATATCTTTTTAGGGATTTAGCAGCCCGCAATTGTTTAGTATCAAGCCATGATCCTTTTACAAGAATTGTAAAGATTGGAGATTTTGGTTTAGCTCGAGATATATATAAAAATGATTATTACCGGAAAGAAGGAGAAGGCTTATTACCAGTTAGATGGATGGCACCTGAATCTTTGGTGGATGGAGTATTTACTAATCAATCAGATGTGTGGTGAGATTATATTTCATTAAATTTATTAATTAATTTATTATTATTAATACAAAATTAAATTACATTAAAATTCTTCAATATAATTGAAAGCAATATTAAAAAAAATACTTTTTAAGTTTTTAAACACAATATTCACGTATTCTTATCATTCTATGTGAATACTGACATTACAAAGTTTTCTAACCAAATACTTAATACATCATTAGCAATAGCTTCATTAGTTAGAAATAATCAAAATTTAAAGGAAGATTTTATTTAAAACTTTAGACTCAAAAATTTCTACAAATTTTTTTTAATATTGTCTAATAAAATTGATTTTAAATTTAAAAGTTTATAAACATTCATAAAAATTTAAAATAATGTTATCCTTTTAAAGTGCTTACAATTTTATGTTAACATTGTAAATGAAGCACTCTTATTTGTAAAGATTTATTTCAGGTTTAATAATAAGAAAAGCCTAAAGACTCAACATTCAGTCTGCAGAGTTTTCTATGACTGAGTTTCTCAAGCAACTTTGTTTATTAACAGTAAAATTGTATCAGACCAAGACCAAGACCAGTTCAAGTTCTGTGATAGTCTTTTTCACTGAACAAACACTATTAAAATAAATATACTTTTACAAAATAATTTTGAAAAATAAAAGTAAATCTCAGAAGGGAAATTGTTTCTCCTGGCTTGTCTTTACTAGCACTCTAGAATTGAAAGCTAGAAAAGTTTGTATGTTGGCAATTACATGGATTTCATGTCATTATAGAACAACAATGTTGTCAATTTTAACTTTGTGTGATTTTTTTTTGATAATTTTATTATGTGTTCTAATGAAGTTTATTCAAACCAATATACTGTTACTTCTGTGGTAGTGTTAAAAGGATGAAAGATAGACTTGAAAATTTTATAATTTTTGTAAATAGTCATAATTCAATTTCTAACAACAATGTCATTACTGTTCAATACAAAATAAATATTCAAAGACAAAACAAGAATTTTTCATAACTCACTTCTTGTCTATTGCTAGACAGTTGTATTTTTGGATCAGATATTGATTGATTAAATGATGTTTTTCCATTTGATATTACAATCAAATTTATTAGAAATATCTCTATAATTCTAGATTATACTTAAAATCTTACTGATATTTGAGGAATCTAAAATTGATATGGACTTATGTATACTCAAAAAACAATTTTGATGTTATTAGCCACATATCCTTCATAGCTCAGATGGTTATGCATGATCAACAAAACCGGTGTTACAAAGATTCAATGTAATCAACTTCAGATTCAAATGTTTTTAGTTAAAAATCCTATCTTCTAAAGTTTAACAATAAATATAAAGTTTCAATATATTGTTAAGTCCTTGAAAATGTTTTTTATATCTGAAAATATTTAAGATTACCATCATTTTTCAACTCATAGTAAAACAACTTGATTCTGAAGTTTGTGCATATTGTCCTTATCATGATTATATGAGTAATCAAAATGCTTCTTCAACTCTTGTAAAATTACATTATTTTTTATTGAGAACATTTAATTTGCTTAAAGAAAATCTACTATCTAATAAACATTCTCTTTATAGTATTACAATTTACAAACTATTGATTATGAAAAATTTAATGCATAATAGGACCCATAGGATTATTTAATTAATATTGATCTTCTCAATGAAAAAATTAAACTAATAATAATTATAAGATAGGCACATTTTATTACTAAGAATAGAATGGCTAATGATTAAAATTATTATTACAAGCTGTAATATTACAAAATTATATTTTAATGAATACTATGTTTTCCGACATGAAGAACACTATTATGAGATTCATTATGAGCAAATAAAACCTGGTCAGATATAATTATGTGATAATGAAGCATATCAATATAAAATCAAGCAGAAATTAATAAATTTAAAATACATTAATTTATTTTTTTAAACATTTTAAAACTTTATGAAAAGTTATAAATATAATTCATAACTGATGTTTTTTTCAGGGCATTTGGTGTTCTTTTATGGGAAGTTATGACATTAGGTCAACAGCCATATCCAGCTCGTACTAATTTAGAAGTACTGCATTATGTTAGAATTGGTGGACAATTAGATAAACCTCAGAATTGTCCAGATGATCTGTAAGTTTAATTTTTTTATTTAATTTGAAGATTTAGTAACTTATTTAAAGTATTTTTCTATTTTATTATGTCATTATATTAAATTGTAATAAAATATATTTATATTAAGAGAAAGTATCATTTTAATTGAAAATAAAAATTATACATTTTTAATTTAACTGATATTTTATCTTAATTGATTTTTTGATGCAAAATGTATTTATATTAAATTATATATAAATTATGTATTTTTAAATCTTTAAACTTCTTATGAAACTTGAGAGTTACATTAACAAACTACTTTTTTGAGACCAACCTGAGAAAATGTCTTCTAATGCCCAAGTACTTTCAAGCTAGCAAGCTCATTTTCAGTGGTCACTCTAACTGCAACTTTTACTTTTGAATAAATGGATAACCAGATAAGAAGAAAACAAAAAGAAAAGAAAAAAGAAATACTTCGATTAAAAGAAAACATCTGAAAGAAGACACTATATAGAATTTATCTACATAATGGTTTAGAATATTTTTAAAAACAAAGATAATGAAAAATAATACAAAAGGTTTTGAATATATTTAAAGCATTGAATTCCCCAGGTATTTGTTAGAGTGTCCCCTGAAGATGCACTTTTTGGTTTGAAAGTACTGGATGTTAGAAGATAAACTGTTTTCTCAGAGTGGTCTCCAAAAATCAGTTCATTTAACTTTTAAGCTATATATTATTATTTAACCTGCTATTTTAATAATTATGTACTACATATATAACCAATATCCAGCAAGAAAATATAAAAAAACCTATGTGAAGTCATAAATGATCATCATCAGTTACCCTGATGATGACTCTTCAATATGGATGAAAACATTTGCTTTCTTGTAGTTTTTTTTCTATGTGTAGTGCTTATTTACTTATACCCGGGTGGAGTAGTTTAATTTATTTTAGTAATGCCAATTTATGAATAATTCAGACAAAATTTAATCAAAAATGATGTTTTTATCACATGTTATATTAGATAAGGTTTCAATCAATCATAAATTTATTGTTCATATACAGGGCCATAAAGAGCTTGTAAATGAAAATAGAAAAAGGGACCCAATCTACCCCTTGGGTCCCTTTTTCTATTTTAATTTTTTTGAACAATTAAAATATGTAAAATCTTTATTAATTAATAAAAAAGCAGTCATAAATATCTATAATACTGTAATGGACAGCACGTCAATCGTTTAATAGGAGAAAACTTTTTTAACATATAAGCGTTAAATTACAAATAAACATCATTAAATCATCAAGTGCTTTTGACGATAATTATTTTCATCTTTATCAGGTCATTAAAACATTTAAAATCCTTTTTTTTCGAATACAAATAACAAACCATTCCAAGCGTATTAACGTTTTGGAATAAAGCAATGGTAGAACATAAGAAAATTTTTGAATGAAAACAACGTTAGAACATAAAATTTTTTTGACGAAAACAAGTTCGGTTATAATGCACATGCGTTAAATGCCTCCAAATTGTGGAGCTAGATACGTTGTTTTAGATAGTTATACAAATTTATCCACAAAGGGGACAAATCAAGTGTGGGGGTGTTGCAGGGCTTTAATATGTTGGTAAGGAGGGCTTCCCAAATATACACAAGATTTCTATTATTGCATTGTCTTAATATGGCCACTTCACCCCACAATGGGGTATGTTGGTGTTGTAACACTATTCTAGCAAGTTCGGTTTCATTCTTGCCTTCCCTGATAGAATATTGATGTTCTAAAATACAATACGACAACATTCTGGTTGTTGCGCCAATATAATGGGTGCAACCTCCCAACACATTTTCCAATGGGACAGAGTAAGCCCCCGATCTTTCAAGGGTGGATATGGGATCTCTGTCATTGGACAACACCTCCTAAGATTTGGCCATGGAGAAACCGGCAGAAAAAAGGCATGTCACCTAAAAATACGGCAAATACGGACGGTGACTTGACCACAAAACGGTATCGCGGGCAGGACTATTGTAGACTCTTTTGGAAGTGTAGTGTAGTAATGGGAAAGAGTGATCTTTTTACCTTATTTAAGATGTAGATAAACTTGGCATTACTGTAGTCTGCCTCATTTACCACACAACAAATAATATTAAGCTCATAAATATTTTAAAGTCATAAATATTTTATTTTTGTTAGTAAAAGTAATGTTAATTTATAGGAGCAGGAACCATCCCAAATTTCCCCTTCTAGACGGCCCTGCCTGAGAGAGAGAGAGAGAAGGCTGACCATCTTATTCTTTTAATAGGCTAGAGCAAGAGGTTTCCTGAATGTGTCATTATTCTGATAGTTTTCGGTCCCGTTTTAACGGAATAGAAAAACGAACTTACGTCAGTTAAGAAAAATAAATTAGTCTGACGTGAAAACTGTCATATGATATCATCGAATTTATTTATATTACTTAATTGTCATTCTATATTAAATTTAACCTTTAATAATAATATCTTAAAAACAAATTATTTATTCATTACTCTTAATATGTAGTATGCATTTAATCGTAAATTAATTAAATATTTTTTCGAATATTTATATTTTATTGTACCTGTATTTATTTATTTATATTCAACAATAGGAATTAATTAAATATTTTTTCGAATATTTATATTTTATTGTATTTATATATTTATATTCAACAATAGGAACTAATGTTATATTTTATTAAATTTAAGTATNGTTTAAAAGATAAAATAATGTTTATTAATTGTGATTAATTATTTGTTGATTACTCTATAAAGTAATCCACAAATTTACAGAAACTAAAACATTTGATAGTGATTTATAATTTTTTCTTATTGCCTATATGTAAAACTCATGCATACATTAATAAAATAGAAAAATGATGTTAAGTTTAGATTCCATTATCATATAGATATTTGCATTATAAACAAATTTTTAAATGCTTAATTAGGTTCCAATATACACTGGTGTGCAAAACTTAAGCAATGGTTGTTTTTTTTACTGTAACTCTGCAAGAAATCACCTGTGAGATATGACATTCAGAATATAGACACAGTATTTTGTACTTAAAGAATGAAGAAAGTATACTAGTGCAGAAAAAGTTAATAGAATGCATATAGGAATCAAAACCACTGTACTCTTGCACTGCACATGCTGACTGCACATGTTTTGTGTGCCCTCTAGTTACTTGTGATGTGATTTTCCTGCACACAAATCACCTTCCTACTGAATTGGGTGTTCACTGTTCATATACTGATCACAACAAGTCCTTTTCTACAATATAATGGCTGTCTGATTAAAAATTATATTGTTATTTAAGTTTCGCATGCCAGTGTATATATATATATATAAAATGCTTTGATATGGAATTTATCTCAAAAATGCTAATTTAGATGCAAGTTTTAATATGTGATTAAGGAATAATAATATTTAATTATTATTTAATATTTATTATTATAATTAATTTAATAGATTTATAGCTTAAAAACATAAAATTATTATTATTTTCCTATAAAATTAATATAAAATATAATTTTTATAGTCATCAGTTAATGGTTATGTGCTGGAGTTATTATCCAGAAAATCGTCCTACTTTTGATTACTGTTTAGAAAAATTGAAAGAATTACATAGGAAGTCTACAAGTGCTTCTCATATAGATTCTGTACATAATCATAATTATTTAGGACATATACATAATGGTAAGATTGTTTTGTTTTTGATTTTTTATGTTTCAGTTTGGAGATATAATTGTAATAAATCTACTTTGTTTTAAAATTAAAATATATTTTGCTGTACTTTAAATTTGTTTTTTTAATATTTGAAAGTCTTAAAATTTTTGAATTAAAGATTTATTCCTTTTAATTATGCATTAAAAATCTATGCTATGATAAATTTAATGTTTTTAACTGAAATGAAATTGAAAAATTTTTAGTAAATAAATAAGTGAATAAATAAATAAAAAAATATTGAAAGTAATTTTTGAAACAGTTTTTATATTTATACAATGTTTATTGTTAATGTAAAAAAATATATTAAGTGTCAATTAGATCAGGTTTTTTTCACTTTAAATATTCAAAATCAATTTTTTCATTAAAAGTTTAATTAAAAATATGTTAAAAAATAAATCAATATTATTTTTACAATAATAATAATAAAATGTTATAACTGTTTCAAATGATAATATTAAAAATAAATTAATTAAAATTGATAATAACACAAGTATAATTATATATTAATATTTATTTATTTTAATAAACATTGTTCTTGTTAAGGTTTATCATTTATATTTGGTATGGTATATTTTTAAAATGTCAACTGATGATTAAATGCACATATTTTTCAGTCAGATAATAATTCATTAATAATTTTCGTAAACTGTGTTTATATCTGAAAGTTATTTTATTGTAATAAATTTTATTGTTATATAAATGTATTTCTAATTGATTAAAAATTTTTTAATAATCTTTAATTTTTTGCTTCACTGCTTTACGGCATTAACTGTGATATATATATTCTGATAAATAACTTTTATTCTTATTAAAACAAATTAACGCCCAATTAAGAATTACCTTAATAAATTTGAAAATGATTGATTTCATTTCTGTGTTGGCATGCATATTATTGTGATTTTTATGCATGACTTGCTAAAATTTTTTCTTGCAAATTCAGTTATTGTATATTGCATGCAATTTGTTTTGTTAATAGGTGGCATAGAGAACTTAGCTTATCTTGAAGATATTCATCATAATCATCAACCTCATCATCAGTCCACTCAAGGTAGTTTGCTCATTAATTCTGATTCTTTTTTCTTCTAATGTACTAACCTATTTTTCTATGAATCTCTTTTCATTCTAATTTGAATTTTGTAAGAGTTTCATCTTTCATATCTTTTCTTTTACAGTTAATTATGATGAGTATTAAAATAAATTATTTTTACTTCTTACACATTCAGAAATATTTATTTGACAATTTAGAAAGTTAAACTTTATTCTTTCTTCTAATTATCAAGAAATTATTTCTTACTAAGACTTTTATATATTAATTCTTGCATTTTTAAACATATTAAAAAATTTGATATCTTTTATACATAATTATAGAAAATTCATAAAATATTTTTGTAAAATTTAAAACTAAAATATTTTTTTAAATCAATACTGTATATATTTAGATCATTATTCATCAATTTATAAACTAAAGCAATATAGAGATTTTGATTTTATGGATATGACATTGAGTTCATTATATTATTTGTTATCCAATTTAATTGAATAGAATAAAACTTTTTTTAAAACAAGATGTAAAAAAAATTTTTTTTTTGTAGATTTCCAAATATTTTAATCTAATAAATTTAAAATTTCTATTTTAATCTTTTTTTTATAAATCGTTATACCAGTATAAATAATGTTAATCAAATAAAGTTATATCATTGTTTTATTGCTCAAATCATCATCATAAATAACAATTATTTATATATTTTTACACATTAGTTCATATTTTCATGTTAAAAATTAAAATTTAACTTGAGATGATATGAGAATATCTATGCTACTAAAGTTTCTGTATTCTTATATATGTATGTTCTAATGTTTTTTATAATTACTTGCTTTGTCAATGCTTTTTGTGTGCTCTTTTATTTAATGCATGATTTTTTTTTTGCATTTATCAAGAATATTTTAAAATTAATTGCAATTAAGAGTGTAAAATGAATTAATAGATATACATTTCAGACTTTAAGATAAATATTCACTATTTTAGGACAATGCAGTTCTTAAAATTTGGCATCATGATAATTTATAAATTATAACTGCTTATTCAGGAAGCCAAAAATATATTATTTTGTAAGTATTTTTGACTCTATATGAGTCAGCTTCAGCTGCAAATTGTTTGTAAATTCTTCTGTAAATTCGTCTGATGGAGAATTATTGTTTAATAAAAATTGAAGACAAAAACTGCCCAAAAGGGATCACCATTTATTCTTTGTGTTCCAAGACTATACACTTTTTTGCGACTGATCTTTCTTTGTAGGCTGCTTGTTGCCAGAAATTACAAAAAGTCCTTTTTAAAAACACAAAACACATCCAATTAAAATTATAAATAATTTCTGAAAAAGGAACTTTGAACAAGGAATTTTTTATTAAATTCTTATAATATCAAATGGAACATTAGACGATGATAAACAACTTAAAATACAAAGAAAATAATATAATTAAATTAAATTAAATTAATTAATAATAAAAAAAAAAGGATAATAAATGTTATTTAGAAAACAGAGGAGTATGAATGGAGTCACCAGCCTTGAAAGATATAATTGAAATAGATGGGTAGAAAGATGGGTAGAATGCTGAGTCGTAGGTGCAACCTAGTTGGTATTAGAAATTTCTGAATGTAATCACTCATTTAGCAATAAGAAGGCTCTGAAGGCCATAAGAACCTCACAATTGGATGTCAGTTAGGCTGTCCAGGTCACCATATTAAGAAAGAAGTGTTAATAGTTATAGACAAGACTGCAGCAACATTAACATCATATTCTAAAAAGTTTTAGTTTACTTTATAAATAAGAAAATCTCCATCACTTGTGATCATACTGCATATCAACAAAGACAAAACTAATATATTGGTGGAATCCAGAAGTTTATGCTTCTAAAATTGTAAAAGATCAATGCTTCTATTATATAGGTTCCATCATTCATTCTCTAAGTATTGATATTAGATTAAGAGAACACTTTCATTCAATTTCTTCTATTTTAGTACAGTGTCAGAACTTCACTGGCATGCAAGTGAGAAATCAGGGTATTATGGGATAGACCAGCTATCATAGAAGGTACAGAAAGAGTTCTAATAAGATTATTAGAGCAGATATACATTTATTGTTCACCCAAATACTTAAACATAATTAATATCAACAATACTACACTCATCAGCAATAGCTGGAAAACTATAGTAAACAGCAATGATCTTACATGATTAGTTAATAGATTAACAGAACATTTAGCATAATTACTTTAAATTAATTCTATTATTTGTATTTCTTTATATTTTATTTATATTCTTTGTATTTTAACAGTTGTTCATCATCCTCTAATGTACCATTGTTTAAATTTGAATGCTGTGGTTTGATTTGATTTTATTCAATGTTGTAATTTGATGTTATAAGAATTTACAAATAATTTTCGGCTGAAGATGACTTAAATAGATTCTAAAATGGTTCCAAAAGAAAATATTTTTGGCTTCCTGAATAAACAGTTATAATTTCTAAACTTTTTTAAGGATTTTATTATAGAATAAAAGGACACATTAAATACTGCCACCTAAACTTGGTTATACTTGAATTAAAAACACTAAACCTATAATCCAGCAATTTTTACAAAAGTAGCTATATAAAATTTATTTTATATTTTTGTCTTAAGAAGAATCATGCTAAATTACATCAAAGAAAAAAGAAAGGATTGTACATTAATGCGAAAATTTATTGATACAGATCTTATAAATTCCACAAATATACATGAATAAATACAAAAAAATATTAGTCTGCTCTGTAAGTCTTAAGAAGGCCTTTTATTCATGCTCATTACAGATATGGCCAGACCATAATGGAATGGCCAAGTATAACCCCTGACAAAAAGAATTTGAACATGATGTAAGAAAATAAAAATGTAATGTTCAAAACAAAAATACTCATTATGTTCAATGGGTTATTAAGTGTTAATCAGTTTAATTTCAAATGATTAAACCAAATCATTTTCCCAAAAAAGAATATTTACATAAAGCAGTATTAGATAAAAGTTTTTGAACATGCAGGAAGTTGGAAAAAAGTATTTGAACAACAACAATAATAAAAGGATCACATACAAAATAATAGAAAGTTAATATTTTGTTGGTCCTCCTCTTGATCTTATAACAGCTTTTATACATCTTGGCATTGTCACAATTAATTCATTGAAGGTTTCTGAAGTTATTTTATTCCAGTTAATTTTAACAGCTTCTTTAAGTTCACCTTTATTAATTGATGCCCTTTCATCAACCAGCATTTTCAACTTTGCCCATAAATTTTAAACAAGGTTTAATCTGGGCTATTTGCAGGCCCTTAGACTTTACAGTTTTTTTATTTTATTTGGCTCAATGGCATGTGGCATTATCGTCCTGAAAAACATCATCATCATCACCAAAGTGATCTTTGATTGTTCGCATCAGAAATAATTATAAAATTTTCTCATACACTTCTGCTATTACAGCCTCATTAAGAATATATACAGTATATTTTCAGAATCAAAAGCTGGCATGCAGACCCAAATCATTAAACTTAATGGAAACTTACAGTCGATTGCAGAGACAGAGTTTACGTTAAACAACGTTTATCAACAGAATGGCCTGTAGATGTTGGCTGGCTGAACCACAGTATAAAATGCATTGCAAAGACGACAATCGTCTATTTCTGACCATTCTCTAAACAAACTTCGGCAAAACATTGGCTCTTACTTACTTTGCTATTACTCCCCTGTTTTAGGAGTCGTTCGGCCAATCGTGTTATTTGTTTGTGATGTCAGACATGATCGCCAGCTATATTCAGAAAGCTTTCAGAAATAAAATCTTAAGACTGTCAAAACCATTGTTCAGCAATTAATGACAATCCTTTTCCATTTCAATATTTAATTTTGTCGCCAATATGGTTTAAAATACGAAGAAATCCGTATTTAGAAAATTTATACTGAATTTGAAATAGATTTTTAAAGAATTATTTCGACATCTTATTACTGTCACCCTTCGTAACTATTGAAATGAATAATTTTAAAAATATTTTATTATTAAATTAATATTACATTTTTTTATATCTATAAACAGATTTCTGTAATTATTAAAATTGTCTCGTTTGTTTAACAGTACAATGACTCCGTAATGCATTAACATTTTATAACCGACATGATACTCGAAATGTAAATAAATGCATCTGATTTAAATTAATTGAAGTTTTAAGTCTTCACCCATTTGAATATTGAAATTGGAACATTTAAAACAAATTTAAAGTATTTAATTTTGTTGTTTTTGCTCCAAGCAATTAATTAATGAATAATTTTGTCGATTNCAGTCAGATAATAATTCATTAATAATTTTCGTAAACTGTGTTTATATCTGAAAGTTATTTTATTGTAATAAATTTTATTGTTATATAAATGTATTTCTAATTGATTAAAAATTTTTTAATAATCTTTAATTTTTTGCTTCACTGCTTTACGGCATTAACTGTGATATATATATTCTGATAAATAACTTTTATTCTTATTAAAACAAATTAACGCCCAATTAAGAATTACCTTAATAAATTTGAAAATGATTGATTTCATTTCTGTGTTGGCATGCATATTATTGTGATTTTTATGCATGACTTGCTAAAATTTTTTCTTGCAAATTCAGTTATTGTATATTGCATGCAATTTGTTTTGTTAATAGGTGGCATAGAGAACTTAGCTTATCTTGAAGATATTCATCATAATCATCAACCTCATCATCAGTCCACTCAAGGTAGTTTGCTCATTAATTCTGATTCTTTTTTCTTCTAATGTACTAACCTATTTTTCTATGAATCTCTTTTCATTCTAATTTGAATTTTGTAAGAGTTTCATCTTTCATATCTTTTCTTTTACAGTTAATTATGATGAGTATTAAAATAAATTATTTTTACTTCTTACACATTCAGAAATATTTATTTGACAATTTAGAAAGTTAAACTTTATTCTTTCTTCTAATTATCAAGAAATTATTTCTTACTAAGACTTTTATATATTAATTCTTGCATTTTTAAACATATTAAAAAATTTGATATCTTTTATACATAATTATAGAAAATTCATAAAATATTTTTGTAAAATTTAAAACTAAAATATTTTTTTAAATCAATACTGTATATATTTAGATCATTATTCATCAATTTATAAACTAAAGCAATATAGAGATTTTGATTTTATGGATATGACATTGAGTTCATTATATTATTTGTTATCCAATTTAATTGAATAGAATAAAACTTTTTTTAAAACAAGATGTAAAAAAAATTTTTTTTTTGTAGATTTCCAAATATTTTAATCTAATAAATTTAAAATTTCTATTTTAATCTTTTTTTTATAAATCGTTATACCAGTATAAATAATGTTAATCAAATAAAGTTATATCATTGTTTTATTGCTCAAATCATCATCATAAATAACAATTATTTATATATTTTTACACATTAGTTCATATTTTCATGTTAAAAATTAAAATTTAACTTGAGATGATATGAGAATATCTATGCTACTAAAGTTTCTGTATTCTTATATATGTATGTTCTAATGTTTTTTATAATTACTTGCTTTGTCAATGCTTTTTGTGTGCTCTTTTATTTAATGCATGATTTTTTTTTTGCATTTATCAAGAATATTTTAAAATTAATTGCAATTAAGAGTGTAAAATGAATTAATAGATATACATTTCAGACTTTAAGATAAATATTCACTATTTTAGGACAATGCAGTTCTTAAAATTTGGCATCATGATAATTTATAAATTATAACTGCTTATTCAGGAAGCCAAAAATATATTATTTTGTAAGTATTTTTGACTCTATATGAGTCAGCTTCAGCTGCAAATTGTTTGTAAATTCTTCTGTAAATTCGTCTGATGGAGAATTATTGTTTAATAAAAATTGAAGACAAAAACTGCCCAAAAGGGATCACCATTTATTCTTTGTGTTCCAAGACTATACACTTTTTTGCGACTGATCTTTCTTTGTAGGCTGCTTGTTGCCAGAAATTACAAAAAGTCCTTTTTAAAAACACAAAACACATCCAATTAAAATTATAAATAATTTCTGAAAAAGGAACTTTGAACAAGGAATTTTTTATTAAATTCTTATAATATCAAATGGAACATTAGACGATGATAAACAACTTAAAATACAAAGAAAATAATATAATTAAATTAAATTAAATTAATTAATAATAAAAAAAAGGATAATAAATGTTATTTAGAAAACAGAGGAGTATGAATGGAGTCACCAGCCTTGAAAGATATAATTGAAATAGATGGGTAGAAAGATGGGTAGAATGCTGAGTCGTAGGTGCAACCTAGTTGGTATTAGAAATTTCTGAATGTAATCACTCATTTAGCAATAAGAAGGCTCTGAAGGCCATAAGAACCTCACAATTGGATGTCAGTTAGGCTGTCCAGGTCACCATATTAAGAAAGAAGTGTTAATAGTTATAGACAAGACTGCAGCAACATTAACATCATATTCTAAAAAGTTTTAGTTTACTTTATAAATAAGAAAATCTCCATCACTTGTGATCATACTGCATATCAACAAAGACAAAACTAATATATTATCCAGAAAATCGTCCTACTTTTGATTACTGTTTAGAAAAATTGAAAGAATTACATAGGAAGTCTACAAGTGCTTCTCATATAGATTCTGTACATAATCATAATTATTTAGGACATATACATAATGGTAAGATTGTTTTGTTTTTGATTTTTTATGTTTCAGTTTGGAGATATAATTGTAATAAATCTACTTTGTTTTAAAATTAAAATATATTTTGCTGTACTTTAAATTTGTTTTTTTAATATTTGAAAGTCTTAAAATTTTTGAATTAAAGATTTATTCCTTTTAATTATGCATTAAAAATCTATGCTATGATAAATTTAATGTTTTTAACTGAAATGAAATTGAAAAATTTTTAGTAAATAAATAAGTGAATAAATAAATAAAAAAATATTGAAAGTAATTTTTGAAACAGTTTTTATATTTATACAATGTTTATTGTTAATGTAAAAAAATATATTAAGTGTCAATTAGATCAGGTTTTTTTCACTTTAAATATTCAAAATCAATTTTTTCATTAAAAGTTTAATTAAAAATATGTTAAAAAATAAATCAATATTATTTTTACAATAATAATAATAAAATGTTATAACTGTTTCAAATGATAATATTAAAAATAAATTAATTAAAATTGATAATAACACAAGTATAATTATATATTAATATTTATTTATTTTAATAAACATTGTTCTTGTTAAGGTTTATCATTTATATTTGGTATGGTATATTTTTAAAATGTCAACTGATGATTAAATGCACATATTTTTCAGTCAGATAATAATTCATTAATAATTTTCGTAAACTGTGTTTATATCTGAAAGTTATTTTATTGTAATAAATTTTATTGTTATATAAATGTATTTCTAATTGATTAAAAATTTTTTAATAATCTTTAATTTTTTGCTTCACTGCTTTACGGCATTAACTGTGATATATATATTCTGATAAATAACTTTTATTCTTATTAAAACAAATTAACGCCCAATTAAGAATTACCTTAATAAATTTGAAAATGATTGATTTCATTTCTGTGTTGGCATGCATATTATTGTGATTTTTATGCATGACTTGCTAAAATTTTTTCTTGCAAATTCAGTTATTGTATATTGCATGCAATTTGTTTTGTTAATAGGTGGCATAGAGAACTTAGCTTATCTTGAAGATATTCATCATAATCATCAACCTCATCATCAGTCCACTCAAGGTAGTTTGCTCATTAATTCTGATTCTTTTTTCTTCTAATGTACTAACCTATTTTTCTATGAATCTCTTTTCATTCTAATTTGAATTTTGTAAGAGTTTCATCTTTCATATCTTTTCTTTTACAGTTAATTATGATGAGTATTAAAATAAATTATTTTTACTTCTTACACATTCAGAAATATTTATTTGACAATTTAGAAAGTTAAACTTTATTCTTTCTTCTAATTATCAAGAAATTATTTCTTACTAAGACTTTTATATATTAATTCTTGCATTTTTAAACATATTAAAAAATTTGATATCTTTTATACATAATTATAGAAAATTCATAAAATATTTTTGTAAAATTTAAAACTAAAATATTTTTTTAAATCAATACTGTATATATTTAGATCATTATTCATCAATTTATAAACTAAAGCAATATAGAGATTTTGATTTTATGGATATGACATTGAGTTCATTATATTATTTGTTATCCAATTTAATTGAATAGAATAAAACTTTTTTTAAAACAAGATGTAAAAAAAATTTTTTTTTTGTAGATTTCCAAATATTTTAATCTAATAAATTTAAAATTTCTATTTTAATCTTTTTTTTATAAATCGTTATACCAGTATAAATAATGTTAATCAAATAAAGTTATATCATTGTNATAATCTTTAATTTTTTGCTTCACTGCTTTACGGCATTAACTGTGATATATATATTCTGATAAATAACTTTTATTCTTATTAAAACAAATTAACGCCCAATTAAGAATTACCTTAATAAATTTGAAAATGATTGATTTCATTTCTGTGTTGGCATGCATATTATTGTGATTTTTATGCATGACTTGCTAAAATTTTTTCTTGCAAATTCAGTTATTGTATATTGCATGCAATTTGTTTTGTTAATAGGTGGCATAGAGAACTTAGCTTATCTTGAAGATATTCATCATAATCATCAACCTCATCATCAGTCCACTCAAGGTAGTTTGCTCATTAATTCTGATTCTTTTTTCTTCTAATGTACTAACCTATTTTTCTATGAATCTCTTTTCATTCTAATTTGAATTTTGTAAGAGTTTCATCTTTCATATCTTTTCTTTTACAGTTAATTATGATGAGTATTAAAATAAATTATTTTTACTTCTTACACATTCAGAAATATTTATTTGACAATTTAGAAAGTTAAACTTCATTCTTTCTTCTAATTATCAAGAAATTATTTCTTACTAAGACTTTTATATATTAATTCTTGCATTTTTAAACATATTAAAAAATTTGATATCTTTTATACATAATTATAGAAAATTCATAAAATATTTTTGTAAAATTTAAAACTAAAATATTTTTTTAAATCAATACTGTATATATTTAGATCATTATTCATCAATTTATAAACTAAAGCAATATAGAGATTTTGATTTTATGGATATGACATTGAGTTCATTATATTATTTGTTATCCAATTTAATTGAATAGAATAAAACTTTTTTTAAAACAAGATGTAAAAAAAATTTTTTTTTTGTAGATTTCCAAATATTTTAATCTAATAAATTTAAAATTTCTATTTTAATCTTTTTTTTATAAATCGTTATACCAGTATAAATAATGTTAATCAAATAAAGTTATATCATTGTTTTATTGCTCAAATCATCATCATAAATAACAATTATTTATATATTTTTACACATTAGTTCATATTTTCATGTTAAAAATTAAAATTTAACTTGAGATGATATGAGAATATCTATGCTACTAAAGTTTCTGTATTCTTATATATGTATGTTCTAATGTTTTTTATAATTACTTGCTTTGTCAATGCTTTTTGTGTGCTCTTTTATTTAATGCATGATTTTTTTTTTGCATTTATCAAGAATATTTTAAAATTAATTGCAATTAAGAGTGTAAAATGAATTAATAGATATACATTTCAGACTTTAAGATAAATATTCACTATTTTAGGACAATGCAGTTCTTAAAATTTGGCATCATGATAATTTATAAATTATAACTGCTTATTCAGGAAGCCAAAAATATATTATTTTGTAAGTATTTTTGACTCTATATGAGTCAGCTTCAGCTGCAAATTGTTTGTAAATTCTTCTGTAAATTCGTCTGATGGAGAATTATTGTTTAATAAAAATTGAAGACAAAAACTGCCCAAAAGGGATCACCATTTATTCTTTGTGTTCCAAGACTATACACTTTTTTGCGACTGATCTTTCTTTGTAGGCTGCTTGTTGCCAGAAATTACAAAAAGTCCTTTTTAAAAACACAAAACACATCCAATTAAAATTATAAATAATTTCTGAAAAAGGAACTTTGAACAAGGAATTTTTTATTAAATTCTTATAATATCAAATGGAACATTAGACGATGATAAACAACTTAAAATACAAAGAAAATAATATAATTAAATTAAATTAAATTAATTAATAATAAAAAAAAAAGGATAATAAATGTTATTTAGAAAACAGAGGAGTATGAATGGAGTCACCAGCCTTGAAAGATATAATTGAAATAGATGGGTAGAAAGATGGGTAGAATGCTGAGTCGTAGGTGCAACCTAGTTGGTATTAGAAATTTCTGAATGTAATCACTCATTTAGCAATAAGAAGGCTCTGAAGGCCATAAGAACCTCACAATTGGATGTCAGTTAGGCTGTCCAGGTCACCATATTAAGAAAGAAGTGTTAATAGTTATAGACAAGACTGCAGCAACATTAACATCATATTCTAAAAAGTTTTAGTTTACTTTATAAATAAGAAAATCTCCATCACTTGTGATCATACTGCATATCAACAAAGACAAAACTAATATATTGGTGGAATCCAGAAGTTTATGCTTCTAAAATTGTAAAAGATCAATGCTTCTATTATATAGGTTCCATCATTCATTCTCTAAGTATTGATATTAGATTAAGAGAACACTTTCATTCAATTTCTTCTATTTTAGTACAGTGTCAGAACTTCACTGGCATGCAAGTGAGAAATCAGGGTATTATGGGATAGACCAGCTATCATAGAAGGTACAGAAAGAGTTCTAATAAGATTATTAGAGCAGATATACATTTATTGTTCACCCAAATACTTAAACATAATTAATATCAACAATACTACACTCATCAGCAATAGCTGGAAAACTATAGTAAACAGCAATGATCTTACATGATTAGTTAATAGATTAACAGAACATTTAGCATAATTACTTTAAATTAATTCTATTATTTGTATTTCTTTATATTTTATTTATATTCTTTGTATTTTAACAGTTGTTCATCATCCTCTAATGTACCATTGTTTAAATTTGAATGCTGTGGTTTGATTTGATTTTATTCAATGTTGTAATTTGATGTTATAAGAATTTACAAATAATTTTCGGCTGAAGATGACTTAAATAGATTCTAAAATGGTTCCAAAAGAAAATATTTTTGGCTTCCTGAATAAACAGTTATAATTTCTAAACTTTTTTAAGGATTTTATTATAGAATAAAAGGACACATTAAATACTGCCACCTAAACTTGGTTATACTTGAATTAAAAACACTAAACCTATAATCCAGCAATTTTTACAAAAGTAGCTATATAAAATTTATTTTATATTTTTGTCTTAAGAAGAATCATGCTAAATTACATCAAAGAAAAAAGAAAGGATTGTACATTAATGCGAAAATTTATTGATACAGATCTTATAAATTCCACAAATATACATGAATAAATACAAAAAAATATTAGTCTGCTCTGTAAGTCTTAAGAAGGCCTTTTATTCATGCTCATTACAGATATGGCCAGACCATAATGGAATGGCCAAGTATAACCCCTGACAAAAAGAATTTGAACATGATGTAAGAAAATAAAAATGTAATGTTCAAAACAAAAATACTCATTATGTTCAATGGGTTATTAAGTGTTAATCAGTTTAATTTCAAATGATTAAACCAAATCATTTTCCCAAAAAAGAATATTTACATAAAGCAGTATTAGATAAAAGTTTTTGAACATGCAGGAAGTTGGAAAAAAGTATTTGAACAACAACAATAATAAAAGGATCACATACAAAATAATAGAAAGTTAATATTTTGTTGGTCCTCCTCTTGATCTTATAACAGCTTTTATACATCTTGGCATTGTCACAATTAATTCATTGAAGGTTTCTGAAGTTATTTTATTCCAGTTAATTTTAACAGCTTCTTTAAGTTCACCTTTATTAATTGATGCCCTTTCATCAACCAGCATTTTCAACTTTGCCCATAAATTTTAAACAAGGTTTAATCTGGGCTATTTGCAGGCCCTTAGACTTTACAGTTTTTTTATTTTATTTGGCTCAATGGCATGTGGCATTATCGTCCTGAAAAACATCATCATCATCACCAAAGTGATCTTTGATTGTTCGCATCAGAAATAATTATAAAATTTTCTCATACACTTCTGCTATTACAGCCTCATTAAGAATATATACAGTATATTTTCAGAATCAAAAGCTGGCATGCAGACCCAAATCATTAAACTTAATGGAAACTTACAGTCGATTGCAGAGACAGAGTTTACGTTAAACAACGTTTATCAACAGAATGGCCTGTAGATGTTGGCTGGCTGAACCACAGTATAAAATGCATTGCAAAGACGACAATCGTCTATTTCTGACCATTCTCTAAACAAACTTCGGCAAAACATTGGCTCTTACTTACTTTGCTATTACTCCCCTGTTTTAGGAGTCGTTCGGCCAATCGTGTTATTTGTTTGTGATGTCAGACATGATCGCCAGCTATATTCAGAAAGCTTTCAGAAATAAAATCTTAAGACTGTCAAAACCATTGTTCAGCAATTAATGACAATCCTTTTCCATTTCAATATTTAATTTTGTCGCCAATATGGTTTAAAATACGAAGAAATCCGTATTTAGAAAATTTATACTGAATTTGAAATAGATTTTTAAAGAATTATTTCGACATCTTATTACTGTCACCCTTCGTAACTATTGAAATGAATAATTTTAAAAATATTTTATTATTAAATTAATATTACATTTTTTTATATCTATAAACAGATTTCTGTAATTATTAAAATTGTCTCGTTTGTTTAACAGTACAATGACTCCGTAATGCATTAACATTTTATAACCGACATGATACTCGAAATGTAAATAAATGCATCTGATTTAAATTAATTGAAGTTTTAAGTCTTCACCCATTTGAATATTGAAATTGGAACATTTAAAACAAATTTAAAGTATTTAATTTTGTTGTTTTTGCTCCAAGCAATTAATTAATGAATAATTTTGTCGGTTTGTACCATTTACAACATTTATCAAAGGAACGATATCTGTTTTTATCTAAACTTTTCCACAAACAAAGCTACCACTCGAATTGAAAAGCCCTCTAAACTACTGTCAAGTGAGTCTAGAAAACAGGTCAAATAACTTGTTTCTAATCACTATCTACATTGTGGCAGGTGAGGAATGCCGTCTCTGCAATGAAATTTTTCTGAACAGTGGTCTACCCGATCTGTAAACCACTGTTGGTTTCTAAATGTTGTCTCTGCAATTGGCTGTTAGTGTTTGTATTCTTGCAGTCTTCCTTAAATTTCTCATCTAGACATCTCCAAACAAATTTTCCTGCATCATCATCACAATGCATATATGATTCTCATCTGAAAAAAGTAAGGTTTTCCAGTTTCCTACAGTAAAATTTTTGTGCTGTTTTAATTATTTAAAATGATCATTTTTTGTTTTTGGTCAGATAGTTTTGTTTTGGCTTTGCAAATGAAAATTCTCTCATTCAGTCTATTTCTTACTGTTCTGTCACAAACATTTGTTTTATTTTTGTTTTATGTGTTCCACATATTAAACATTTTTTTCAGTAGGTGTGTGACAATCACTCATCATTTCTGTATATAAAATTAAATTGTCAGTTACGAAGCCTTTGTTTATAAGCTTCTAGAATGTTCCATCACCCGGTATTGCCTGGAGGGGCAATAAACCCAGTGGGGGAGCAGAAGAGGATATATATTAACTTGTGGTTGAGAGAGCAATCCTCTTTTATTTTACCATTACTGGAAGAACACAAAGTCGACCAGTGACAACGGGACTGTGCAAAGGAAGAGTTATGAAAGTAAACAGACTCTGCTCCAATCAACAAGATGACCAGGAGAAGATGGCTATTATGCTACACAAAAATTTAAGGAACTTCTCATGTACTAGCATTTCCTCTCCCCTGTATTTTCGATTGTCTGCTGATGGTAGGATTGTCATGTAAAGAAATTTGTAGATTAGACTAATATGTAATTATTGCAAAAAGATGAAATGTCTGAATGTAACTGGAATTTAAAGCATTGTAATATTTGAATACCTTCTGAATATCATGTACAGTATATCAGATTTGATGTTGACTCAACTTCGTGTTGGGAAAATAAAAGCTTACAGGTGATCTTGAACCTTGCTGGTTTATAGGGCAAATACTTGTGGCACAGCTTTTTATTTTTCCTGTGTCTAAACTTTTTCCAAGTGTAATTTACAGTTCTTAATGACACACCAATATACATTGCAACTTCTTTTTGGGTTTTTTCAACATCTTGTAGTAGCTTTATAATTTGTTTTCTTACATCATTAATAAATTCTTTGATTGGTGCCATTGTTTATGAAAAGACAGGTAAAATATCACTGTTTACTTAGAAAATGATGCAAACATGTATCTTAAAGCTAATGGTTTCTTCCAATCAAATTAGAATGCTCAAATCTGTAAATTTAGAACAGTTTTCAAATACCTTTTCCAACTTCTTATATGTTCAAAAACTTTATCCAATAATGCTTTATGTAAAAATTCTTTTTTGGAAAATGGTTTGGTTTATTCATTTGAAATTAAAGTGATTAACACTTAATAACCCAATGAATAAAATGTATATTTTTGTTTTGAACATTAGTTTGAGCTATTTTTACAAGAAAATAAAAATGTAAACGATTTCATTTTATTACATCATGTTCAAATACTTTTTGCCAGGGATTGTAGTTAGGAATGAGGCATAATGTTGGACCACTCTTTACCAATCTTTTTGGATTAGTGACACACTTTGAATTTAATATGATTCTTGAGATTTTAAACATTTTTATTTTAAAAAATGTTATAAATTTAAAATAAATTACATACTTCATGAATATGAAATAACTGTTTGATTTCTTCAACACTGCCCTTTATTGGGCCTTCTTGATTAAGTCTTTCTTCTGCACCAAGTAACCAGGTAAGAACTTCTTCTAATGTGTTTTGATAAGCAGCTACATCATTAATGCCTGTAGTGTGACCATGTTCACCTTCAGAAACTTCCTAATAAATTAAACAATTCATTTTATTAAAAATAATAGCAAAATTCAGTTTTATTATTTTGATTAGTTCATTTTAATGATATTTAGATATTATAATTACAGAACATATAATAAATAACATATCAAATATACAGAGTTTTTAAAAATTAAGTTCTATTTACAGGGTTCTGCAGTAAATTGTAAGGCTCCAAATGGAATAAAATTTAAACTGTAGATACTTCAAATGATGTTCTCACCATTTATTTTAAAAATATTTTGTGTGAAAAATTGCCAATATGTGGCACTGTGACAATATAAGTCAACTGAACAGTGTTACAAATGTTCGATGTGGCCTCCATTGTTGTCAACAAAGTTTTCCATTCCTAAAGTGCATTTTTTATCCCAGAACAGATGTCTACTGGAATTGCTAGAACATAATTATGTAATGCTGTCCTTCAACTGTGACATCTCCAGCCTTCAGAGTGTGACATCTCCAGCCTTCAGAGTGTGACATCTTTCACAATATATATAGTTATGGGGCTTTTTGACCAATCAGGTGTCATGAAAGATGCAACAGCTGAATGACAGCATTAGACATCATATTCTAGCAATTCCAGTAGACTTTTTACGTTCTATGATATAAAAAGCTATTTTGGAAATGGAAAACTTTGTTGACAACAATGGAGATCACATTGAACACTTGTAATGCTTTTCCATCTATATATATAAAATTACATGTCCTGACTGACTGACTGATTCATCATTGCTCAGAGCAAACCCCTGAACCAAAAGAGATGAAATTTAGTACACAGTTACAGTTGGGACATGTATGAAAATGCACACTAAGAAGTGATTTTTCAAAATTTCCCCCATGGGGAGAGGGAAAATGATTAAGGCTTAAACTGAAGAATGACTTCTACTGTATTTTACAGGTGATTTTTTTGTTTTTGATAGTAACAACTTAATTTCCAAATGTACAATATTTACCAAATCATCCAAATCATTTGCCAGAGCAATGCCAGGCTCATTTGCTAGTTGACTTATAATGCCACACTGCCACATAGTGGCAATTTTTCATACAAAATTTTTTAAAATAAATGATGAGCACATCATTTGAAGTACCTACAGTTTAAATTTTATCCCATTTGGAACCTTACAACATACTGCAGAACCCTTTAAATACAGGAACTTGATTCACTACCCTGTATTCATATTTTTGACAAATAAGGCTAAATTTAAATATATAAATCTTTGATATATATTTAAATGTAATGAATATGATATAATTTCATTACAGAATGATTTTAAATAAATTTTCTGAATTAACTTCCACTATAAAAGAACCAGTTTTTCTACTTTTGTAATGCATCACAACTTTTATTCTAATAACCAGAAAAGGTATTTATAATTTAATAACAAAATTAGTTTTATTACATAATGAGTGTTAAATAATAGAACATTTATTTCAATTTAAAAAATTTTGTTAATCTGTGGGAAAGGAATTCTTACAAATGATGTAAAAGTAGGACTGTGTCAAAACAATAAAATTTGGAAGTGCTCTGCAATGTTGTTCAATAAAATAATCAATAATGATATTATAACAGCAATGTTGCACATTAAATTTCAATTTTTTCATTCAATTAAAGTTTTATTAACTTCTTATAATTAATTTTTATAATAAATTTCTATATAAGACAATTAATATTTAACACAAAATCTTACAGAATCTGACACTTCACTTGAATGTAATCTTCTCAATGGAATGTTATGATGAGGAAGAGCTTGGAAAAAACACATCACATACATCATCACAGACTTTTTATCAGGACGGGAAGTATTTACATCTATAAGAAAATTATTTTTAGAAAACATCATTAATCTTTTAAGAAAAAAAAAGTTTTTTACAAAAATTTAGAACATTTGAATCATACAATATTATATGTGAGATGATGATGATGATAATAATAATAATAATACTGTAATAAACATAAANTGGTTGATTTAAAAAATTTTGATAATTTGGAAGTTAAACTCACCAAGACACAATTTTACAAATATACTGCAAAAATAAAAAGACTATTTGAATCAATGCAAAAAGAGTTAGTATTGATCATTAAGCTAGTAAGCTGCAACATTTATGCAACATGAAGGTCCAAAGATTTGGCATATACATAGAGACATGAAACTTTACTGAGGAAAAGCATGCTGATGTCACAATTTTGCAACAGTTGGCATTTTAGTGAACACCACCTCCTCCATTCAGTCAGCCAATGGTAAAAAGACAAATGAAATTTTAAAAAATATTTAATATTACAGCAACACACTTTGAGGCACTCTTGCAACACACAGGTTGGGAAACATTGTGCTAGACCATGCATGAAAATTTTTCAGGATTTGAACCAAACTTGAATTTGGATTTTTCAGAATGATAGTCATCCTTAATTGTTTCAATCATCTCATCATTAATACTAATATTATTAAATTAATTGCTAATAAATATTGAAAAATTGAATTATTATTAATTTGACTTTGTTTTTCATCAGATACATAATCAAAAATAATAGAATAATCATATAAAACCAATATAATTCTTCTAGATGATTATTCAACAAAGTTTGGAAGAGACAGGGATGTGGATACTTGGAGCACCTGTAGTGTTCCATTACAGATAACAAATGATTTGGTAAGTACAAGGGCTGTTTCTTTTTCAACCTCCAATGGTCCATGTCAAAAAGTAACCATGTTTATACCTAACTTTTGGTAATAAATTCATTTTGTTATTTAGATTTGTCTTTGTTTTATGGACCATCAGAGGTTGAAAAAGAAACAGCCTTCGTATTAAATATACTATCATAATAAAAGAATTGATAATGATATTCTTATGAAATATTGCAAATTTATTTTAGTAATTATATTAAAAAGAAATTTTATCTTCTATAGGGTGACACAAATAAATTAAAGAGATCCTCTTCTGTTAATCACCCCCCTCTTCAGAATATTTCTTCAAATATATTTTCGATTACTGAAAAAGTAAATAGACAGTGTAATGGTTTCCATCCACCAAAATATCTTGAAATATTAGCAGATACAGAAGATATCACAGATGCAGATGGATATGAAATGCCATTACCACCATTCCCATCTAAACGAAGATTACAAAACAAGAAAGTTTTGGAAAATAAACAGCTTCCATCTTCAAAAACTTTACCAACATGTTCAAATGTCAATATTCAAAATTTGGTGCCGTGTGTTGACACCAACAGTTTAGCAGATTTGTTAAATCTGCCATGTCCACCTCCACCTTATGCTCCTATGGATCCAAAATTTATTTTAAATTTTGACAATAATGGAGATAAAAGTGCTTGCCTCAGCAATGGTGATAGTTTCTATGAAACTGAACAATTACATTCACCGACAGTGACATCAGCTTTGCTAAAGTCAAAATATTCAGGTAATGGTAGTTTCTCAGAAAAGAAAATTAATAATGATGATAGAGACAGATGGTCTGATTCTACCATACCTTGTCCAAGTGAGATCAATTCAATATTGGACGATATAAATAACAGTGGTATATCTACACTATCGGAGATCTCTGGAATTGAATTAAATTACGCACCTCACTCGTCTTGGTGCTGACAGTTATATTTTTGTGCCAGTTTAAAAATTAATACTTGTTAATATTGTAAATAATCATTAATTCTTATGTAACAAAATTATCATTTTTTATGAATGAGATTGAAATGATTTGTAGAAAAATATCATCATAAACATATGAATGTATATGATATATGTATTATATACTTACATATCATCATAAACATATTTCATTTAAAGGCATTGTTAAATATCATAAATGTTAGAAAAAGTAAAATATCATTATTTAAAGATGTAAAAATGTTTATTTTGTTTGAAAGAATTCTTGTCAGTTTCTTAAAAAAATTTTTTTACTTTTTTAAGAAACAATAGGTGCCTATTTGTAAATATCATTATAAAATATTTTTTATTATTCATACAATATTAGTGTTAGACAAGGAATCGTTTGTTTTCTGAATCAAATTTAATATAAAATGTGTACAAAAAAATACAAAAACAAAAAACTTATTCTTCTAACACACAAATTTGTATAAAGTATCTTTAATGTGTATTATATATTTTTAAAGAATAAATTGTTATATATTTTGTTTGGAAATAACATTTAATTTTTATATTAACTTCCTTTTTAAACATCCACTTTCTCATACCACATGACTATCTGACCTCTTTCCATATCTCTTTTAGTCATCTGATGTCATTGTTAGCATTCCGAAGAAATTACAAAACTGAAAACAAATAAAATATTTATTAAAAAAACTTTCCAGATTATGCATGAAAGAACTGCTGAAATTTAAAATTAAATATCTGATACAAGCATAATTCTCTAACAGAAATTTCTAATGTATATCAGTTCGCAATCATATCCCAAATAATCATGTACTTCTACCATAAATATCAGTAATTTTTTAATTTCAGGAAAATTAGCTGCTTGGGTCTGCTTTAAAAACACGTGACCAGAAAATTTTTATATCTCAATGAAAAAAAAATTAAGTTTCTTTTCTCATAAATGAAGTATAAGCTTAACAAAAGAAAGGAAAAAAACTGCATTTAATAAAAAAATAGACAAAGGCAAATGCATAACTAGTTAAAAATAAGCACAATAATATCAAGAATTTAAAACAGCACCCTAATTCTGTTAATAAACCGAGGAATTGTATAGCCCACATTAGTGTATAACTTGCAGAAAATTGTTACATTGGATAATGGTGTATCCAGGATTTTAAAAATATAGGCATTGCTTGAGGCAAATTCAAGGCAAATTTTAATTGAAGTCATGCAACATGCGTTATTGTACTGCAGCTTGAAAAATTTAGAGAATTATAAATTCCCACTGTTGTCCATCTGACTTTCTGTCCTTCCTTAATCTCGAGAACGGAGTTAGATAAAAGTCACGACCAGATATGGAAAACTTAGGGGCAAGCGGTCTGATTAACTCTATACGAACTTCCGGTTTGCATCAGAAGTCGCAAGAAAAGGGTTCAACTATTATCGGAATCTGCAAGTAATCATAATTTGTATATAATGAACACCTATGAAAAAACCAGAAAAACTAAAGTAGACGTAGAGAAGCCCAAATGGAATTACAAAGATCGTTAGTTATATCATATTTATATATAACTGAGGATATCAGTTATTGTATAAAATAGATTATATCCTCAGTAAAATATATTTTTAAGATGTTTCAATCTTAAAAAGCTTCAACGTTGGAAGTGATCATAGACTAATCGGTAAAAATCCACGAAAACATAAAGTTCGAAAGAATAAAGTTAATAAAATGCAAACTTTTAACATCAGCTCCAGAAAAATAGATCAGTGTCAGGCCTGAGAGTTCGAACTTTGACACTGACGTTCGTATACAAATTATCGAAGTTAAACTGAGCCAGGAAACGGGGCGATTTGACGAAAGGAAAACGTCACGTTCGACAGTTAACATTCCAAAATGTCAGAATAGAGAACATAACGAGCAAAAATACGAGCGTAGACTCTTTAGTTCCATCAACATCTCCCGGTGAGAGTCGAGGGACGATGTCGACTAAAGACCGATCGATGAGCACTTAAGACCGTGACCCGATCCGATCTTATTTCCACCTGGAAACAAGGAAGGAAGGAGACCATTCGGGAAATGACGAGAAGGAATCGGACCAATCGAAGGAAATTCGGGAATGAACTCTCTTAAATACCCGGATTTCAAGGATGAAAAGCCGATCCCTGTCATTTTATACCGTCCAAAGTGACCCGTGCCTCTCCCCTTCTTTTGTGTGCCATCGTCCTCGCCGAAGTTCCCGATTTCGCTTCGCCTGTACCGTCTTGTGTTCGCTTTGCCATCGTCCTTCCTCTGTTGGACTTGTTCAAGACCTAGCCCAGGGGTCTTCGACACCTACGAAACATCTCCGAGACTAGCGGGATTCGCCACGAACTTTGATAAAGTGACACCCGAATTGAGAAAGTATAAGTCCATCTTATATAAGATAAACGGGTCTAATTTGTAAAGGTGCTTGTGTTAGTATCTCCCAACGCAACTACCCACATATTCTTAAACTCCTCGTACAAAGATGGCCTGATGGCCGAGCGGTTAAGGTGGCAGTCTACTGCTCTGGGGATTCGGGATCTGGGTAGGTCGAAAAATCTCCAGGAATTTTTCGGGGTTGGTCCTACCGGATATGTCGGATCTCGTTCCTCACCACCACCCATAATGGACTTGCTAAAATAGGCCCTCTTAGTGCCCACAGGGCAGAAATAATTTTTAAAAAAGTAAATATAAATAGATAGAAATAAAACACCTTAATTTCTTGCTGAGAAAAATATATAATTGAAAAAGAAACGTTTTCAGCCCGATTAATAGGCCATCATCAACAGGTGGAGGAGATTGAGATATATAGAAGTAGGCTATGTGAGGGATGTTTAAATGCGAGAGATGCTGAGAGCCTGTCCTCAGTGTGGAAGTATATGGTTAAAAAGTTCACTAAAAACTCGGGCTAGAACTAGTTTATTGGAAGATTTATATTGTTTATTTTATTTTGTGTTATTCCGTTTTATATATTTTATATGTTCTTCCGTTTCTCTTGTATATTTTTAAAAATTTTTTGTTGTAAATTTTGATTTAAATATTTGTATTCTATACATGGAACGTATATGTTCCATTTTTGTTTTTTGACCTGATGATGGCCTGTTAATCGGGCTGAAAACGTTTGTTTTTCAATTATATATATATTTCTCAGCAACAAATTAAGGTGTTTTATTTCTATGTGTTTATTTGCTGAGCACTTTTAATGTTATCGTAAGTATAAATGCCAGAAGTGGTCCAATCTGATTTTTGCATCTGAAAATAATATAATTTTTAGAAAAATCAGCGAAATGAGAAATTCTGACACTTTTTGCGACTTTGGATATCAGAGCACTTTTTGTGTAAGTGCCTGCAATGAAGTTTCTAACAAAAGCGATTACGAGCTTACGGCAGCGATCGTGTTTGTGTATTGGTAAATAAATATATTGGTGGTTATCTTTATTTTTTGTGTATTCAGTATATTATATTGAACAAAATGCTTATGTTGCCCGAGCTCGTCATTCTCTCAGTTATCTGGCCCGCTGTGAAAAAAGTTTGGCGACCTCTGCTATAAAGGATGTAGCACAATAGACCATATTCAGGGCCAGCGCATGGAGTGAGGCAATAAAGTCGTCGCCTCAGGCGGCACTTTCAAAAGGGCGGTATTTTCACATCACACATTGAAATTTTTATACATTAAAAACAACTAAGTAAATAATTTACATAGTTGGTTTCTTTGTAATTTTCCAATGTAAATATGTCAATTGGAGTTTTATTGTGTTTACCCAGAGTCGGGGTGCACTTGCATCGATATATTTCAGGAAGTCAGACAAACAAATGCGATATTTTTCTAGTTCTCAGTTGCATTCTGTTGATTATAAAAAATGATGTTTTCGAAGATCTTAGAACCTAAACGGCAACATGATGCAATATATTCAAACGGCAACATGATGCAATATATGATCACTGTTATTTAGCTATGTGTTTCACAACTGTTAGTATCCAGAGAAAGTTCGGATAAACTTTTTCGATTACAAGATAGCTTCCACGGCAAAAATATTTGAATCGTGTAAAGCAGATTATACGCATTCGTCCATCCGCTTTACAGAGCACCAACCTCATGCGGTTTAGCTGGTGAATGCTACACACCAAAATATCGTATAACTCTTCCAATGATTCTATCCAAGGCCGGAACAACTTCTCTATCGTCAAATGTCACCGCCGCTACTGTTAAACAAGCTTATTATACTTTTAACTTGGTTTTTAATCAACTCTACGCACTTACATGATGACCAATGTGCATATTGGCAAACTTTTCAATTGATGTTTTTTATATAAATACATCATTAATACAATACTAAGAACAGTGTATATGGCGATTTTGCAATTAAAATTTACAAATTTATAATCAAATTATAAAATAAATAACGCATAAGTGTACATCAGTGGTTATTAACAGTTAAATAGAGGCCAATTTCCCGTGGAAAGTTCTCCCGGAAGCACCCCTGTTGGTAGATCCCTCGTTTTCGTTCACTCATTCCATCAAGACATAAAAAGTCTTGTTTTTAATGACTTTAATGTAAAGAGAAAACTGATAGAATCATATAAAACTGGAGCACTTTTTTTTATTATAAAATATTTGTTTAAATACTTTAAACATAGTATGATTTAAACTTTCGTTGTATGCAATCGAGTAAAAAACCTCCAGCAACGAGAATTGCGTAACTTTCCCGGCTTTTATGAGTTTTTATTTTAAAAAATAACTTTTATATTATTAAGAAAAATAAATAAAATTGTGTGTGGCTCCATCTGTTTTGAGATTTTGTTATAAAAACTTTCTATATTTTTAATTATTATCGAATGGCAAAAGGCTTAATTTTGAGGGTGGTGATCAGTTTTAAAGAAAGGCCTGTAAATGCTGATAACATAACATCTTCATTAAGTCCGACCCCATTCGAGATATGACATATGACCTCTCTATCACCACCAGTAGCGTGCCGTGATATTTGACGATAGGGAAGCTGTGTTTCTGTAAAAAGCCGATTTCCAGGGGCAATCAGTTAATTGCGCGTCAGTGATGGTCTAGGGTCTATTCGTATTCGTTTGTTCGATAAGCCAGTATAAACCGTAGACTTCTCTAAATGTATTTTTAATATCACAATTACATTCTGAATCGCTAACCACGATATAAGGTATAAAAGTAAAAATAAAATCATTAAAACTTACTTGGTAAAATTAGATGTGTGATGGATATACAATTATACATACCTGGTACAAAATATTCAATTGTATGAACACACTTTTAAAGAAAATTATAATTAAATATAGTTTTGTAAAGAAACGTACTGTACATAAAAATAATATAAAATATTCTTTACTTTTTAAAATTAGTTAAAATTGCTCCCTACGAGTGACCCATGGATGGAATTAGAGACGATCTTGGTAGGTGTGCAGTGCATGCATGCCTGCCAAATCCCGAGGGTGCCGATACCGGTTAATGTCAAATGCCTCTTTTGTCGCATCACTGGTATATCTCAAAGGACGCGACAGGGTTGTTGTAGATTTTAAATGTTTCTCACAATAGCAGTGGCGTGCCGTGACATTTGATGATAGGGAAGCGGTGTTTCTGTAAGAAGCCGACTTCCAGGGGCATTCCGCCACTGATATTCGAATATCATAAATATTATAATAAAATTATAATTAAAATTATAATAAAATTTTAATTTTAATTAATTCAAAGTACGTTACGTTAAAATATGAAAATAATCGCGCAATATGTATTTATATTTTAGAAAATACAAGGGAAGCGGCGCTTCCATCACTTCCAAGGACGGTACGCTACTGATTACCAACAAAGTTTAACTTACTTTGCTTACTTTCTTTCAGTAGATGGTGGTTCATATGGAGTCTTATGGCTGTACACCTTTACTCCGAGATATTTGTGGATGATCGCTATGCGACCAAAGAGCCGGCCTCATAGAATGGCTTAATCGCGCGTGGGGAAAGAAAAGAATGCCTTCCGGGAGGGGGAGGAGTTTTATGGGAAACTGGCCCTTATTCAGGCGTCATCGACATGGAGAAAACCTGGAAAACTCCATGTTGCCAGCCTGTCCGAGTGAGGCGCGTACCCACGACCTTGAACACCCAGTGTTCAGGGTCGAGTCCACTCAAGTACGGGGACGAACACCACTCGGCTAATGGTGGGCACCGAAGTTTGTCTTTGTCTTTCTTTCGGGTTTTATATGGAGATTCTGGCCGTGTATCCACCGAAGTTTAATAGCATCAATGCCCCTTATATACAAGTTGTCGTGCCAAATTTCGTTTCTTAATTATTTATTTTTAGAATTGCAATTTATTTTTTCCAGAGATTTAATTTATTCCTAGATCATAATAAAATGTTTTGGAATAAAGTAAAATCGAATAGAATTTAATCGATAACTTGGCGATATTTGGGCGATTATTTAGTTCGAAATGACAAGAAGTTGCGTGGTACATTTTGAAAACATTATACACGTGTTTGTTTCGACTAAAGGTATTTGCAAATGTATTTATGGTAATGATTACAAATGGGTTTGACGAAACAATATCTACGATACGTTCCTGGAGCTGTTTTTGGGTTAATTGGAAGTCCTGTTAATTTAGTATTTGTAAAGTATCGAAATTTATATACAAAGTACTTAGCAGTTGCTGCATGTGAAAACGTCATTGTGTGGGATACGAAAACTAGAGAAAAGGTAATTTCATTCATTATTTAGTTTTAGGTGAAACTCAAACGTATCATTCGAAGCTCAATTCAAGTTCCGAATGATACGTTTGGGACCTTAACAGAGCTGTAGAGCATACTCATAGGAACAAAAAAGTCACCTCTACGAGTGACCCTTTGCAAGATATAGCCCGTTCAAAATTACTCTGCGTGACATTCCTACGCTTCTTTATCTACTGTCCCTTCTTATAACAAAAATATTTTAGACCTCATTTTACAATGAAGAAGCTTTTGTGACTCTCCCTTTTAATACATGGTGTAAAACAAACATCTGAATGGATATGTAACACATTCTTTTCTTTATACACCATACTTATTTCATATGCCTTAGTTTTTCTAAATTTTTGCGAGACTATCTAAAATTTTTAATCTACCCCTTGAGTGGTCATGAATCCCTAGTTTAAGAAATGCTCTATGCCAAAAAAGCCTTGATTCTAGACAGCTCACTAGATGGAAACTACTATAATAAAATGCATTAATGTAGTGTCTATATTTTGTACAAGTAGAAGCATAATGGCATCTTTAACACATTTATTTTTACAAATTTTCTTTGCACATCATTTTCGGCATTTTATCAGTTGGTCTAAAATATAGCAGGTAGCAGTTTCAAAAGTATGAAAAAGATGTCTTATAATTAAGAATGTATAGTAGTAGCCAATCTGAGTAAAAACTTCCAAAAATTTAGTAGCCATCTAGCACTGAAAAAAGACACAAAATATCAATGAGAAGGTATTACAAATATGGTGCTTGTGAATTGAATTTTTTCAATAATTAACAATTATTTTCAGAGTATGGCATAATTCTGAAATTATTGTACAGGCATTATTATTATACATCATACGATGCCTGGAATAATCATACAAATATGATGTTATCATACAGATGGCACTCTGTGTAGATAGCACTTGTTGTTTGATTACCAACTATGAGATGATTTGTAGTTGGCAGCCAACATGTTAAAATATTGGGTTGTTCGGAAAGTTCATAGTGATTTTTGATAGCCGACAGTTGTTGAGACACTGATTGTTGTGAAAATGATTAGAATTGTACAGACCAATGAATATTACGATAAATGACCTTGAGATGCATCTGTTACAAAAAAGAACTGTTAAGATTATTCAAATATCATTTAATTTGTCTCATTACAAAAATGGATGTGAATAATGTGCATTATCGACTCATCTTTGTTTTTTTTTTTTTTTTGTTTTATTGTAAAGGCAAAAATGCTGTACAAACAGCAAATAAAAGTATGTGATGTTTATGGTGGGAGTGCTGTAGCAGAATCAACTGTTCAAAAGTGGTTTACAAAATTTAAAGCTGGTAATCTCAGCCTTAAAGATGCTCCTTGCTCAGAAAGATCTCCTGTTATTGAACAGGACCAGATCAAAGCATTACAGTAGAACCCCTATAGAGACCGCCCTCGGCTAGTCCATCGCTCCGGTTAATCTGACCGTGGTTGGAGTCGAGAAACTTGTCCCGTCTTGTCGGTGACTCACTGCCCGTCACGTTCTTCTGTGTTCATTACAGTATATGTTTTACATTGTGTGTATGTGTACAGTTTTGTGCGTGTTTTCAACATGTTAGGAGTGAAACGTAAACACGTTACTCTTTCATTAAATGAAAAATTAGCAGTGCTACAAAGATTGGACAAAAGGGAAGATTGTTTATTTTACTTTTTTCTGATAATTCGACCTTTTTTGTGTTCTGGCCATACTGCCAGTCCCAACGGTGACGGATTAGAGGAGTTCTACTGTATTAGATGAAAACCCTCATTACGCATCTCCATTTGTGATTCTCTTGAAAGACAAAATGAAAATGACCCTTTTCTGAAGCATTTAGTGACAGGTGATGAAAAGTGGATTGTTTATAACATCAGCTGAAAATGATCATGGGGTAAGAAAAATGAACTACCATTAAAAACTCCAAAGTCTTCATCCAAAGAAGGTTATGCTCACTGTCTGGTGGGATTGGAAAGGAATCCTGTACAGGTATACCTCGACTTACGTTGTTTCGAGTTACATCGTTCCCGATTATACATCGTTTGTCAAAAAAGTATATGGAAAAATAAAAATCAAGTTTAAGTCATTTTATTCGACTTTACGTCTGTCCGCCACAAATATTGAAGACGTAATATCACTAGAAAAGCGTTTAAAGCACATAAAATCACATTAAAATATATACATTTACAAGTATGTATTGTATTTACAGTACATGCATTCGTAAATTTAGATTACTTTTTTCTGTACTATATTAAAAACTAAAATTTATTTGTTTGTAAGCTTAAAATAGATTCTTATTAACCATATATTATTAAAAATGCATTAATAAATAAAATACAGAACCGGGAATGGTAATTTATTGTTTAGCCTAGTGACAAGTAGATTCGGAGACAAGTAAATTCGACTTACGTCGTTTTCCTGGAACCAATTACCGACGTAAGGCAAGGTATACCTGTACTATGAGCTGCTTCCACAGAATCAATTTTTTGATTCTGTGGAAGCAGCTCATAGTACAGGATTCCAATTCTGATAAGTATTGTTCCTAATTGGATAAACTGAACATGGCAATTAAAGAAAAGTATCTGGAACTGGCCAATAGAAAAGGCATTGTGTTTCACCAAGATAATTCCAGAACACACACATCTTCACGAACATGCCAAAAATTATTGGAACTAGGCTAGGATGTTTTATCCTACCCCCATACTTACCCGACCTTACCCTGTCAGACTACCATTTGTTCCATTCTCTGCAAAATTCCCTTCATGATAAAAATTTGATACTTTGGAAGCTTGCAAAAACCGGAAAGTTCTATGAAGAGGATATCATGAAGCTCCCTCATAGATGGCAATACGTCATTAAAAACAATGGTGCTTACATAATGATACATAATGTATATTTTTAGTTTTAAAACAGTTTTTTTTTTATTTCTCTTAAAAATTGCTATGAACTTTCCAAACAAACCAATATAAACAAAAAGAAACATATGATGCGTTGATTATACATAATTACTAAAATTTAAATGACATTTTTGGAAATGTATGTTGAAAAGTGTAGAGCATAGACCAGTGGTCTGTGATAAAATTTTGGTGGTATGTGGAGAACTTTGGACATTAATCAACCCAAAGTTAAGCAAAATAATATTAAAAAATGCAAATTGCTTGGTTACTTTTTCTCACTCTTTTGGGGGATTTTATTTGAATCAAACGTGAAATGGATATTATTAATAAATAATGTCAATAAATCAATAAATAATCAACAATAAATAATGTGAGTGCAATTTTTGTCCTTCGTGGAATAGACCCAAGGATAAACTTATTTCAAACATGAACCAACAACTTCACACTAATTTGTTATAATTAAACAGATAAATTTCATATTAATAAAATAAAATGAAACTTTGATGATCATTATTCTATAGATGTTTATATCATTTTAAAAAATTCATGACAGCGGTCTGCAGGATTCAAAATTGTGAGTTTAGTGATTCATGGAATCAGAAAGGTTGGTGACTGCTGGTATAGACTAAAGATAATTACAAAAGAATTCAAAATAATTTTGATAGTTCCATTTCTTTCACACAAAAAACCTTCGTAACTCCAGTGATACTTGCTTTATACATCAGCGAACGTTTTCGACCCCATCCGGGTCTTCATCAGGTTATATAAGGCAGGTTTACGCGGCACATGCATTAATTCCAGAGATGCAGTCGGGATATCGGGCGCGTGGAAGTTTTGTTATGAGGGAAACCACCCCCGTAACTGATTTGTTGAATTTCCTATTTTTGTTTGTGTTCATCGTTTCGCAAGTGAGTGGTTGCACGTGCGCAACGTTCCGTGTTTATTCTTAAGTTTGTTTTTCGAAATTTTGAATTGCTTAAAGTTTGTTTTAATGTTCTGTTCCATACACATTTGAATTCCTCATAAACATAGCCTGATGAAGACCCGGATGGGGTCGAAAACGTTCGCTGATGTATAAAGCAAGTATCACTGGAGTTACGAAGGTTTTTTGTGTGAAAGTATATTTTCCTCTGGTGTGTAAGAAGAGTTTAGTTTCTTATGTTCCATTTCTTATTTTCTCTAGAAATTCTTTTATATCTTTTCTATTCCTCCTTTTGAAATCACACTTAGTATAAATTATGCTGCAATTTGTATAATTTATGAGCAATCTATCAATTCAGAATTAGCAACTATCCATTTCCTTTTTCTGTTTAACAATTTTAAAAAGATAATGTAAAAAGAATGATGTAAAAGTTATGCACTAAGGTAATTAACTAACAGTCTCTGAAAATGACAGGGAGCCTCCCAATCTACCTTCCAAATCTGCCTTGAGCAGCACCCATAATCTGAAAATCTTGGATATACTACTGGTTATAACAGCCAATATTGAATATTAGGCTTTCTGTTATAGAAGCTATTGGTATGATATGAGGCTTCTTTCACTGTCAGTGACACAAGAAGATACTCATTACTGGCACTTGGTGCATTTTACTTGTGATTCTTATGTTCTACTAATTGTATTTGGAATGCAACTTGAGACTTCACACATTGTTTTGTTAAAAATAGTATATTGATGTAAATGTAAATTTTTCTTATATAAGATATTGAAAGTTATGTACAGTACATTTGTAAAGTACTATATTATTTTTCCGACTTTCCAACGATTATCGACACTACTGTGTGCCAGAAATAGCCGTTCCCTAACGGGTACTTTACGCGGATTCGCATTAGTGTGCCAGGCCTGGACTTTAAGCGTGCACCGAATTAAATAATGACAAAGTTTGTCAATAACAAAATCAAATATTTAATTAAACTTCTAGTAATAAACTATATACAGTATTTAGTAAAAATCAAACAATAATTTATTCAATGAAATTCAACAAGAATCAAACCGACAAACTCAAATCAATCTATTTCTAACTTAATTCTATTCCCCTTTGGAATTCGACAAAATCAAAGAATTAACTTATAAACAATAATTCTTATAAATTAAAGATCCTAATTGTCACCTCAATATACTAGGAACCTATTTCCTCAAACTCTCAAGACTTTCTATAATCGTCGATCCACAAATCGAATAAATTCAAAATCGCCTTGGAACTATTTGATCCTATCGGACACCTCTCTCATTCACTGCTACGAAGCTCACCAAAGCTTGTTGCTATCAGGAATTCACCTCGTTCGTTTTCACTTGAGTTAGAGGCTTTATAGTGTGAGGTGACGTCACAATTCTGAATGAGATCACTCTCCTCATTTACATACTTATCTGTAACATTAAATTTTTCTTGTTTATCTGGCAGATTATTTTCCGACAATACTTCGCTAACCTTTTACATTATTCTTTTTAACAATTATCGGGATGCTTTATTCTTTTAAGGTTTAGCGATTCCTAACTGGGTTGTGGGGTCTCCCCCCTTTTCGTCGGTGCGGACTTACTTTTTTTCGCTCGGGAAGCGCAAGTGTGCGCGAGTTTTTCTACGGCACTTTTCTTTCGTCGGTGAGTTGGTTTTTCTTCTATTTTTAAGTTACTAAGGTGAATGGTGAGGAAACTTCGTCTTAACTAAACATAAGCCCCAAACAAAATATAATGAAAGCAAAATAAAAGTAAAATAAAAATAAAGCTCAGGCTTGGTTCCTTACACATTCTATGAAGTTTTGGTATTAAAATCCAAAAAACATTCTATCAGATAATGTTAACCATCAGGATGTTCTGTGAGGTATTCCTATATACAAATATTAAAACATGTATCTTCCTTATTGTTATTAATACAACATGATTTATTTTCAGGTTATAGAATTTCAAGGTGACAAACATGAAATTACAACTATAACTGCTTGGCAGGAAGGAGATAAAATTGCAGTAGGATATCAAGATGGTTCTGTAAAAATATTTTCTATTACTACAAGAGACTGTATTGTTACTTTTAGTGGACATGCAACTAGTGTTTCTTGTCTTGCCTATGATTCTGAAGGTGGAAGATTAGTTTCTGGTGGAAAGGTATGAATTATGTATATTAATATTCTTTCCATAGACATATTTTAGAGATTAATATTAACATAAATTTTATGTAATTAGATATTATAATAATTTTTTTAAGTTTATCATAATATTTTCACATTTTTCTCCAATTGATTAAGTTTATCATAATATTTTCACATTTTTCTCCAATCTTTTAAATCAGATTTTTACATAAAAACATAAATTAATTTTTAATGTAGTAGTGTCTGTTTATTGTAATCATTTTCACTTAAATTGATAATAATCACAAATTCAGAACACTAAGTGAATAAGATTACAGTTAGTGGAAATTCTAGTTTTATTGACTTTGACATTAAAAGGACATGTTAAAACAACTAAAAATTGTATAATTTGAAGATTTATTAAGTATAATTATTATTATTATTATTACTTAATGTGATTTATCTAGGTTTTTTGTGTGCCAAAACTTTTAGAAGTTGATATTAAGAGTTCTGCAACAGAGGTGCAAGGTGGTGCACTTGTAACCTCTAGCCAAACAAAAAATGTGAAAAAGAGAAAAATAGAATAGAATGGAAATTTTATTTTATTCATAAGTGCATAAAGCAATCTGTAACAGCTTGCAAAGTTTTATTAATTTTGTATAACTAATATGGTAGTAATCAATTTGAATCACATCATTCAATTAATTGTTCTATTGTGCATCAATGCACTTCCCTGAAATAAATTTTCCTAATGCCATTGGTTAATATATAATTGAAGAAAGAGATGCCAGCAATTTAAGCTACTATATTGTGAGCAAATAATGATTAAAATGTTTAACATTTACAGCACATATTAATGTTGACAATGATGACATAACAGTTACATGTTATCAGCTATGTATTGAAGCTGATAACATGGAAAGTGAGCTTAAAAATACTTATTTACCCAAAGATAATGATAACAATAACTAAACTCTGATTATTAAAATTAACAAAATTTTATAAGTGTATTTTAAGTTACATGTTTTGAGACCTACTAATTTTGATAACATTAAACAACATCTGTGATTAAAATAAGTGGAATCTTCAGTATTGTGAGATTATTTGCAAAATTCTAAGTAAGTATAGTGTTATATTTTCCACACTAATTGGACTAATAGTGAACAATATTAATCTATTCATATTTGTTTATTTATAAGAAGTCATAAAAGTTTAAATTTAACTATAAAGTTATCTATAATAAAGATTTCCATAGTTTTCTTAAAGAATAAGAAGTTTTTTCTCTTCAATTTTTCTCTTAATGACTCATGAGGATTTCTATTAACTTAAGTTTATTAACATGAAATTCAGTTATTGTGAAGTCTCAATGTTTATTTTCATTGATAAATTAAGCTTAATTTATCAATGAAAATAAACATTACTGATTTTAAAAATTAATAATAGAATATTGATTTATAAATATCTGAGAATATTACTGAATGATACTTTAATATATTCTTGCTTTATTATATTTAAGACATCTATTATTTTAACAGGATACAGAAATAGTTGTATGGGATGTTGTTAAAGAAGCAGGATTATTTCGCTTAAAAGGACATAAAGGAGTGGTAACAAAATGCCAATTTTTAGAATCAAAAAATATTCTTATTTCAAGGTATGATTTAATTATTATAATTATGTTTCTTTAAGTAAAATATGTATATAGTAAACCCCAACAACTCAGACTTTACATAATTCAGGAAAATTTTTTTGAAAAATTGTACAGTAATTTAAAATTTCTTGACAGAAAAATTGCAATATTGGGTCATATCATATAGTTTGAGAAATGCTGGTTTAAACAACCTTAAGTTAAAATTTCAGACATGATATAGAAAATAAATACAAAATGGCAAATTACTTGAAAATTATAATTAAGGTGTGTTTTTGATATCCAAAAATCTTTGCAATACCTGCATTATATTACTGTAGTCAGTATTGAGATTGTGGCTGAAGTTTTCATCTCTAAAATGTGAATGTCGAGCACTGCTTACAAGATAGCAGTGCTTGACATTCACATTTTAGAGATGAAAACTTCGGCCGCAACCTTGCTAGTAAGTTACTAAAGACTGTACATTGCACTGTCATGAAATTTTTTGAGCTCATTTCCTGTAATAATAAATTCTGCAATATAACCTAATTAATCTCAGTAAAATTCTGTACAGAACTGATCATAATAAATTACTGTACTTTATATTCACCTCATCTTCTACATCATTGGAGAAAACACTTACTAACTTGGAAAACCTTCATCCTTATTGTCCAATTAAGCAGGGGTTTAATGTGTTTAATTTTAATTCTTGTATTTTCATATTTCTCATATTGTAAATCTAATTGTCATTTGGCTTTTATTGAAATAGAAATGTTGATAAAAATAAAACATAAATCTGAGGTGACATGACTGATATTACTGTATAATTTCTACTTTTAAAAGTTATACTTTCAGAAAAATAAAGAATCAAAAAATTAATTTTATAGATATTATTTTCTACTAAGTGGGAAAATGAATTTTGTCAAACTGTTATAAAAACTTTATTGCAATGTGAGGATTTTATATTTGTATGACAGTATTTGTTTAATAAATCAAGTGGATTCTTTTGCTGATGAATTGAATATATTATATGTAATCTATTATTTTTATTTTCAGTGTTTTAAAAGTAGTGTGTTTTATTTTTATTCTTTTATAGAATTTTTTTTTTAATATAAGATTTATTCCATATTCATAAATTGCTTGATGATCATTAAAATAGTTTTTTGTAAAATATTTGACTATGTAGATATAATAGATATAACTAAAGGTAAATTCACATTAACATATAAATAAGTGAAATGAAGACAAACTGAATTTTTGTTTATGTTATAACATTATATACAGTGTTGATGATTATTATTGGTTTAGACCAGTGTTTCTCAAACTTTTTGCTCGTGTGACCCAATATATTTGCAATGGTTCTGTGACCCAAATGTTTATAATATAAAATTTTTAAAAACTCTGGTAAACTGGAGTCATTGTATATTATATAATGAAATAAAATTATGCATTATTGATGTTACATTTCACCCTTAGAAGTTATCATCAAGTACATTTCTATTAAGAGTGGTTTGGGCCAATTTTGATTTGTAACAAATCACTTACTTCAATTTTAGTTTTTACTTTCCCAGCTGTTATATATAACAGAGGTAAAGTATAGTGATTAGTCAAAAAATGATTCCCCAGATTTTTACATTTTTGAACTCTGGACCTTGAGACATGAGATTGTATTCTTTGTTTAGAAGCTTATTTTAAACATATTACTTCACATTTTGNAGATATTATTTTCTACTAAGTGGGAAAATGAATTTTGTCAAACTGTTATAAAAACTTTATTGCAATGTGAGGATTTTATATTTGTATGACAGTATTTGTTTAATAAATCAAGTGGATTCTTTTGCTGATGAATTGAATATATTATATGTAATCTATTATTTTTATTTTCAGTGTTTTAAAAGTAGTGTGTTTTATTTTTATTCTTTTATAGAATTTTTTTTTTAATATAAGATTTATTCCATATTCATAAATTGCTTGATGATCATTAAAATAGTTTTTTGTAAAATATTTGACTATGTAGATATAATAGATATAACTAAAGGTAAATTCACATTAACATATAAATAAATGAAATGAAGACAAACTGAATTTTTGTTTATGTTATAACATTATATACAGTGTTGATGATTATTATTGGTTTAGACCAGTGTTTCTCAAACTTTTTGCTCGTGTGACCCAATATATTTGCAATGGTTCTGTGACCCAAATGTTTATAATATAAAATTTTTAAAAACTCTGGTAAACTGGAGTCATTGTATATTATATAATGAAATAAAATTATGCATTATTGATGTTACATTTCACCCTTAGAAGTTATCATCAAGTACATTTCTATTAAGAGTGGTTTGGGCCAATTTTGATTTGTAACAAATCACTTACTTCAATTTTAGTTTTTACTTTCCCAGCTGTTATATATAACAGAGGTAAAGTATAGTGATTAGTCAAAAAATGATTCCCCAGATTTTTACATTTTTGAACTCTGGACCTTGAGACATGAGATTGTATTCTTTGTTTAGAAGCTTATTTTAAACATATTACTTCACATTTTGTTTGAATAAAATTGAGATGAAATATCTTCAGATAAAAAGCATATCATGCATATCTACTTTGAGTTTTGGAAAGAATATAATGCCATACGAACAGTAAAAAAATTCATGTTTATGGGGAAGATTCTTTTAAACTTCAAACATGTCATATGTGAAATACGAAGTTTTGAACTAAAAGATACACAATATTTGGGGCTCCCAAATAGCTGTCAATTAAGAAATTGTTAAAGATTGACAAATAACACACAATATATATAACCAAACACAGCAAAAATAAAGTTAAAAAAGCACTGAAAATATACAAGCTAATGCAAGAATGAGAGAAGACTTGGGTGCATAACAGGTTGTGTTTACTCTTTGGGCACATTTTTTTCACTGCACATTCAGTTCAAACTTTGAAGCATCGTTTGAACTCCAAAGAAAATGTTTATTAAATTTTACATTTGAACTCTGAAGCAAGTTAGAGTTGTTTGAAGTATGAGTTGCTATTATATATTATAGATAACGTTTTACTGAAAATACCATTAATATAAGGTAACAATATAGAGTTTAATTAAAAGTAATTTATTAAAATAAATATATTGCTGGTGTTTTTTCTTCTGGTTTATTGGCATCTGTCAATATCTTTTGGTTTCAAATTTTCAACTCTCAATTCATCCATTTACTTTTACTCTGTACACTTACTGTATTTACTAAACTTATTCTTTCCACTATTGATCTAATTCCTTTGATTTAACATCACTAATTTTTCTCTTTCCTTTCTTCTGATGGTTTCCAGGCCATCAGTTGCTGGTAGCTTATAATAAAAATGAAAAGGTTTACAGTTACAAACTCCAATAAAAATTTTAAAATTATTTGTTGTTCTGTTAAACATTATATTTAAATATTAGATCTGTTGTCTTAATGCTCCAAAACCTTAAAATCTGGCAACATAGTTATTTAACAATTTGTTTTTAGAAAATTCTTTATTTAAGAAATTTTGTGTCTTTCAATTTATTTTATGTTAGAACTATCTGAAAATGGCTGTCAAAAATACCTAAGAAAACATATTGCTGGATTTTAAGGACTTTTTGAACATTTACTAATTGCAGTTCTTAAACTTTAAATGAGAAAGTGTTAGGAATTTATTTTATTACTAAAAAAGTAATAAACAACGCTTTTTGCCCGCGACTGTAAATTAGACAGAATTAGATAACCCAACAAATAGGGTATAACGTTTTGCAGGGCTTATCCAGTCGACTTGGTGTGATAAGCCCTGCAAAACGTTATACCCTATTTGTTGGGTTATCTAATTCTGTCTAATTTACTAAAAAAGTAACTCATATTGTTGCTAATAATTCTAATTTTATTTAGTTCTAAAGATACATTTATGAAATTTTGGGATCTTGATACACAGCATTGCTTCAAAACACTTGTTGGCCATAGAAGTGAAGTAAGTCATTTATTTACAATTTATTAAAATATAAAATATTGTATTAAGAAATGCTATTTAGAAACTTTGAAAGACAATGTATCTGGAAAACTGTTAGTAATGTTTTCTCATTTTACATAATAAATATTGTTGTATTCACAGTCCAAGACAAAATACTGCTCAGTTGAGACCACTGAAGATATTTTTTTTAAAGTAACATTTTGTCTTTCTGTGACCATTATCAGTTTTACATTTACAGAGCAATGTACTGTTCTGCAATTATTGTTTAAAAAATGCATTTAAGAATTGATAATTGAGTACTTTCCATGTTTGACTATAATAAAAAATTTTTTTTTTTATAAATATTGTATAATACTGAAAATATATTTTATTTTCATCTATTTTATATTATATTTCTTGTATTCATCTACTTAAATATTTAATAATCTATTTAATAAAAATAAATATAGAATTTATTTATGTACATTTAAACTACCTTATATAGAGTTGCCACATCATTTGCTGAAAAATTGACATAAAATCTGAAGCAAATGTCAGAGAAAGCTTTATATAAGATAGTTCAAATGTATGTAAATGAAATATATCTACTAATTGAAAGAAATAGAGAATTTACTTAAATATTTTATTATTTTGTTTTAAAATTGAGTAAAAAATTTGTCTTTTTAGCCAAGAATTTTAAAAAATATATTTTTTTAGATATTAAAAAAAATTATGAAAATTTTTTGTAAATATTGTTATATTCAAATCTAGATATGGGATTTTGTGCTTTTAAATGATAGAAGAATCATCACTGGAACTGTTGATAGAGAATTAAAAGTTTGGGATATTAAATTCTCTGATGATGATGTAAGTATTCTCATAAGTATCTTTTTAATGAATTTTTATGATGAATCAGTTATGAAAATTAAATTACCTTTCTTTTATATACCATATTTGCCAGTGTATAAGATGAACCCCATTTTTGGACAGTATTTTTGCAGAAAAAGTGTCTTATAAGCTGTCAGATATGGTACAATAAATTTAAATATTGTAGAAATATTTTGCCAAAGTAATTACCATATAGGCCCAAATATTAGTTGATTTTTCCCTGTTTTAAGGGAAACAAAAAATCACTCTCAACCTATATTTGAGTCTTGACTTCTAATCCAATTAAAGTTTTCTTCAATTTCAGTAAATATTTGTGATACAGATCACAGAGAGTTAAACTAATGCCAAAATTTGGTGTGTCAATTGTTTAGCAAATTGCCTGTTTCTTGCCTGTGTTCTGCAATTCTCTGTGTCAAACATAGAGGGTACTGTAGCTATATGCTGTTCAGAGGGATCCTACCTTTATTTCCTGTCTATCTCCTCTCCCTCCTCCTTTCCCTCTCCTTTTTCTTACCCTCTTTTCTGCTGGCTAAACACCTCGTGTATGGCCAATGTCTTTCTTGCATGTATGTTTAGCAATGCTAAATGCCAGTCAAGTTGTGGCATGTTGTATCTCAGCCTGCAATCTATGCATAGAAATTAAGTGTTTGGCATGATTGTAAATAATGAATTAGTTGATTGTTTTTATCATATTCAACAGAATCTGTCAACTTTGGAAACTTCTATTGAAATTCTATTTTGATTGCTTTTTTATTTTATTCCTAGGAATCTTTACTAATCAAACAACTGTAAAAAATGGGGAAGGCTGCTGAAAATTTATTGTGAAATTTATTCTATATAAATTCTGTTCTATAGTGTAAATTTCTATTGTAATTATAAATTTATGTATTTGATATGATTATATATTTAGACTTTGGAAGGTTTTTATAAATCTTTTTATGGACAGTTATAAAAAAATAACACAAGTAAAAATGAAAGTCAAAATTTTGGTTTTGTTTTCAATAGTCATAAAACTACATGTACACATTCCAGAATACAAGTAAAATATGCCAGGAGGCCTATTTCACTTGGTATGATACTGGATAGCCAACCACTCAGCATATGGGACATTATCTTGATTTTGCTTTATAACTATTATTAATTTTATTTTTATCAACATTGACAGAAAAGAGGCAATAAGTTTCAATATTTACATTATAGAAACAATGTCACCTTGGCATCCAACATATGTTTCTACAAAACATACCCTTTGAGTATGATTTTCTGATTGACTAAGAGTGATTTAAATGCAATTTGTAAAAATTACCAAGAAAGTAATAAAAATTCATTTACTTTGAATATTTGTAAATATACATTCAAAAAAATTTTATTTTTAAATAAATTAATTCTGAAAAGAAAGAAATGTAATTGAATGCAACTAATTTTCATAATCAGTTGCATAGATAAGAACTAATAAAAATTCCAAATATTATTGTAAATGTTAGGAATAACAGTAGAATTATAAAAGATTGTTGATGAAGACCCAATTAACTTATAAAGGATTTTAAGAAATGTATTACAACAATTGGAGGATGTATTGTTCAACTAGACTGAAGTTGGTGAAGTAGGCTAAACACCATGCTCTTGTTATGAGCAGATGATGTGTTATTCAAGGAGGCTGAAGATAATGTTGTCAATGAAATAGGAAACACGATGTTGACAATGAATGTTCTGATGAATATGAAAGTGATGAAGTATTATTTCAATAAATTTCCAAATTTTTTGTATGCAAATAAAATTAGTATAAAAGGTTAACTTATATTCAGATCTTAACTTTGTCAAAAAGTAAGGATTACTAAATTGGGAGATGACTCATATTTGGGCCAATATGATAATTGTTAATCTTATTGGTATACTAGTATAGATTTTATTTTTGATGGTAGTAGGCAGTTTTGATATAATATGAGAATTACATATGTCATCATTTGTTAATTGTATAACAGGAAAAAGTCATTTTCTAAAATATGTACTGTATATTTCTTCAGATAAGATGACCTTCAGATAAGACGAGTTATGAATTTTTGTCAAACTTTTATAGTTTTAGCATATATCTGTCCTATAAGGTGACCCCAAACTATCAACGGACTATGAATTTAGTTTATATCAGTGATCATCATCTGCATAAAAATACTATATAGCGTATATGGAATTATGTCCTATTCGTAATTTTTTGAATGAACAAATTTTATTTTCTTACATCTGGCAGCACTGCCTTGCGATTGCTGCAAACATTTGCACTGATTTGGGCATTCGGGTAATGACCTTGACTATTCACAAAAACATTGTATGGGCTATTCTATTTTGTGGACATACCCTACTCTCTAAAAGTAAATAATTACAGTTTGTCCGTTTTTTTATAATGGTTTTAATTTATATAAATTTCTATCTAATTTTTTTGTATCTGTCCTATAAGACGACCCCAAATTTTGGGGGTCTTTTTTTATGATTCAACTATTGTCTTATCTCCGGAAATATACAGTAAATAAAAATTGCATGATGAAATAAATAATATTAAATAAGTATTTAGCAAAAATGTATTTTCTTTATATAATTGTTTTTAGAATAACCTGGAGTGTGAAATAGTAGGATCAGTTATAAAAAATAAGAAAGATAAAGTGACATTTTTCTCACTAGATAATTCTTCAAGTCTTCTGGGTTGTTATGTAAGTAATTATTTAAAGTTGTTCAATGGAATAATAAATTATTTAGAATTTTGGAAGCATTAATGACTTTTAAATAACATTTGCAATAATACAGTTGTGCCTCGTATAACGTACGCCTCGAATAATGGACATTGCGAACAACGGACTTTCTGTTAAGCAGTTACGTTAGGTGAACAATGGACTTTCTGCGAACAAGTGTGAATGACGTTTCCACTCTTTTGCCATTGCCAATGACAATCTGCTATTTTTATAATATATTAATATTATTAGAATATATTAATAGTATATCTGAAGTACAGAGCTTCCGTTGGGATTCGGCTTGCTCTCTTGTTTATTATGTACAGTACATCACCTCAGTGCAGTGTATTTACATTTATTCAAGTGTTGTGCAAATCATGGCTTCTAAAAAAAACAGAAAGATGATTTCAATTGAAACAAAGCAAAGAAATCATCAGAAGGAAAGTTGACAGAAACTTCGTTGTCAAATGGGGAGAGGTTCAGGAGTTTACCAACACTCACTATCCAAACAGAGCTGAGACCAACAGGATCAATGATCTCTACAATGACACCCTTGCCCATCATTTCCGACAGGTGTTGAGGAAGAGAGAGAAACAGACCACTTTGGACATGTTTTTCAAAAAGCCAGCTGCCAAAAGACAAAAGATGGAATAAGAGGAGTTGACCCTGCAAGTCCCAGTAGCCTGTCCTGAATCTGACTCCGATTAAAAAATAATAAAAAGAGACCTGCTGCAATGCGTAAAAAGTCTGTATCTGTATGAATGTGTGAATAAAGTGATCCTCCACACAACATCTGACTACCTGGCATAATTGGTGACTGCTCCATTTTCATTTTTTTTTTATGGTACAGTATTTTGTGCTGCGGAATGAATTACATGTTTTAACATGTATTTCTATGGGAAAATGCGTTTCACTTAACGGACGTTCACCTGGAACAGATTAAGTACATTATACGCGGCACCACTGTATATATATTTATATGAACATAATTAGTTTTTGAAAATGTTTTTATTTTAATGTTAAATTAAATTCTGTAAATTATATATTGTCATTTTATTAAATTTTTCTATTTATTTATGAAAACTTTTAAATTAATTTTGTTGATAACATTAGTGTGTCAAATTTTCAAGTGTTTTAATCTCACTTAACATTCTGGAGTTAATTAAAAGTTTTTGTTTATTTTAAAAAGTAATTTATATCATATTTTTAATTTTTATTAATAATTTTGAAATTTATTGCTTTTGTAGATCTGCTGAGGTGACTCTTTTGCACCTCATTTGTGAATGTGCAGATCTTCACTCAGATAGACTTGTTCATCTGGGTTCCACTTTGCTGAGCCCTGGTGACATCCTTCAGTTTTCTTTTAAAGGTTTAATGTTTTTTTTTTTTTTAAAGAAGTTGAACTTCTGAAGTGAGGTGCACGATGGACCTTTTAGGTCAAGATGCATTTAGCCTATTGTCTCCATTTCACAATAACAACAAAAACATTACTGTATAATAAATTATACAAGTTCTAGTTTGATAGTTAATATAGTTCTATTATTTGATTATTTAGTTTTTGTTAACAATTATAATGCAAATTCAGAACACTTGAAAATTTCCCCTAAATCATTTTGACATGATTTATACTTTATATTTGATAAGATTATTTATTATAATTTTTTTAAGCTTTTATTTATTTATTATTCTTAAACTTTATAGATTGAGTATCCTTAAACTAAAATAAAAACATAACTGACAGATGCTTAGTCATCTGTACAGGAAATTATTATTTCATTATTCTGTTATCATTTGTGGAGAATTATTAATTTACATTAAAAAATATGAATTATTAATATACTATGTATTATAATTTGAATAAAAAATATAATTTTAATATAATTTACAGGGTTCAGATCATTTGCTTGAAATATTTAAATTTAATAGTGAAGAAGAAATACAGAAAATATTACAAAAAAGGAAGAAAAAACAGAGAAAGTAATTATATTTTTCAAATGTTTGAGTGTTTGGTTCAATTGTAATTTAAAGTTNTTTTTTTTTTTTTTTTTTTTTTTTTTTTTTTTTTTTTTTTTTTTTTTTGTGTGGGAATTCTTCACCAAATTGTAGTGGGTTCTAAACTTTTTTACCACTAATTTAATTTCCTAACCTCTTTTTATGCTGATACAAAATAAAAATAAATTATAAATAGGTTTTATAAAATTCAAGTAAATAGTATTGTATTTACATAAATCAAAAATCATGTTTATTGTATTATATTATTGTGAGGTTCAATGTTGATATACACTCATATCCATAATTAAAGAGTTCATAAGCACACATATTTCTGCTGTTGTAAAAGAACAAAATGAAGTAGAAATGCTGTATAATGTAGCAATTTCGTGGGGACACAACATATAAGAACAACACAGCTATACACAAAGTGTTTAGCTGATGTCTTGTATGTATGTATGTATGTATGTATGTATAGCAACTTCTGAGGGGAATGATATAAATTTATGCAACTTTACTGATAGAAAATGTTTTTACATCAAGTCTCTTGTCAGTTTGGGCAATTGGCATTGTAAGAGGTTGTTACTGTATTGCATGTATAAATATTGTTATCATCTTGTAACTGCATAAAATGATTTGTAGGCAGTAATTATATCCCAAAGAAGACATATTGCACTTGATGACATCAAGTGCAGCAGGATTATTGCGAGATTAGAGGCTGACCAAACTCAGACACACGTCATAGGAACTGAATGTTTCACCAAGCTATATGCTTTTTCTACAGTTTCAGCATGGCAAAGATGTTTTAAGGCAATACAGCAAAGGTTGTCCACATGTCAGAACTGCACATCAGGATTGGCAGCATTGGTCATAAATGCCCAATGCTGCCCCACCAGGGCAGAAAGTGAGCTGCTTAGAAATCTTTCAGCAGAATCAGGTATCACTATATCCAGACAAACGATTTAAAGATGGTTACATATCTGTCTATGTAATGTAACCTGTTGTAGGCATTCCTTTGCCTTCAAGGCACATGCTGAACTGCAAAACATGGTGTAGTGAATGCTTTGCATAGACCCCACAACAACAGTTGGCCACTGTACTCTTTACTGATGAGTCCCCTTACCATCTACAAACTGATAATTGACAAGTTATATTTGGGGAACCCTAGAGACATATTATAATCCTGCCTACTCATTGTTCTGGAGATGGAGGCATCCTTATTTGGGGTGGTCTCATGTTAGGATCTTGTACACCACTGCATGTATTCAAACATGGTACAATAACTGCCCAGATTTATAGGGATGCCATCCAGCAGTATATGTGACTTTTTAGAGGTATATTTAGTCCTGGGTTCATTTTAATGGATGATAATGCTCACCCATATAGGTCTGGCTACCCTGTTTACCAAACTTCATAGAACATGTATGGAACATCCTTGGTTGCAGGGTTGCAACACATCTTCCACTGCAGTGCAGTGAAGAGTACTTGTGCAAGAGTAGGAATAATTTCCCCATAAATTGCTGGACAACATTAGAAACAGTATGCTGAACTGCTGTGCAGAATGCAAGTATTGCCATTTGTGGCAGCCATACACACTATTAAGCATTATTGGACACAGGTGTGACATTCATGACAGAAGCATGTCATGCAGGAAAGACCAAAGTCCATTGTTTTTTATTTTTTCATGGATTTCCTTGTTTTTAATGTTTTTGATAAATTAAATAAAATGATTAAAGGAAATATAATAAAATATTGTGATTTTTTTGCCTATTTTCATGTGTTGCCCACAGTAGATCAATGAAATTTATTCTCAGCCAAACAAACAATTTTGGTTAGACATAGCTGGTATAATATGATAATGCCATAAAAGTTTTTCCAGAATTTTTATATGTTCTCTGTAGTATGAAGTTTGGTATTTTAGATGTTAAGAGAACATATGAGTTATTGACTATATAAAACAGAAAATGTATAGGATTTTCTATAGATTATTTCTGTTTCTGTATCTGTAGAAATACCGTAATTATTTTAGTAGCTATATTATTATAGGTCAAATTAAAACTAAAATTATTATTATTGATGTTAAGGCATCGATTTTAGTTTTAATTTGACCTATAATAATATAGTTACTTGTTGATATCTGATTTATAATTTCTTGACATATTACTAATTACTTGTATGCCAACATAATTAATTCTTTCTGACTGTTGACTTTTTCATAAATGCTTTAAGAGATAATATATTTCTTGTACATTTTAGTAGTTAATTACTAAAAATATCATATATTATTTTTAAGATTATTGGAAAATACTGAAGTAGCAGATGTTTCTGAGTTAATAGAGAAAACATTGGATGATGAGATTTCTTCTTTGCTTTGCATTAAAGCAAGTGGAAAAATTAAAGGATGTAGTATTATACAAGAAAAAATTAATCAAGCAATGGTATGTATATTTTAATTAATAATGACAAATTTTACGAATTAAAAAACTTAATTTTTAAGAATATCAAATTTTGTAATAAAAATGTGAAATAATAAACTAATTGTGATATATGTAACATAAATTAAGATATTCTATTTACTATGCTGTTATAGTAACTTGAATAGAACAATTAAGTCAAACACTTAACATTCTTTGCATTTCTAAAATGACAATAGATGAAAACATCTGAAATCATATCATTGATTAATAATAGCCACAAATTTACAGTACTTAATGAAGAATAAAGATGCCTTTAAAATTAACATTGTTCTTAACTACAAAGGAAAATTAAATGTAATTAATTACATCCAGTTTTATTTAAATTCTACCATGGTTTTACTTTACTGAGAAACAGAACTGTTGTGTAGACATCTAAAAATATTCATAGAGTCTACCAAATAAAAATATTTGATCAATTTCCTATAGTAGTTTATTGAATAATAAAGATTGATAAACAGACAACACTATTGAAATTACATAAATGTGTGAAATACAAAAGTGTACAAAAATTATATATTATGCGAATATTTAAACTTTAAAATTTTTCACAAATTAAATTTTGATACATGTGCAAATAAAATATTTACAAGTTAGTGATATAGTGTCTTCTTAAATATTGGGTTGATGCAAAAGTTTCTGGAATTTTTTAAAGTTTTATAGTACATCATTTATTCAAAAACAAAAAGTAGTTTATATAAGAAAATAATTGGTATTACATTCAGTCATTTTTTTTCCATTGATTGAGCAAGTCATGGATTCCTGCTAAATAAAATTCAGGCTGTTTTGACTTGAAAAACTCTGCAAGTGTGATTTTTCATCTTTTCATCAGCAAACTGCTTTCCATCAAAGAAATGTTGCATGGAGCAGAAAAGATATTAGTTGGATGGTACAATGTCTGGACTATATGGGGAGTAAGGGAAACCTCCCTGCTGAAATCAAGCATCTTCTGCCAGGTCACACTTGTGGTCTTGCATTGTCATGAATAATCCACACAATATTCATTCACAGATGAATATATGAATGAACTGTGGTGGACTTGCCACAACCAAGTATCTTGCTCATTTCTTGCACAGATAGGTGTGGGCTAGCGTCTACCAGCTGTCACAGCTTGTCATCTGATAGGACAGAAGTCCTTCCTGAGAATCACTTATCTTCAACTTAATATTGCCCAGCTTTAAATTTACTGAACAAATCATAGATTGTAGACTTGCAGATGGCATTCTTGCCAAATGATTGCACCATATGGCAGTAAGATTCAGCTGCTTTTATATCAAATTGATAATTGTAATGCATAAGTGCAAATTTGATCATGAGAAAGCATTGACAAACTTGACATTTTTAAAAGTTGGTATTAGTACTATTAATAGACATGTGTATTAATTGTTTTCACTTATGATTGGGCACCTTAAAACCCTTTATTTACATACCCCACAAGAAACTTCTAGATGCCATCTGTTGGAGAAGAATTTTGAATATTCTAGAGGTCTAGAAAATTCCAGAAACTTTTACATCAACTCAATAGCACTATCCTTGTAAAATATTTGTGAATGAATCTTTTCTATAAATATCAAATAGAGAATTCTTCAGTAGCTGTGAATTAGTAAGTGTACAAATTTCTATTCCAAACAATATTATCACCAAATTATATAATTTTATTATTCAAATATTATCACTCAAATTTAAATTTATGTGTAAATCTCATTATTTTATGCAATTCTTATTTTTTGATGTTCTTCACTTTGNATTTTTTTTGGATTCTTTTTCTTTTTATTCGTCCTTTGTTGATATGATTCTTGAGTCTGTAATTCAAAGTAATATGTATGTTAAATATGATTGTTCAAGAAAATTTGTAAAGTCTTGGTTTGACATTGATTGCCTACAACTGAAAAGAGAGAAGAATCGTGCTTTACGATTATTTCGGCGATCAAGAACTGAACAACAATTTAATATTTATTCTAATTTGGAAAAAACTTTTAAATCTCTCTGTAAAGCCAAAAAGAAATTATTTTGGAATAAGATTAACTTCCAATTATCACATATTAAAAACTCTTCTGAATTTTGGAAAATTGTTAATAAATTTAGAAATGGAAAAGTTGTGTATAATAACATCTCTATTTGTGATTGGTCGGATTATTTGAGAAAGTTTTTTTCTGGACCATCTTTAGTTGTACTGTCTATTTGTACTAATGTTAATACGGATCCATTACTCGATGATAATATCTCATTTGATGAATTACATTTTGTGGTAAGATCTTTAAAAAATAATAAAGCCCCTGGACTGGATGCTGTTAAGGCTGAGATGATTAAATTTCTCCCGACTAATATTTTAAATGATTTGTTATATACATTTAATAATTTTAAAACTAATTATTCTTTTCCCATTACTTGGAAAAATATTTGTTTAAAAATGATATATAAGAAGGGTAATCGGTTCGATCCTATGAATTACCGTCCGATATCGCTAATTAGTGTAATTAGGAAAATTTTTTCTACGTTATTAGCTAATCGTTTGCGTCTTTGGCTTGAGCGGTCTCATACTATTTCCATTGGTCAAGGAGCTTTTGTAGTGAATAGACGTGTTGGTTATAATCTATTTATATTTTTTGGAATTTTGCAATTAATTTTGACTAAGAAGCGGAGAAAATTATACGTTGGATTTATTGATTTGTCAAAGGCGTTTGATGCAATAGATCATGATATTTTATGGTCGAAGCTTTCTCGGATAGGTATGTCATCATCTTTTATTAATCTTATAAGACAATTGTTTTCGAATACTACTTATCAAATTGAAGTTAATCATTGTCTTTCGGAGACGGTAACTGCTAATAAAGGGCTTCCACAAGGTGAACCACTTAGTCCTATTTTGTTTAATTTATTTGTTAACGATCTCTTGGAATTTTTTTGTAATCATAATACAATGGGTATATCCATATCACCAGAGATAGAATTGAATTGTCTTTTGTTTGCTGATGATATTGTAATATTTTCGTATTCAGCTATTGGTCTTCAGAAAAAACTTGACCTCCTAAAAGATTACTGTAAGTCTAATAAGCTATTTATTAATAAGTCTAAATCTAAAGTAATGGTTTTTCGGAGAGGGGGTAGACTGGGGAAAGCTGATAAATTTTATTTATTTAACTCTGAGTTGGAGATTGTCTTGTCTTACAAATATCTGGGTATTTATTTTACTCCACAGGGTTCATTTTCTTTTCACTTAGATAAATTGTTTTTGAAATATAAACTTCAGCTTTCTAATTTAATAAAGCTTATGGTAAGAATGAAGCAGTCTTCCATTAAGTCGTATTATCGATTGTTTGATTCCTTGATACGTTCAAGTTTGGGGTATATGTTCCCTATTTGGGGACCATCTTTTGTTGACAAATTGGAGAAGACGCAGTTGAGATTTATTAGATCAATATTTCATATTAATCGTTCGGTTCCTGGACCTGTTTTAAGATTTGAACTAGGTCGTCCACCAATGGCTATACATTTAACAATGATTATTTTTAGATATTGGAGTAAAATTTTGGAGTTACCAGATTATGACCCTAGAAAGTTGATTTATAATAAATTGAAATTAATAGGTAGGAATTCTTCGTTTGTAACTTGGTCTTCCTCAGTTGAAAACTTATTATCTGAATTGGGTTATTCTATTGATTATTATACTCAGATCTCAAATAAAAACCTTTTTATGGCTGAAATATTTCAGTCATTAAAAGATAAATATTGGGCTCAAGATATTCAATATATTGAACAAAAGAGTGGGTTTTATGAGACTTCCTTAATAGCTCCATGGACACCTTAACATTATTTATTGTCCAATTTAAATTATAATGTTAAATCTTTGATAATTCAATTGCGACTTAATGACTATACTATTGTATTAAATAGGTGTAGAATGAATATTTCCGCCTATTCTAACTGGCCATTATGTAACCGACCCTGTGAAAGTATTAAAAACCACTTATTTGTGTCTTGTGAAATTACTGAACATTTAAGGGATAATTTATTGACAACTGATTTTGATATGTATTGTTTATACAATGATAGTTTAAGCTCTGACATGCTATTTAAAGTTTATAAATTTTTCTGTTATTTATTTAACATGTTAACATAACATTATTAATTAAGCTTTAATATCTTTGAAACCATGTATAACAATGTTTGTATTTGTCAATGTTACAAGATCTTGTAACCCCTTTGTAAAGGCGAAAGCCATAACAAATAAATGTTGATTGATTGATTGATATATTGATATTCTAATTAGTTTTAATTTAGTATTTTATGTAATTGTATACACAGTGCACTGTGTTATTTACTAGTAAAGTAAATTACATTGAGAAACTGGAAACACTGTTTCTCAATGTAGTTTCTTATNTATATATATATATATATATATAGTAGAATAATGGTGTATCAGTTAGTACAATCAACAAAACCTTTAACATCCAGTAACCAACATACCAACATTAATGTAAAATTGACAAATGATTGGATTCCTAATATAATTGTTGACCTGATTCAGATCTTGACAAACATTTTCAATCAAAAAATTTTTACATTAAAGTTGGTTACTGGATGTTAAAGTTTTATTAGTTGTGCTAAGTAATTTGTTCCAGTTATTGAGATGGTAATTTCATTGTGTCAGTAAGACAAAAGATTTTGTAAAATTATGGAATACAAGGAGTCTGTAATGCCTAACTGACTTGAATTCTTTTTAATGCCCTTCAGTTTCATGAGAGCATTTAAATCTTGAATATTTATTTACTACAGATGCATGAAATAACATTTGAAACTCTAAATAAATAAATAGATAAAAATATTCATTAGTATCATGTTAGTCATAATACTAATGAATATTTTTATCTATTTATTTATTTAGAGTTTCAAATGTTATCTTGTGTATCTGTAGTAAATAAATATTTAAGATTTAAATGCTCTCATGAAACTAGAAGGGCATTAAAAAGAATAACCAG